ATCGAAGGACTTCGACGTTGCGGTGGGTCTCCGCAAAGCCGTTCGGGCCTCCGAGGCGCTCACCCTGTTTTTCTCCGTTTCTATACAACAGCGGGAATCGGTTCCGAATATGCAGCTAGCCAGGCATTCAGTGTTCTCGCGGAACCTATGGACTACAGGTCAGGACTTGAATGTACTAGTACACGTTCATGGCCCATAGAATAGAAGAGCTGTACGAGACTGAATGTTCTGCCAACCACCTGTTGCGGCCTAGGAACGATAGACCGTGGGTGAGCTCCGATTCGAGAACTCGTGCCGGCCACGGAAGATGGAGGGATTTCTTTTCATTTAGTCTTGAAAACTCGAGCATTTAAATATATATAGATGTAATAGTATATATAGTATCCCCATATCCCCCTATAATTTTTTTATTTTTTTCCATTCTATAATAAAAGCGCTGTGTCCGTCTGTCCGTTCGCGACTTTTCGACGCTTCCTTTCCCCTAATTCCGTTCCCGAATAGGCTCATCGGATGCGAGATGACGCCACAGTGTGCAAGTTGATCTTCTTTCGATTTTTCGTGTCTCTCTTACGGAGTACTTACCGGAAGAAAGGAAACTTCTTTCCACCTAGATGGATAGATAGGTAGAAGGAAAAATGCCTCGGATGACGTCATCCAACTCGATCATTTCTTCCTCTCAGTAGTGAAGAAATTAAATGAAAATTATCCTCGAAGAACAGATGCTTAGGAGGAGTTTTGCTTTAGATTCCTGTCCGTGACATTTCTATTCGGACCGTAGATCTGGCGATAACCGATAACGAATAGTCTGATGGGGCACACGATCCCTCAGAATCTCACGGGTGAAAAACCGACAGAAACATGCCGAAGTGCGCAATCTCAAATGATCTCGGCATCATGTTTCGACGGCATTCCCACCGGCCGACTTGGAACGATGCGCCAAAGTCTTTTACATGGAGATTCCTGTGAATGCCTGTAGATACAGCAGCATAAGGATTGGCGCGGAGCGCCCGCACGGCTGGTATATTATATATGTATATGTATATATGTATAGATATTATAAACAGGTAAAATCTCTGAATGGATGGATGGATTTATTGACGTCACAGACTGCGTCTCGTCGACCGTGTCCTGTCGCGGGACCGTGCAGTTGACCAGCGATTTCAAATGTTGCGATCCACTCTCGGAAACTTTAGCGTACGCTGCTCGCTCTGGTGGAAAAATATACCGGCCGCATCGGATTTCGAAACCTTCCTAGAGCTTATTCCGATGTGAGCACCAGTTGCTCGAGCGTGGGCTCGGACTCGATGAAATTAGATTATATCGGGTCGCAGGTCGCAGGTTGTAGCTCGCCACTTGGAAAGAGAAGATCGATGCATGGGAAAATATTCCCATAGTTCCCATAGGAAGTTATCCCCCGCTGGGGACGGGCATCGGTAATTAGGAACTCGAGTCCGGCCGGAAACTAATCGGGGTTCTTCAGGGAGAAGGGACTCCCGAAAATGCCTGTCGATTTCTGCAGTCAGTTCGAACTCGAAGCCCGAGGGAATTTCTCGAATTATACGATTCACTTCACAGATATGCATTCGCCATCCGAAAGTGGAAGCTGGGATTGTGAACAGAGTATCCATGGAGCTCCAATCCACCCACCGCTCTGATAATCCTTCGCGGGAGATGAGCTACCTCCACCACAGACATCACAGGAACCCTTGTCACCAGAGATTTGTGGAATCGGCATCAGAGAAACTATTCTGTATTCTCCGCTCTTTCATCTCTCGGCGATGAACGACGAACTCCTCCCGGTGTAATCGAGAGGAGAATTCTCCACGTAAAGCCTACGGGCTCCGGACTTAACGACAGCTCTCAAGAGACCCACGGCTTCCTCAGGAGGTTCTTGAATTCAAGCGATTAGCGGAGAGGGAGATTGGGCTCAACTCTGTGCCGCTATCGCTGTTTTTCGTGATCGCTTGCCACGCATTATTACCTTGCCGATCCCCTCTGGGAAGGGAAACAATCTTACTCATCTGGGCTCCGCTCCTCGTAATATTTGTGCGAGCGGGGATATACAGTCACGAAACGTCGAACGGCGGGAAGTTTGGAAGAAGATGGATAAGCTCCGACACCACGAGCGATTTTCCCGGCAGAGGTATAAGAAGAGGTATAAGGAAATCGAAGGGTTCGACGGCGAGATCCCCGAATGAGTTCGGCAACATTTTATAATGAAGTGCTTATCTACGGTTCTCTCGTAGAAAATCATCTCGCTGATTCATCGCTACCTACTGCTTTACTCTTCTGCCAAGCTCTCGCGGGAGGGGAAAAATCATCCGATTTGATTCATATCTATTCTGCTGCATGGATTTTCCCGGCTGAGGGAAAGAACCAGCCTCCTCATCTGGAGCAGCGGGAAACTAGACGGACGGATAAGAATGCAAACTTCAGGAACGAACCTTCGCGAGGACGACTGAAGAGGTGGATTCTGACGGGGAAGCTCCTCGAACGGCCATGATAATACTAGGAATTCATTCACAGAGCATTGACATTATTCCTCCAAAGTTTACTCCCGAGTTCTTGGCACATCCGATTGTACTGCTTCAAAAAATGGCCTACTATCATTCACATGAGTATCATGCAGGAGCGCTCCTGAGCCCATACGCTACCGGGGGAGAATAATAAATGTCTGAGAGCTCCTGAGTGGAGTCAAGAAGGGTTCCGGAGCCCATGTAGAGGCAGCTTTTTCACAGTCAGCTCCTTGGGAAAAATCTTTGGCGGGACGGCGGATCTGCCAAGTGGAACTCGGTGGATTCTCATGCGTGTGTTCTCTCAGAAAACTTTGAATATTAATTCAGTTGAGTAAGAAACGTCAAGGATATCTTGCTGTCCAAGGCCGGACAAGCGGTGTCCCCGGCCGCTTTCTCGAATCCCGAATCTGCAGCAGTTCTTCCCTCAAGAGGGAGGAGCTCGCTGCAGATTCCGCACAACCGACATTGGTCGCTTCGAGCTAGTACAGCCTAGAGCCTTCGGGGAAATCCAGGATTTCCGCTGATCGGGAAGTGAAATTTATCTTTTTCCCTCTGAGCCCTCGAAGCCTCTCTCCTTCCGATGTTTCTATGTACCGCACGTCGAGTAGGTGGAAGGATCCGATCGCGAGTGACGGCGAAATCTTTCCACCTCTTCCAGCGCTTGACTCGCAGAGGATCGAGGAATTCTCTCATTGGCACGGAAGTGACGTCCATGATGCGTTCCTGGTCCCGAATGCGTATAGCCTGCGAAACATCGCTCTCGCGCCCGGAAGCAAGCATGCGCGGGGAAAACGGAGCAGGGGTCTCGGTGGAACGGCATGGGAGCCCCAACTGATAGATGTCTCCAAAAGAGCAGGACTCGCGAATCTGAAGCGGAATTTCTTTCGGAGGAATGAGCAAGTTTTTAGTCAGGTGGAAAAGACGAGAGCCCCGAGACAAAACGTGGTCTTCCTTGGAAATAGAGGAGTCGAGGCGGCAATGATCTCTCCGGGGAGTTCCCGTGATTGCCCTGTTCTCGGCACCCTGTAACCGTCATTGCGCTTGTCGGAAAGAAAAACAGCGAAAAGGGGCGAGAAAATCCCTCTTGAACCCCCAAGAAAGGACTCGGAGAACGAGCGGCCGTCTTGCTCGAATGTATCGTTTGTGTGCTCATTCGGCCACCGGAGGCTGTGGGGACATCGAGCGTTCTCTCGTGTGTTCGAGGAAGAATCGTAGTTCTGTATCCTCCTGTTTCGATGGGAGATATCAGGAATCAGCAGGAGGCTCTATAGATCGAGTCGACGCTCAGAATATAACTTGACTTCCGATGCGGAGCCTTGGATAGAGAAGCAATCGATCGGAACGGAGCGTTTTCCCTAGAGAAGATTAGCACGAGTCACAGAATGGACCAAGTGAGGAGACTAGGAACCAAATTCTAGATCTCCGCGAGACGTGTGAGTCAGCAGTCGTCGAGTGAGGAAGCGAAGATTCGAAACTCCCCCATTTATCAGGGCTGGCTTTCATCAGAATCGTTCGTCCGTGCCGTCGGTTTTTCCCAGACGGGCTCCGCTTGTCCACCGAAGCGGCGACCTTGGAGAACAGCTACAAGCCGAAAATTGACGCGCACGATCTCACGATGGAATTCTCCAGAAGAGTTGCCTCAGGAAATCGAAGGACGCATTCTCGTATCCCAATATCGACTCAAACGTCTCTTCAGGGGATTTCGGACCGTCTTCGGAACCGACTGGACGTTCTCAGCTCGTCGGGAACGATCCGGATTCATCTCTCGTCACGAGATACCTTTTCCGGCTTCCCCTGCGATGGATGAGCAGGCACAACCGCGGACGAAGCCCCTAGCGAGGAACCGCGCTCGGAGAGAGTTTGCGACTCATTCTGAAAGCCTTAAGAGCGGACTGATCCGACTGCGTTGGCTGCAATCATTCATCCGGAAGGATTTTCATGATTGTCGTCGATCGGTCCCCCGACTTCGACATCCTTCCTGAGCACAGTGGTTCTCTCCGCCCATTCCTTAGCTCGTTTACAAACGAGCACGGGTCCTTTGACACCACACGCTCAAATTAGCAGGGAATTGCGCTTTACGAAATGAAGAGATGAGTATAAGGGAGCGCTGGGGACGTTTTGAAATCGCTCATTTTCTCGCGGGGTTCTGAGTGACTCGACTTAGCACGCATTCCGAACAGCCATGCGGCTTCTAATAGAGCTTATGCATTGTGGAAGGTCGGGGATAATTCGAAGACTGCCGGCCCACTCTCGCTCACTCCAACCGGAGATCGAGCCGAGGCGCGATAGGATGGCTTCCTCGCATTAGCCTCCTCTGATCCTCTGATGAATCATTCGAGGGTCGGGCGACCCCGCTCACATGGGGGCGATTCCACCGAATTGTTATCGAAGAAAAATTCATTTTTGCTGGAATAATATATTTTTGTCCTATTGCAGGAACCCAACCATGTGATTGATTGAGCCTAGACGGAAGTAGACCTCAATATGATTGCGACCAACGTGGTCTCCCTCGTGAAGAAGGTGAGTCGATTTTGGCGCAATTCTCATTCATGTCCTCCCTGGAGCAACTCCTTGATTCTCGACGTCTTCCACTCGTGTCGGTCACATTCTCTTCGCCTCCTTGTTCCGCTCACTCTGAGCAGCAGTTCTGTCAGATGAGACCTGTCTCTTTCTTCTCGGGTCAAGGTCGAGTCCTCAGGTTTCCCCCGAAAATAGAAAGTTTTTGACTCTAAAAGGAACGTTTCGAGTTTCTGCTAGCATAAATTTCCTCGTCCGTTCGGGGAATGGATGAATGAATTCATCCTCGCTCTCCAAAGCTGGAGCCGGACTCTGCGGTTGCCCATGATTCGAGAGTTTCTCCTTGAGGTTCTCTGGCCGAATACGCGAGCTTAGCTCTTCATCGGCAGATCACGTGGAATATTTCCGCAAGGAGAAGTGATTTAGCTTTCCGGGCAAGACGGGCATGCTTTTCATTCCGAAATCCGCACTTATTCCTCTCAGCATCGTGGGAGATGCGAATCTGTTGCTGACTATCGCGGTCCGTTCGCTGTTTCTCGAGAAGAAAGAGGGCATCCAAACCGTGGCTTCACGCTCACAGGTAACTCATCTAACCACGAGGTGCGAGGTAGAAGCTAAGAGTGATGGCTGAGCTAGAGACGAACGGTGAAGGCCCACCGAGGCCAGTACGAACGAAGTCTCTCGCGTGGGAAGTTGCAGGTGGTGAGAACGCTGTTCGCAGGGATTACCCTCGGGCACTGAGGGGGCGAACAGACGGGCTGGACGCTCGGAGAACTAGACAACCCGTCTGATGGGGGAGTGGACCGATATGTCCGTCTTTCAATCCATTCCTCCAGGAAGAAAACAGGTGGCAGCCGTCGCCACAGCTGACAGCCAACGAGCAAGCTGAGATTCTCGTTGCGCTTGCAAGCTCCGGCAGCTGTTGCCTCTCTGCGAGATCCGTCTCGCCGTAGCGCGAGTCAGTCAGCTTTTTCGCCATTCCTGCACACTACGCTGCCGGCCTTTTGAAACGCTGATGCTACATATAACAACGCTCCGACGCCGATGTCGTTGACGACGACTATATGCTGGATACAGCGCCGGAGCGACAGCTTTGACGTCGAGCGGAAAAAAAAACTATAAATAGACCAGCACTTGCAGCGGCCCTGAACTCCACCGGCGTCACCGAAGAGCGATGCCGGCTTTGCTAGCATTCGGAATTATTGCGTGGGATTGTTGACCCGATTTAGCCACTTAGCTCAGGATCGCATTCCGTCTAGGGACGCGACGCTATCGAGTTTCGCGGCAAGCATTCCGGAGCATTCTCAGAGGTCTTCGAAGAAGCCCCTTTCAGAGCACTGTCACGGTCGTGCTGATGACGCATCATGCTTCTAACAGATGGCGTTCGCTGGGCTAACCCCTTCCGGCAGCATAACTCGGGGCGTAGTGAAACCAGCGCATTCCCAGAGCTGGCGAGACCTAGCAGGACGCGAGAAGAATACCGTCGCTCCAGCCAAGAGGTGCTTATATCGATTACGTGTGTCGGCTTACGGATGTACACCTGATCCGTTGCCGCGTACATACGTTGTCAGGCGCATTGTGCTGTGCGTCACGGGTCGTGCCTCTGCACTTCGGCCTTTTTGACATCTGCCTCTGATATCTTCCTTCCCGAGAGTGTCCATTCGTACCGGTCCAGCGGCTTCCCACTCTGGCCGCCTCCCGTCGTGCGATCGATGTCGCACTATCTGACGGCATCCTCGGAGAGTTGTCGGTCCCCCGCAGTCGTTGATGCTGATGCCTCGCCAGTGTTACCCTTGCTGCTCGTTACCGATGTGCTGGATCGCGGGCTTCGATATCATACGTCTCCTACTGGCAATGACGACTGTGTACTATTCCTCTTACTTGTCTGTGCTTGACCGACGTAGAGAAAATCCTGCTCGCATCTGATTAAGCGATCGATGCTTGAGTATTGCCCAGGGAAACCGGGCCGATGATCGGTTCTTCTCGGCAGGAGATCCCCTCTCGGAACCGGAATCGGGATTTGTCTCCCTGGAAGGTGTTACCATGCAAGGAGACTCGATTCTCTCGCGAGAAACGGACTCAGGAGAGAGAAATCTGTGCAGGTTTAGCTTGATGCGAAACCTGTGGGTTGCGTAGAGCTACGTCAGAGTGCTCGAGGGGACTTATGAAGTCTATGAAGCAAATCGATGATAGATCCATCGTTTCAATCTATGATTATTATCTCTGATTTATTCAAAATAGAAATCTCATAACTCCATCTATGATTATGGGATCGAGTTTTTGATAGCTGAAGTGTGGAATGAAAATATCGATTCGCGATGAATCCTGATTATTGATTCCAATTTGCGGTCTTCAAAGATAAGTTTTATCTTAAGTTCCGATCCAGACGATGAAGTACGGCCGCACCCTTGCGGAGCCAAAGAGGTTCGATCCCGGATGCAAAATCCAGGATCCTCAACGATATGTTCCTATAATCACAATTCTCGATTCGGAGGATGATATTCGGACGAATTCTTGTGGAGCCGATGGAGTTTGGTCCCGCATGAGAGTCCTGGGTCTTCAACGATGTGTTTCTATTCTCATGAAGTCCCGATCCAGACGATCAGGTCCGGCCGCACTCGGGCGAGGCCGTGAATTAATCCATGGAATCGTATCGCATTATGGTTCAAACCCGGATGGTAGTCCCGAGCCCTCGTTCAGCGAATCGGGAATGTAGTAGTACCTTGCTCAAAACCTCAAGAGTTCCTAGGGCCTCATGATGAGGGAATAAGAGATCTGAGAAACTCTCAGCCGACAGTAAAAAGGGGGAGTCGAAATTGCGAGCCGTCGACTGGAATGGATCCTTTTCGACGTGCAAATCCTGCATGGCTGAGATTCAGCTTTCTAACTTTGAGCACCCGAATCGGATCCGAAGCCGGATCCTGTCTATATGGTTTCATCATCTGGATGATACATTTTGGTCGTGAGGTGGCCATGCGGCGGCGCGTATGCGGGTGTACGCGAGATGAGTGGGGCGCGGCGAAAATTCGACTGTCGTCAGCGATGCGTAGGGATTTAAGTTTTTCGCGGACCGCGATTTTTCCGCGAATTTTCGCGGAAATTTCTGTCTACTCCCCATAGAGTTTCAATGAAGGCCGCGAATTCCCGCGAGTTTGGCGGAAATTTTCCGCGAAACATTTACATGCCTAGCGATGCGTGGTAGACGATGTGCTGATACCGATAGCCCGATACCCGGATATGTGTTCGTCGCTTTCGTACCAAGATCGTCAGCTCAGTGGCACGATCCTTTGCGCCGGCACCTTCGAGTACAACAATCGATCATCCTGCACCACGTTTAGTTTCAATGATCCTCAATAAGTGAGGTGATTTAAAGGTTTCAGAGGTGGTTCTTCGAAGACGTAGTTCGATAGCCTCTCTGATAGTTTTTCCTTGCCAGATGTCGCCTCAAAAGCCTTCCGCGATTTCGAAACTCTTAATCCGGAACCATTCGTGCATCCGTCACAAGATACGTCACATTTTTCTTAGAGAGGTAGTTCTACGTCAAAACGGCTTCCAGGACGACATCAATGGAGAACAGTCATTCTCGACAACGTCGACTCCGTAGACCCCTAGGAGATGATTTTCCGGAATAATTCCGAAGGCGCCGGCTGTGAGCAGTGTCTCCCATCGGCTGCTGCTCCGGCCTTCAGTCACTGACGTGGATAACGAAAGCAAGATCCTCGGGAGACTCGCACTCTAGGAGGGGGAGTGTAGATTGGGACGTTCCTGAGGCTGACTATCGCAGGGAAAGCTTCGTTCTGATCAGAACTGCTCAGATGTACATGGTCTTTATATCTCACAGATATATAATGTATACCCATGTTCTTCTTCTCCCGAGCCTCAAACCTATTTCTGTACAGGTATGCTTATCCATGCTAGAAAACAAATTATTCTGACGTCCCCACGTATGCGGATGCCGAAACTTGACAACCGAAGTTGAGATATCAAAGCATCAAAGCATCAGAGAGTCAGGATTCCCCTGAGTCGCACCAGATGCTAGAGCTTTCTGAAGAGCTGGATCGACGCTGCATTGTGTCAATCGCCGAAAGACGAAGTCCTGAACCGACACCAAAGTCTGCATCACAAAAAGCTAGACTCCAGCATGTCTAAAGTTCCTGAGCGACCGGCTGCAATCTCGGTCGAGGACGCTCCGTAGAAAAAGTCTCTTTGAGAAAAACGTGGCCAAAAGAACTCCAGTGTAAGTGCCCAGAGGGCAATTTGCCTGCTGCTGCCTCAGTGTCAAATCGCATTAGCTCGTTACACAATTTTTAGGCGCACACTTCGTCAGTGGAGACCGCTCGTTCATTGAGCGTTCAATTTATTTGGCTAGGGAACGAAACAGCTCTTGAGGAAGAATCGGTGGACCCACGGCAGGCGTCGCACAGGAGGTAGTAGTTTCGTCGCCGTTGGCATCAACATCTTTTTTCTGCGCGTCCACGGGGACCCATGATTATGGCTCCGCTTTCGAAAATTGAATCAAGTCGGGCGCTATTTCCGAGAGTCGCCATCGTTACGAATGATTAAGCGGGAAGGGAATTCAATATCTCTCCAGCGCAAATGAGGTGAATATTGAATAATTCGAGTGAATAAATCGCAGCATCTTGGAACCCGCTAGCTAACAGCAGCGACATCCGAGGAATGATCATAGGTCCACAAGCTCATCATCATTTCGGGTCATTCGGCCGCTGCGAGACGGAGCGTCGGCGGGCTCGCACTGGGACGATTCGGCCTGCGCAAAGGGTCGTTTGGGAGGCCGCATATCAGGCTCGACAAAAATGCGCGGTGGATCCAGTCACTTACTTTACGAGTCCGTCGGAATCCTAGAAATTAGGACGTTCGCCATGAGCGATGTCCCCCGTCCGGGTTGTAGGCTGCACGGCGGGTATCCAGCAGATCGCGCCAGCAGATGGTGGACTAATTTGCCGTGGGAGAGATATCATGACATACTTTCATTCCGATACGCCCGCAATGTCTTGGCTCGGAACCATTCTTTCTGATTCTCAGAACCTGGAATGGGAGCCAGTCGAGAGGAGTCGCGACTACATTCCACGAGATTGCATCTCAGTGAAATCGGATCAATGCTCAATCGGATCAACTCTGCGGAGTATTCTCTCGTATCAGCTCGTCCCTCTCCGTCGATGAGGAATAGCTCAGTAGGCAAAGAGTGGCTTCCGCCTAATTTCCTGTGGAAAACTGCGATTGACAAGGAGCAGCGTATTCATTGAGTAGCGCACGGGAAGTCAGCGATGGCTTAGATGAGGAGCAGATGGGGATGAAGTCAGCTTTATCCCGCCAAGCTCACCATGATAAACGACGATAATCGATTCGGAACCCGGAGGGCAGGTCCGGTGAGGAAGGAAAAGTGGAAGGGAGGGAAAATTCCGATCTTCGGAGGCAGCAGAACATCGTTTTTACCGTCCCGCTCGGCAGGGCGTAGCGTCTTCCTTACAAAACGATCAGCTAAGACGGTGCGAGTTTTGAGAATTTAGAGAGAGGGCACAGCGCCGATACTTATTAACGACCGGTGATAGCGAGACTGAGCTTCAGGATTACGCGGGCCAGTGTGTCGCGAGAACAAGGAAGACGAGGGGAAGTGAAATTTTCCGGCAAGAGCGGAAGTACAAGTAAGGCGAATTCGGGACGGCATTGTAGTTTTGTCCTCCTTCACGTCGACTACCCTAGAGCTCTGCCTCGACATATTCATCGGAGCAATCTAATCTTCGATTCTTAAAGATCTAATTAGTAGATGTTTTCCTCGCCTGCTCGCTGGACTCTGACGAGCTTCCTCAAATCAAACTCCCGTGTCGAATTCGTCCGACCATGACCTATCCGACTATATCGGCAGTTGGTACGAATAAACAGGGGTCTTGGGGAGATATTGTTTGCATAGTCGCTACGCGTATTCAAATCCTCGTCCTTCCCGCATTGCAACACTTGATATCCAGCTCGGCTAACCAGAAAGGCTTATGTGTTTTCCGCGCGGTACAAAGCGCTTGGAATCAACGAGTATCCTGGATTTTGAGCAGAGTCGCTATCGGAAATCGAATCAATTTATTATTCTAGAGGACTCGAGCGAGTAATCCCCGTCAATCGATCATTCGCATGCTATCAAAAAGAGATGATCTAGCTCTATAGGGGATACGGCACTCGTTGAAGAGTGATTGAAAAAGAGTTCTCGCGGACGCAATGTGTCTGTGAGAGAACAGTGCTGCGCAGGAACTCGGCTCGACCTCTGCGGATGGGAGCAGCGACGGCGAGGAGCGTGGGCAAGCAATGGTCGCAGAGAAAATGCGTCGAGCCATGCGCCGTGCGGCTCTCCGAGTTTTCTTGCGCATCCGGTCGTAGATTAGAATAGATGGAGTCTTCGACCTTCTGGGTTTCGCTGTTCGCTCGAAGGTAGCCTCGTCGCACCCTCAGCCTGAGACACCGTTCCCTTGTGTCGATACGCGACGGTATCTTACAATAATCATATGATTGTCCAATATATCAGAATTATTGCTAAACTCAGCCTCCTGTTAGCCGATGTTATTGTCTCCGTCGGCATACAGCGTGATTTGAAATCGGATGCGAGTTGGATGGAGGCATACGAGGCATTCTCCAACGACTTATGCGACTTGCAGCAGGTCGGGATTTTTCCGTCGAGTGGTGATATCATCGTCTCGCATATCCTTTGCCGACGAAGGCCCACGACAATACGGGAATGGTGAAGTGGTCTGAGAAGATTGGATCGAGAAATCAGAGAAGGAGGGCAACTTAGTCGGCAGAATAGGGTAGAGTGTAGTGGAACAGGGGAAATAAGAGCGAAAACCAGCGAGACCCTTTAGGCGCGATGTATTCTGGGGCCAAGCTTGTGTCCTGCTGAGTCGTGTCGCCCTTCACTTTTTCTCGCAGCAGAACTCCGTGTGCAGCTTACGCTACCTCAGAGCGGCTATCCGGCTGTTTGTTGACAGCTTGCCCCGACGGCGTCAACAACTGCATCCTTTCATTCAGCCTCCGGAGCATCACGCATATTGCTCGTCTTGCTGTTTATGCCTCGCTCCGTGTTCATGACGGGGTATCTAGCAGCCGCCGGGAGAAGTATACGTACATACGCCCACGATGTTACTTTCATAGGACTGATGGATTTCGGGGAACTTTCCCTCATGGAGGCGCCTCATGGACTGGGACTGGCAGTAATTTGTTCCAAAATCCATCTAGTCTAAACTTAGTGAGCACCGAGAACCACGCTCACTTCAAGTCGCTCATTATGCTTCAGCACCGCTCAACGGCGACTTAATTTTGTTCGCGCCGCAAGATTCGTGTTCTCGGAATCAAGACGTTGATTAATTGTTGCAGATTGTGAAGACGGGCGATGGAGAAGTCGCAAGCGGAGGCGACAGCCGTGGAGGGGCCCTGTCGAAGCTCAAACAGAGCGTCGCCTCCGGCATTCAGGGTCTGTCGTCGCCATCCAAGACACCGCCGACAACACCAACGAAGCTCTTCAACAGAGACCTCACCGGACACCTCACCGAGGAAGAGCGCCGCATCCTCGAGAAAGTTTTTGAGAAGGAGCAGGCTTTTGAATTGATGCAAAGTAAGTGCTCAACGCCCGTTTCCCTGGAATTCGTCGTTCCTCGACCTCTCTTTGAAGCTCTTAACCGCACGACTCCAGCGTTCCGTGCAGTGGTTGCGGGACATTCGTCTCTGGCAGCGGATGGCATTCGATTCGCTCCGCTCTCTCGGGTTGGGGCATCTTCGATTTCGTCGAATGAGTGTTCGCGTTCATTTCTTTCCGCGGACGGGAATCCTGTTCCGACGGCGACAGTGCCGAGCTAAGCAATTTGCTCTATTCCAGACAAGGGGCGTCCGGGGGAGGCCAAAGCTCGGGCTTGTTCCAGCAGCAACAACATCAACAGCTGCAGGGCACCGCGAGTGCTGAATCGAGCGGCGGTGTGAACCCACTGTTGCCGGCACCCAAAGGCAAAGCTTCGGGAGGCGAATGTCGAATTTGCCGGAAGGTGCTTGCCAACGACGAACCTCGGAAAATATGTGATGAGTGCAAGAGTCCGATTTGTGAGGACTGCGCATCGTATACCTCTGATAGCTCTACGGTGAGTAGGGACCATCCGTGGTAGGTATCATGCGCCGAAAGACAGAGAGCAATCCGTCTCCACGGGAGCGTACACGGAGACCGGAATGGCTGGTCGGCCACCGGACTCAGAGCAGCTTGCGCGCGTACGAGCGTACGCACTTACATACATGGGCCCCCACGTACGAACGTGCGTACGTTCGTTGCTGGTTACGACATGGCGGAAGATATCAGGTCGTTAAGTTAATTGGCTCCCTTCGGTGCCCTGCGTCGTGCCCGGCTCCCTATCTCGTTCCCGTTGTCTCGCCTGCCGTCCCCACCTCAGCGTTTTTCTTGCCGCCGTTTCTCAGAGGGCACGAGCTGTCCAAGTCCGACGGATGTGTCCTGCGGGAGGGCAGAAAGGAAGACGTGAATATGTCGCCCCGCCATTCGCCGCCGTCCTGCCGTAAAGACATGATTGTTCAATTTTACGACGTCCTTCTTCTACTCGACTTATTCTCGGTATATTCTTCAACGTTCTTTGAACCGTTTTGCAGATATGGCGCTGTAGTTTATGCCGACGGCGATGTACTAGCGTTGGACTCGGCATGGAAGCTTCTACAGGTGCCGGAATTCACAGGGTACCTTCTGTCAGGAGGATGGTGAGTGAGCCGCGAGGCAATCCTTGTTGATCCGTCGGGCTGACCCAACGGCGTAGCGTGCCTCTATGATGCCCGGGCCGGATGCCGCGGATCTCGAGCCGAAACCTCGATTAGAATCGTTTTTTTTCAACCGAGCATTCGCCAGATTCATTATTAACTTCTGCATACCGTTAGGAATGAGCGTTCAATCAATAGGACTGAACCTGAGAGAAAACTCAGATTAAGGCATTCCCATCGGACATGCCCCAGAAGCCTTAGGCCCGGGATGGACCCCCCTCCTCGCTACGCCGTTCGGGCGGCGCGGTGTTCTATCGAAATCATCCGTGAGATTAGTAAATGGCTGGCGTCTCTTCAATTTGCCTTTTATTCCAGGAACATGGATCTCAGCGGAGTTTGCTAACCGATCTGGTTAGCCACACGACCGGTGGAGGTACTCGAGCCAGCTTTATGCTACCCGATTCCTACAGAGAAGCTCTCATTATGGAGCTTGAGCAGCAGCGACAACGCGAGGAGAGCAAACAGGACGACGATACTCCAGGGAAATGCGAAAATCCAAACAGCCTCAGTACTTCAGCCTTAGGGAAGCCCCTGAAACGAGGATCCTATGCAGGTACAACTGAATACCAGAAAAGCAGCCAGGATCAGCCCAGACAACAGGGAACCGAGAGCACGGGGTAAGTCCTGTCCCTGCACTGAGCAGTCTATTCAACTCCGGAGTTTCAGCTTCGGCCTGGGATACAGATTTTGAGATTGAGCGAGGAAACGAAAACGGCGAGGAAGCCAGCGTACCATGGTTTCGGACTGAGAACTCTCTCTCAGATAATTAATATCAGCTTATCGAATCGACGGCTGGAACGGAATGGACAGCTAACACGGCTTTTGAGACGTCGGCGTCGTCGGACCACCCATGGATTATTATGAGAAGAAAGACCTGTTAAGGGAACGCGCGTTTAATTTCCGTCCTTTCGGCTGGTGCCTCAGGGTGAAGATCGGAACTCCTCCGGGACCGCAAAGTATTCGAGTCGAACATTTCATCGGATGCTCTGGAATTCCTTGTGATCTTCCGTAGAGGCGGAGTATCGTGTCTTCGAGCATCGGTTCCCAGGGGAAGCCCGTTTGAATTGGCAACCAGCGTAAGATCGAACGGACAGACTGAGCGGAATGTAGACGGGGCGCCCCGCAGAATCCGAATGCCGTCGATCCATGTGTGTTCCCACTGAGCGTTCGTTCAATTGAACCTCCAGCCCTGTCAATATGATCGGGCGACCGACGTACAGCCGATGCGGTCCGAGCGGAATTCCCATCCGCTCGAAACCGGTCGTCGCTGCCTCGGCTGATAGGCCAGGTCTGGCACCGGCTACTCCCGATTAAACCGAAACTTGAACCACTCCACCTCAGGACGCGCTCTAGGTCCCGAGGCTTGTCACTCATGACCTGCGATCGACCTTCGGAATGAATTCGTAGGTCCTCCCGCGCTCGGAGCTTAGGTACTGGGTAAGGGGGGGAATAATGCGCTATGGCGGGAGTCCTCGACAGAGATCTGCGCGAGATATCTCGGGCAGGAATCTTCGCTGGGAATCTTTGCGGACCAAATGAGCTCTCAAGTCTCAAGAGAATAGGCTGAAGTCGGAATACAATGAAAAAAAAACGTCGAGGACGATATCAAACACACGAAGTCGAGCGAGTCCGAATCATACGTCAAATTCCAAAACGGGATCAAGTCGGGCACGAGCTTTGATGAGTCCGAGCTTCAGGGATGGTTCGTCTCCGGTTCGATTCCGTTTCCACAAAGTAAACAAAGAAGAGGGCAAAGAGATTTTTTCCTTGTCCCTCGCTCTGGTCCCGACGTTGCAATCAGCGGAGAGCTAATCAGAGCAGCGAGTCTTGAGTTGGAAACGTTTTAATTAACCGCAACCGGTGACACACGCAGCGTTAATAACGTCATTACGATTTCATTCTATGCTAACTAAGAAGACTCTCCCGTCGACGTAGGCGACCCCTCAGGCGAGAATGTTGACAGACACCCGGTCTCCTTCCCTCCCTCGCGCTACTAGTATCGGGCTCGATGTGAGTCTCACGATACGCGCTCTGATACTGAGACGTCAGCTAACAACAGCCCCGTGTTTGTGTTTCATGTATGAGCTCGAGGAGCAAAAGGCTGATTGCGAGGAGTATATTCCGTGTTTCCGACAGGCTGGTGCATCTGTGGCGTCGGGGATTACGAAGCGAATTAGGGCCTGCGGTGTTCCGACCGGGAATTCGGGGTGTGAAGCAGTCTGCGTCAGACTCGATGTTGAGAGCGCTTCGCAAGGAAGCATGATCGTCGCCACACGCGGAAGAACGTGCTCTCGACAAACATCTCGGCCTTACCCAGAAAGAGTTTTTCGACCCAACAGTAACAATGTATGAGAGACGTTATTCTTCATACATTGTTCGGGAGCAATTATCATGAAGATTACTTTGAAAACGAAAAAAATAAGGGTTTCGTTCGGCGATCAGTAATTACCGAGCATTACGAATCACAAACCGAGCGTTTCCCTTCGAATCCCCTACCCGGGGGAATGAAAATTCCCCCTCTGTTTCCCCAGGGTATCCGAGGACACGAATTCGTTGTGCGATTTCCTGCATCCCCGTGCGGTATATCTCGCCCGAGAGAGGATTCTCGCTCGCAAAGTCGTCGTGCGACTCTTGCGACATCCCTCTCGCTGGGGTGCGACGCCACCACGGATTCTCGAGGAGACGTTTTGTCGGGCGTCTTGCTCGCTTGAGTAAACAGAGTCGCAAATGCTCTTTGATTTGATTCGTCACTCGAATGCTCCCGGTTCCAGACCTCCCATCCAGGACTCTTTGTCCGATTCGGCTACGAGCGAGAATAACTCTCGGGACACGTGGAGTTTGCCGTTCTTCCTTCCTCCTGTCCATTACCCGTCGCCGCATCGGGATACCGGCTACATATAGAGATCTAAACACGAAGCGGATAACGCCTTGAACGATAGAAATTGACATCGGAATTCGACTTTGGACGAGACAACGAACGGGGAACGATTCCGCTCTTTCAATCGAATCCCAGCCTATTTACACTTCCGACGCTACCCGGTACGAACTGAACGGGGTTTGGGAAGGAAAACGAATAGGGAATGCAATACCTCGCGAACGCCTCCCTCGCGAAAACCAATCGATGGCGGGCAAGTTCTCTGTTTGACGACCGAGGTCTCGTGCGCTATCAACGCTACCACCATGAGCATCGCTGTTGTTTCAAAGCAGAAATTTACAATTCAGATTGTGATTGCCGTAGACTCTACCGGCCAAACAGCGGGTTTGAAGTTTATTCGCACGACTCCACGGACAGGTGGGTGCTCCTGCGCGAGACCAAGCGAGTGCCTCGATCTGGGTCGACGGAATACGTTGCGGCGACCGATGCGGTGACGCATAGAATCGGAGAGGGGTTTGGACGGCTTTTCCGTGGCACGGGTATCAGACGATCTCCACTCGACTCCGAAACTCTAATCCTCGAGGCGTGGTGAACAGCTTCGGACCGCAATCGTCGAACCCTCGGGTCCGAGTTCGAACCTTTGCCGGGCACCAGTTCCCTTATAAGCTTTCGGCTCACAGTGGGAGCTCCTCCTCGATCCGACAGCTTCCAAATGTCACCGTATCAAAGAGAGCGCGGTAAGATTGCGAGCGACCAGAGTTCCGAGCGGGGAATCGAAGCTCTGAGCGCTTGTCGACGAAAACGCGGCGTGACGACCTCCCGGTCGGCGTTGTGCCTCTCTCCGATGTAACGTATGTATCTCGCTCGAGTTGACCACTCGGCTCCACGATCCAATCTCTTCTCGATCCGGAACTCGCAGCCCAATCGCTTAACTGCTCGTCCTGCCTGACTTTAGACGATCTGGCCATCCGGAACGCATCCATCCGTGAGATTGGCTTTGTGGGGGCTTCGGACGGAACAGAAAGGTACGGCAAGCCGCTCCTAAGATGGGCGTTCAGCATACGAAGCTATTCAACGAGAAATCGTTTTCTGTCAAGCGAGAGTTGCTGGATGAACTCTTGACCAGCCTCCGGGGTAAACAGCCGGACGAAATGGCTGCGGCCATGGATCCTCCATACGTGGGACGGCGCCTCGGTTGACGTCATCCGGAGAGAGAACGTCACACTCTCACCATGAGGACGAAGTTCTCGATGATGCCTCACGCTCAGAAAGAACTTCCCGTTGACTGGCTCTGGGGCCGTGATCCGACCGAGTGGCTTTCCACGTAATGTGCGTCGATGGCGGGCGAGTAATCGCGCACCTCATACATATGTAGGTCATCGACGACTTTGTGACGGGCATCGTTTTTCCGACGACCGACGGAGTAACAGCAGAAGCGAGGGGTTTCCCCCGAACGGCACACTCAGGAGTCTCCCGCCGCTAAGGAGTGTATGGCCTCCCACCATTCATTGCTCATGTCCTCTTTTGCCGCCAGGAGTAACTTGATGATGAGCTCTTCTTCTCTTTAACGTGGGGCGACCTGATGGGCTTCTTCTTCTTCTTTCCGTGCTCGACTGCGTCTCTGAGTCGAAAGAGCGAGAGGGGGTTGCCGGGAGGAATGTATTCAAGTGGCTGGCCTGGTGTCCGACCAGGTAGGTCGAGCTGACGTCTGGCGGAGTGCTTTTTCCTTAGCTGGTCCTCCTAGTCGAGTGGCCGAGCTGTATTGGCGGCGGCGAGCCCGTCGTTCGGTTAGTCGATTGGCTTGTCTGTCTGCCTGGTCGCCAGCGCCTTCTATGCCCCACCATCTGAAAGGATGATTAAATTCGGCTCGGCGACGGTGGCGGCGGCGGTAGAGTTCCTAGTTCAGGAGGGCAGCAGCAGCAGCAGGGAGGAGGTCCTTTGTCGTTGGAGCTCTTGTTCGTAACAGCCCCTCGTTCGAATTCGTTCTGCTTCGTTGAGGTCTAATGTGAAGTCAAGAATCTGATGATGAGGCGTTTCTAGGGCCTTTTGTTGTTAGTTCTCGTCGAACTGCTGACCGGCCGAGAGAGCGACAACGACGGAGGGCGACGCCGCGCCGGGGATGTTTCCTCAGGACGACGAGTAGACGGAGAAGAATCCGCCTGCTTGCACGGTACTAGAGGGTCTCGACTGGATCCATCCACAATTAGTTCGAACGGATTGCCCGACCCGGAAACGCCGTGTACTTACTTAGCCTCGTGCCGGTCTCTTTTTGCGTCGTTCTGGCACCCCGCCCGAGATTTACGTGAGCCTGGTTATCGACAGCCTGTTTCGTCCCTCTAGAGGAACTTTGTTCGAAGTGAAGTACCCCCCGGTGTCTGTAAATGGCCTCCTGCTCCCGAGAAGGCACGCGCATCCAGCCCGGGAGTAATCGATTTCCCGGGAGCTCGGAGGGAACTACAATAGAGGGGAATTTTCGGAAAATAAGCAAGAACAGTCGTCGAGAACCTGAATGATAAGAGCTCCCTCGGAGAAGACGCGTTCAGTGATCTCTCTGCGGAAGATTTTCGACGGTGATGACCTCGGCATAGGCAAATTCTCAGAGGCGCCTCAAACCGATAGATCAGCATCTGGCTGCTCCAGGTGGCGAGAAACTTGCCGAGAAGCTCGATTCCACCCTCGAAACCAATAAGTTCCTCACCAATGGCGGGAGCCGAAGTCAGCGAATTGTGTATCACAGATAGGCCAAAAGCCGACGGGAAGGAGAATGAGGGAAGCGAAAATAGACAGATCTTCACTTCTCTTTGTCGGTAGTTGTTCCCATCGGCTTTGGCGCCGTGGCGTCAATGTTCGGCATGGGAAACTGCAAACCAAACGCTGTTCGTGGCTTACTCGCACAGGAGCAACAGGGGCTCACGCTCCCTCGGATATTGGGACGCTATAATGGTCTTAGCCGCTGTTTTATCTCGTTTTCTTGTGAGTATGTTTCCCCTCCCCCTTCCGCGGCGGGGTATTCCTCGTGGGAAGAGGATGCTCAGCCTGCCCGGATCACGTCGTAGCAGCGGTCATCGAGAACGAATCATCGGCAGAGGGTTCGGAATGTTTCTATTGCCCGAGTGGAATGGACCGAATGTCGCCAGACGTGTGAAGCAGCTGTGGAAAGATTTCGAAGCTCATCGATATGGAGCTCCCCGAGCAGCGAGTCAATGGCATCGTGCAGACTTCGGAAACCTCTATTCCATCGACTTTTACGAATTTGCACTCCGAACTCGCCCCGCAGGAGAAGGAAGCGCATGAGGAACCGTATCGATAGCCATGAAAGCAATTCCTGCTCGGTAATTATACATAAGGAGAGCATGTGCCTCCGCTGGCTGTCGGCCCGTTCGCCGAGCGAGCTACTTTGCTGCCTGCCACCTGAACCGTCTGACTGGATTGGAATATGTCCCTCTGGGGAGCCTTATTGGAGGTCGTTCGCTGCTGTAGTCCGCAAACAGCCCGGAGCCAAACGTCACCGACAGCGGTAAAATCGGCAGGGCACGATCACATTCACCGATGAGATGAAAATGACATCGCGTGATTCAACTCACCCGTGACGCTCACCTCGTAGGAAGTTCTGAGTTCACTTGGACGCCGTCATCGAGAGCGTATCCGAAACCTGTGGTGGTCGTTGGGATTCTTTTTCTCATGAAGCTGCCCCTCGGGGCGGACGACTCCGAGCATTACCCTCGACCACCTGCGAATTTCCGCAAGTCGATAATGAGTTCGTGATTCGGGATCAGCGGACAGCAAAAGTGGATGGTGGATATCGATGGCGGACCTAAGGTCGTCTGCGAAGCGTGCCGCAGTTCCTTCCCCATTTCAAAACATAAGAAGACAGATCGGACGTGGCGTTTTTTCTTTTTGCGTCCGACGAGTTTGAAAGACGTCCTTGTGAAAGAGCCACCATAGCTACTTGAGCCTAAAAATACATATCCTGCCGGGAGCGAAACGACAGGTCGCAGACGAGAACGTCTCGCAAAATATTGATAACTGTTGCGCTCCGGAAAGTACGGGGACCGATGCGGAACGGGGCGTGGAGAGCACTTGTATCGACGCTCGCAAACTCACATAATCGGATTATGTTCCCGCAGATCGAACATCCGTGTGGAGGAAGGTCCAAAATAATTCTTGAATGTCGGAAACGATTGAATGACGCTTGTCGCGAGACGATCGCAAATAAACCAGATCTTCGTTTCCCGTTCGGGAAACATTACGATAAGCTCTCAACAAAGACGCATGTTGGATTCCGAACGCGCGTGGGGAGTTCGCATCCATCTCGGTGGGAATGATCCAAGCAATCGTCATAGGTGATCGATGAGTTCTTCCGACAGCAGGCCATCGCTTCACATAAGCGATCGCCTCACCTGGGATCCACAGAGTTTTCCTCCCTCGAGAAACTCGAGGAATTCCAGTGGAATTGGCCACGATCGAACCCGCTAATTTTTTCCCGTACCAGCGTCTTCTTCTCCGGAGAGAAACAACTGGTGCACTCATCTCGGTCTCCTGGGTCACGCTCCGAACTGGGAACCTTCGTCTCTTGAAGTCAAGAGCTGTAGTCTTCTCTGAGGGAATGCGGGTCCGGGAGCTTTTGTTCTCTCATCTTTCCGTAGTTCGAACTTTCTGATTCGCTTGCCCATTCGGAGGGGAAATTTCCTGCTGCTCGCAGTGACAGCAAACCGCAGAGGACATCCATGCGGTGCCCGTGGCGTCGAGTCAGGTTTCCGTTCTGCCGAGCGGTCACTTCCGAAATCGTCCCTCGCTCTTTTCATTCGCTGATTCGGACATGTTCTGTTCCTTTCTCGCTCATTAGGAGGAACGGTGTCGAAGTTTTCGACGGTACGTGAATTCAGTGTAGCATCGACTATTAATTTTGATTTGCTTCCTTCCCAAAGTCGTTCGAAACCGCATTCGACGACAGGGTGCTGGATCCGGGAACGATAATGAGATGGCCACTCAGAGCGGCATGGCCGTCGGCTCTCTTTGTGGAAATAAGCCAAAGGAGAGAGGATGCAAGTGAGGATTTTTCTTCTTTGAGATCACGTCTATCTGTCACTGGTCTGGACTTGAGAGTTTTCAAGCCGAAAATTGCGCTTCGGAAATCTCGTTTTCGTGATGCATCACACATCGACGTGGTAGACAGCGCAGGGGGGAACACGTCGCAAGTTGTTTACTCCTCGAATTTATTGAGTTCGAGACATCGGGAGACCCTTGCTGTGATCATCCACGTCTACAGTTTTTCAAAGTCGGGATGTCGTTCGAGCTCTCCAGTTCTCCCGGAGACTCTTCGAAGATTATCCTATCTCGCGAGAGCCGCTGTCGCGACGCGGAGCGTGAAAGAAAAATTCGAATATAGCTACAGATATCCACCCAGGCGTTCCCTGAGGCGCTCCGCCGTCCTGCTGCCTGTTGATTCCCCTAGGCAAACGGGAACGCTATCGATAAAAATGAATGGGATGGATGAACTATTCGAAAAACTTCTACGTCCAGAACGAAGGAGCGACCGTCTCTCGTGACCGACATTGAAATGATGCCACCGAGCTACCGCGTTCATTGGTCTACGGACTCCTATTCAGCGCGGGATCTCCACCCAATGGGATGAGTTTGATGACGCTCGTCACGCAGTGGCATTGTCGATCCCGGCTGCGACATTTTCCGCGGAGTGCAGATCCGAACGGCTTTTTCAAGAGATCGGAATTTCTTCATTCAAATACCGATCTTCCGAGAATCCTTCCGCATATCGCTGTCTCCTCTACATATGTTCGGATGGAACTCATTGGTATACGAAAACCGCGAGAAGAAGCTGATCGACAGCTTTCCGGGAGTATTATATAAGCGTCTATATCTACATTTGTCAGTTATATAAGTTTTCCTTCGTGAGCCCGACACTTGTAGGGAGACGCAAAAGAAGAATTCGTGGGGGAAAGTTTTGACCTTCTTCCTCATTCCGCAGAGGCTCTCCGACCGTCCGCCGCAACAGTAGTCGTCTCCAGCATCGAGATAGTACAGGAGATCGTGACACGGGCAGCAGGAGATCATCATCGGAATCGACGGGAGCTCACGGCCATCACGGCCCTCATCGGAGTCCACGACACTCCGTCTCGAAGCAGCCTGTGTCAGGCCACTCAGATCACCACGTGCCTTCTTATCACCAGCAGTACCCTCCGGGCCAACAGACCAACGAATCATTTTCGGATGGGAGTGGAGACGAAGAGGAACGAGGTGAGTTTTTCGCTCCGAACTCGCCCTAGAGCAAACAATTTCTACGAATCGATTCCGGAATGGCAATCCTGTTGGGCCGCATGCCACCGATCATTTGGACTCAGATCCACATTCCGCATGTTTCTCTCCTCTGCTCAAAGCAACTTCTGCTCCGTCCTCTCACAAATTGTTCCTTCCGGACTCATCTGCCATGCAAGCAGTCGGTCGGTGAGATGGAAGCGTCTCGATGGGTTGATTAAGCAGGAGAGCCGCAAGGGCATCAAGCGGACTTCCATTCCCGGAAAATGAATGAGCGCTACATATCTTAGCCCGCACCTAGATAAACTTCTCCGTCCACATCGAAATCTTGGAGAACCAGAATTTCCGAGATAACGGCAAGACCAACCTCAGACTGCCATTCTCATTCGGTGGAACCTCGAAGCCGGAGAAGCTCAGGCCGACACGAGAAGTCGGGATTCGCGGCGAAGAAGTTCGCCGGGGAAGAACTTCTTATCCCGCCTCGGAAGCTCTGTATCTCCCCGAACGGCGCCACGAAACGTCGTTCGCCTCTCGGAATAGCGATTCGGAAGGATTTTGCTCGAGTCCTCCCCCGCCATCGTCGTCGCTAGAATTCTGCGGTTCCGAGGTGCTACTCGATCGTTATCGCCGACTCTTGAGACCGAATTCGACTCCCTCGCCAAATTGTTGGTTCCTCGAGAGACACAACCCCCACTTCTCTCATAATTCGATGGTATCGATGATAGCCATACCGGAACTCGGAATAGACTCGTCGGCCAGTGGATTTCATTGAGGGGGAAAATATTATCGCGCGATCGCTCCTCGGATCCCGAGGTGTCTGGCCTCCGGTCACGGCTCCTCACGACTTCTCGAACTTCTCCGTGTCTGGATATAGATTGGTGATTGATGGGTCTGGAAAGATTCGGATGAGAACGAAACCTTCACTTTTCCAGGTCGGACAGCACCGATGGAGGGCGAGCCTCACCTGATGCGACAGCCCTCACAGGGAGGGAGGCAAAAGTCCAGGAGAAAGTCGCACGCTCACAGGCAGGAATCGCGAGGCGAACGTCGCCATTCTAGCAAGGTCTGTATCCACGTATCCCAACAGGTATTCTCTGCCGTGAATGCAACGAGGATGTCGTCGGAGACGGCCCGCAATTAGTGCGGAGAGAACTTCCGCCAGGTTGGCTCCGCACCGATGTTGATATCTTTCTGCCATGCGCGACTCAGTACAGAATTTCCCGCTTTGGCCAACCGAGAAAAACGCTCCGATCTAAACTTTCGCGGCGACATGCTCCCTGTTGCCGGGACACCGTCGAACGTTATGCAGCTCGCCGAGAGCTTTTAATAGGGAGCTCGCTCAGTTTTTTGTTGTCAAAACTTTTACAAGGCGTGCTTAGACCGCCATAAAAATCCTTCGTGAGGAGCACAGCCTGCAAGTTCCTGCGAAACTTGCGGCCACCAGCTTTTGCGGGTTTTATTGCAACTCAATCCGCCCGGTCTAGCGGGGAGGGTCCCGGAGAATCTCCCACTCGCTCTCGCTAAGACCGCTCGGTATCATTCCCGGTTAGGGCTGAAGACGTTCACTTCAAGTCGCGAAGGGGAACAGCTGAGAATTCATGAGACATCTCCATGGAGTGACATGTCGGAGCTGTACGTTATGTGCATAAGCCGAAGTCTCGCGAGCGTCGCGAAGTTCCTGTTGAATCGGCTCCGTTAGTTTTCTCGGTGTCGTCTGATAGCAAACACTGAGCAAACTCGCTGTATTCGTCTCCACGGAGACTACAACAACTGTTATTCTTGAATCTCCGAGCTGCCGGGCTCTTACTACAGGGGATTTTTCCTGGAGCAGCGTGGGCGGGGAATTTCAATTCATGATCCGTGGGTATAAAACACGTCTTCGCCCCGCATGCGGTTCACGCTCCGGGCATTACGCTCGTGGAATGAATGTGCGCGATGGTTACACCCAGTGGACTAAATGCTGGCGGAGACGTTCGCAGGCCGGCCGGTGTCGAGCTCTGTCCCAACCTCGAGAATATTCATACCGCGAACCGGGTAGACCGATCGGAACTATTCCTCCATCGGCTGTTCGGAACCCACGAGGTCATATTCGGCGGACTCGGAGAGGAGGAGCGATATTTCTTTCCGAGCGAACTCCGTTGGCAGTGTTCTCGAAGACCTTGAGCTCCGACTCTTGACCTTGAGGAGAGCTCTCATCCAGCCTCCGACCTCCTGTTCCTTCTCCTTCAGCGCCGTTAACGAACACGCGGAATAATAGAACACTAACTTGCAACAACAACGGGGGCAGCACGAGCATCAGCCGCAAAGAATTCATGAGAGCTGATAGGGAATGAGAAGACGGGATAATCACGAGCGACTCGCGTCAAGTAACCTTCGCCACCCGCAGCAGACACCTCGAAAAGCAAGACGCTCTCACTCGGTCTATTCCCCTGCGTATGCTGCTTGCGAGCAGAATAAACACGGCATCCTCTAGACTTCGGCGAACTCTGTCTGACTCCTTCGACCGAGGCTCTGTGCGGCTGCTGCTGCTGCCACAACTTCTACAGCGTACACCTGCTCCAGTGACGTCGGAATTTTTCTCCAGAGACAAATGGAAAATGTCCGAAGAGTCGAAAACTGGTCGTTTGATCGGTCCACACAGCAGCGGTTGCTTGTCTGGATCTCGTGTTCCTCAATTCTTTCTGCTCTGTTCGGCACTCGAGAAGCCGATTTTCGCTTCAGTTTCCTCTCAGCTATCGAACCTTCGCCCGATGACATCCGTCGACGGCACGGTTTCTCAGAAACAGCCCCGGAGAAGACTCCTCGAGAAACACTTGACTTGCTCGAGGAAAAAAAAGTCAACGCTCATTAAGAATAAAGGAAAACTGGGATTCTCGGGAACACTCCTCTTTCTGAAGGGGACAGCGACGATGGAAAGTTTCGCAACCCGCTTGTGAAGAATCGGTTCTTCCCTTCCATCGCTTGAACAGTATCCGGCGTTTCCCTGTTCCTCGAGGAGCGGGAAACCGATGTTTCAGGCGCGGTGCTGTCGGGGAGTATGCACGCACGGGTTTCCCACAGAGAGTGACGACATTTCCCCCTTGAAGCTAGGGATCCGATGACATTCCTGGTTTCTCCGTGGATGAGCGGAAAAACAAGAACCAACATCGCTCACCTTGAAGGCTGAGCGGATTCCGTTAGGGGGAAACGGGGACCGATAAACTTCGTTCCGAATGTTGACAGAGGAGTTATTCCCGGAGTTGACGTCGAGGCAATCGGTCTTTTTTGTACAGTCGAACAAGCGCTATCGCTCACAATCCGTCACGACCAGCGGAGTAGACTTCTTAAATTCGACTTTGCACCTTCAGATGAACACGGGCTAGATTTTTGCTCACTTCAATTTTTCCCGTGAGTGAAACCTGTTTTCACCGCCTTACAGGAAGAGGAAGGGGAGGCCAGCGATCCAGAATGGCAAGGACACCCCGACGAATACAACCAGAGATACGACCAGGTAAGTTGGGCGTCAGAGGTAAAAACACGAGCCATTCAAATGTACTCACGTGATCTATGGAAAGCCAACGACTTGAGGTGATTCTTGATGCTGATCAATGATCTCGGGCGGGGGAGCTGCTACCGTGCCGGGAGAGCTGGGAAATGCGGCAGAGACGACGCTTCCTTGCGGGAAGAAAGATCGCCAGGGCCATAGATTCCAATTTCGTTCCTTCCTGAGGATTTGACTTCAATGGCGGTGGCGGGAAGCCTGGCTTCCTTCCAAATTGCAGCGCTGCTGTCCTGATTCTCGGTCTTCGCACGACGATACCGGTCGAGTTCATGCTATTTTGAGAAACGGCACCTTCGGCCGGAAGCGAGCTCGGCGTCGGCGGCGGACTCTGGTTTGACTTGTAACGAATAACCCCCTCATTCTTCAGTCGCATTGGCTGCGACCGTTCGACATGACCAAGTATTCGATGACTTCCCTCCGACAGTCGAGGGAAAACTGCGGGAAAACAGGAGGGTACGACTCCGGTCCATATCCCCCCCCCCACTCTTTTCTGGAGCATCGGGTATACACAGCTCCCGGAACTCGCACGCACGCCGCCAGGGCGGGCGGGATCCGGTGGAAGGAAATTCCGAGCGGCCTCGGAGTGCTCATTGGGGGAAATGATGAATAAATGTCGATAAGAAACTGATTGACACTCCTGCCGTCGACGCTAGAAATTCGCACTGATGTCGAGAGCGCTAATCCCTCCATACTTATGACATAGTCAATGTTGCCTCTGTCAGCGGCTTATGAATATGCGAGTGCTTCAATTCGCGGCTGCTTCCCAGCGGGGGATCGCAGATGAGGACTCGGGAGAAACCGAAAGAAGGAAATTCACAGTCAACTTCACGCCTGAGATGAAGCCGGCTCCCGAGACGGTGAAGTTTCCTGCCCATCATCCGCCGCGACGTGCAAAGTGACATGAAGCATCTGTCACCGAATGTCGACTCACTTCTGAGTGTGGATACGTGATTTCGTTTTGGAGGGAAGCAAACAATGCCGATATGAAGACTTCCATCCGCCAGCCACTTGTAGCTCGTTGTCCGACAACCCGGCGACGCGCGTAACTCATCGCGAGACGACTCCGCATTCAATATTTGAAAAATCTTCCGCCATGTTCCCCCGGTGCCTCTCGAACCCCCTCCCCCCTATCCCCCTGCCCCTTTCCCGCCGACGCAGTCTCTTCAGAGAGAGAGAGCGTATCCAGACGTGACCGATGACGGAGCTGTTCGGGGCGGACCGTGGGACCGACCGCGGAGATCCGGAAGCGAACGGAAAGTGTTCATTACCTAGCGGGCGAATGTATTTTTCGCTCCGGTCTGCGACAGAATGCTATGTTATTCCTGCTCCCATGAGGAGCGTGCAAAGCGTTCCGGGATCACAGCGCTTGTATTGATCGTCGGAAATAGTTACCTGATCAGGGCTTTGCTCAGTCAGGGAGCGATTGAGCTCAAGTTCAAGCCGAGGACCTGCTAGTCTGCGAGCTGGAAGGAACTAAGTCGAGATAGAGCAAGGGACGTGCACGAGGCGATTAGGGGTGGCGAATGCTCCCATTCGGCACAGAGCCTCAGGCCGATGCGCCCAACAGCGTTTCCTCTCTCTTTGTCTCTCAAAACGAGGCCAGACCGAACTCTCGCGAAGCGATCGGAACTCCTCCGGACCGGCCCCACGAGTCTGCCGAAGCCAACGCGTTACTTCTTTCGGCTTCCGAATTGCTGACTCATGTTACGGGGGCCTTCCAGAGCGCTCTTCCAAGTATTTATAACCTCATCGAACTCTTTGCCGATCTCCTCGTCGCATCTCGGTCTTCCTGCTCGGCAATTCCTCGAACATGTCCCATTCTTGCCTCTGATATACCTCGTAATGACGTTCCCTCCCCGAATCGCTAAATCGAGAACGGAGTACGCAAGACGGGAAATCCATCGCGAACTATTCGTACCGAAGTCGGTGAAGAATTCGAGACCTGTGGAATATTATATTCCGGATTTCTGCTGATTTCCGCTTAGCCTCGTCGGACTCTCCGACCTGCAGGACTGTGAGACCTCGCTACTCATCGAGCGTGAATCTGACAATGGTTCCGTCCCACATAGTCCGAGATGTATCCGGCCAAAGGAACCGCCCCTGAGCCGCATCGGGGAAGTGTTCTCTCGGTGAAAATTCATGATCCTCGTCGACTCTTAGGCAATTGACATCATCGGAGAAGATGATAGGGTCGCTGATTATTTGTGATCTCGTATCCCCCCCCCATATCATGATCTTCGGACTACTCGGAAGAGGAGCCGGGATCCGAGACAACATTCCACCATCGACTCGGTATCGCGGCCCTCGTCTAGAGTCGCGGGATCTGACGCGACCGTCCGGAGCCGTGACAGATGCTCAACGAGTTTCCGGAGCGCGAGATTTCCGGATCGACCCGATTTTCAGTTTTCAGGCTCCCGTACGGAACTTCGCAGGGCGGTCCCGACCGATATACCAAAGCGTGAATCGCACGCCCGACGACGGGAGCGGACATCACCGGCCCTCGAGGCTACAATTCAAGTTACATATTCGATTCGCCGCTTCATTTGATTTCAGGCCGGAAACCGTCGTCGCTGTAGCTCCGAAAGCTCAGACGTCAGTGATGTTAGTGGGGACTACTCGACACATTCAGACCGATCAGGATGCACCTACGCCTACTACAAGGCGCCACTTTCTCCCGGCCGTAAATACGCAATGTAAGTCAATGATGCGATCGCGAAAGAATTCGCCGGAAGCTGCAGTCTGCGGAAGCCGCGGGCCGAGGCGGCTGGAAAAATATATGTTGTAGATGACAACGATCGTATGCGTCGTCTGTCCCCAGGCCCACTCAATTAGGGAGATCGTATGACGGCTCCGTACCCGTGCCCACAATGGTGACTGTGAGCGGAGAGAGTACTCCATCGCCTATGGATGACCACTCGGGCTGTCACGGTGACTATTCGTCAAATCAGCACAGACATCCTCACCTCGACCGGAACAATAGTTATGACGCCACTGCACTGCTTCGGAGGTCCATCCCCAGCGTCACTGTGGATTGTGCTACCGAGAATTTCTCCAACATGAATAGAGGTGGGGGCGAGCGATCAATCGATTCCCGGACTACGCAGATCTATAACGTATTCGCTACCAGGACCAAACCCCTCGTGTTTCCATGCTAGGTTACAGCGGACAGTATATGAATATGTTCTACAACGACGGATATTCGGGCGGTGACATGGACCAACCTCGGAGGTGTTCGACAGGGAGCGCGCTGCCCCGCATGGAAATCCCTGAAAATCAGTTATCTCTGCTCACTGCTTGTCACCCTCACGGTGCCAAGTCGCTTTCTACGCACTCTCTCGATCTTCCGCGAGGGAGTATCGATCAGGTATGGCAAAATGTTTTTATTCCTCGTCAGGTCTCTGCAAGCGATTGACCTCTAATTCTGCTGCTGCTGCTGCTACCTACTGCTACGATTTGCAACTGCTGACTTGCAACTGTGACAAGCTGCGACCATGGGACGGATCGAATCTGCTGGATGCGGTTGACGATGGAAAGCCAACGAAGCCTGCCCTGTCTTGAACTATTCTATCTCTCTCTGACTCACTTCGTTTAACTGTCTATTCCTCTCTCTCTCCCACTCTCTCTCTGTCACTCTCTATCTATCCACCCATCGCTCTATCTCTTCCGACTCTCCGTGGCTCGGGTCTTACGGGAGTTTTTCTCAATGTCCGCTGCCATCGGAAGTATTCCGCCGACTCCCCCTTTATCGCTCTCTCTGCATTCTACCGAATCCTCGGATCGGTCTGCGCACCGATCTACCGTTTCCGGTTCGAGTGCATTAGCTCCCCCCTGTTCCGTATGGTTGTTCGGGACTCCATACGGAGACGACGAGAATTTAGTCTGGATCAGAATCGAAACCCATCAGTTCCTCTCTTCGCGAGACCTACTCGACGCGCGACCGTTTTCCTGAAAGGTCCACGGCGGAAGCCATTAGCCCGTTGAGCGGGTGTGTGCGTGACGTTTCGCTCGCGGAAATCGTGTAACTGTAACTTACGTCAGTCGTTAGAACGACTCCCTGTGCGGCATCTCATCTCGGCGAAGACACCATGGCGAACTTACTCTTCTGCATGATATGCGTGTGGCCTACGCCGTGTCTATGGAGAGAATGTGTCACTGTCGATTTCTAAATGTGCTGGGCGCTTTACTTTCAGCGAATGCCGTCTGAATGCGATCTCTCTGGTTTTAAGGTAAAATATGTTCGCTCATCGTGCTTCCTTGTTAGACGGATCGTAGCTTTCCCGGCCCCAACCCCACCCAACCGGCCCGCTCTTCTCCTCGTCCGGTACCCCGTGTCCCCGTCGGTGTGACTGTTGTTGTACAACTTCGAAAAATTATTCTTTTCGTGTCACGCTCGAGTGACACGATGCTCTCACTCGAGCTCTGTCTCTTTCGCGAGCTCCTTGAGCTCGGCTAGGAATTTTCACGCTTGCGAACGAACTTGGGGATCATATCGTTGTAATTCATGTCGTAATCGATGTCGCTGTAGCTATTGCTGTTGTCGTACCTACACGTCCGCGTCGTGGGTGTTGTCGTTACTGCGTTCATACTTGATGTTATCACTGTCGATGTTGTTGTCAGCACAATAATTATCTCACACTTTCCTCCGTTGATCTAACGTGCACCTCCGCAACGAAATCATTCCACGCCAGTTGTACGAGAGTTGCACCCTCCCTCGAAAGGGGCCTGTTTGAGCCCGACCAGTCCCGCCGCCGATCCCATCAGCGTCCTCTTCCCTGATCCTGATTCGACGTTGCAGGGTAAACCCACGGAGCGACGCGCTTCTGCACCCGAAGGTGAAAATATTCGCATCGTTATAGACGATGTGGATTCCGGCCTTCAGGCAGGCGAAGTTCAGGAACCGCGGCAAAGGAGACTCATTCTGCAAAGGGACAAGAGCGACACATCTTGTCGAACGCGTGGTTTCGGAATGCGTCTCATGGGCGGAAAGAGAGGTCCCGACGGAAGGCTGTACGCCGTCGTCTCCTGGGTTTTGCTCGGATCTTCAGCCGATATCGCAGGACTGCAAAAAGGTGAGTAAGGCCGGAAGAGAATAGTCCCGCGGGCCGGAACCATTCCCGGAGATCGGCATTCAGGCTTCAATTCAAACACAGGCGCCATCGTTCTCGAGTGGAATGGGCAGAGTCTGGTGGACAAACCATTCGAGGAAGTCTCTGATATTTTGGATCGAAGTGGCGACGTCGTCGAGATTCTCGTCGAAACCGGGCGGAGATTGTCGCCCGTATCACCGAACGCATCTAATCCAATGCTCAAAGCAGACTCCGAAGACAACGATATGGGTAAGTTGTGAGAGGAACTCTTCCCCCAATCCCATTGCGTAGTCGAGCCTTCCGAGAGCGATCCCGCTGAGTACCCGCTCCATAGGAAGAGCTCCTCGTGGTAATTTCCATCCCCGGTTCCTCACGATTTCCCTCGTTCCGCAGATGGTCAGCTGGATCAGCCGCGCGCTCCGCCGATTCGAAGAAACAGTGGAAGGATGCTGCCCAGATTACCGGTGAGTTATTCGTCCTGTGCCGGTTTACGAATCCTCCCCCGATCGCATGTTCCGAGCGAGCTACTCCATCGGTTGAGGACGGACGGTGGAAGCTTCGCGATTCGACGGAAGTTTCGGGACGAGTCGAAGTTTGTCGCATCCGTTCGAAGCCACTCGATGGCATGCTATGCGGTGTTCTGTCGACAAACAGTAGTTGAAAGACGACAAGCGGTCTTGCCTAACATAGACACACAGGATGAATCTAATCTCGACTCGTACCATTCACTGTCCTCTGAGCAGACATCTACTTGCGGAGACTACGGGCCACGTGCACTGAATGAGGGCTTTTCTCTCGACGTGCGCCGCTCTCTGCTTTTCTCGCTCTATCCAGATGTCGTCGGAGTTGTTGCGGCGCTTGCGACGCTCAGAGATTCCTCGGTCTGTGAGCTCGGAACGACGACGATGATGACGACAACACGGGGAGAAGGGGCTTCATCCATAAATGCAGCAGCAGAATTCGCCAGTCTATCGGCTGCACGCGACAGCGGCCAGAGTCAACTCACCCGGCCGGAGTGACGACGACGACAAAAGCGTACCCGCGGCCTGAGTAGAGTCCTCGAAACCGACGAAAGAACCAACGAAGGGCCTCATTATAGTCAAGCCGAGCTGATTGTCCCTCTTCCTTTCACCGTCACTCACTAGTGCGGCTGCCGCGGCGGTGGCGACGCGACGGCAGCGGCAATAGTCGTGGCGGCAGCAGGACGCCACCAAAAACGGCCAGATGACGAAGAATGGAATTGCGCGCCGCCGTAATTGACACATTATTGTTCCTCTCCTCTGCGTTCCGGGGTAAGAGACCTCTCTCTTGGGGCTCTCTGGGTCCTCTCGCGAGGACCTCGCGGGGAACCCAAACGAACGCGACATCTCAAAGAGAAATTACTTCCCCCTGCACCTTTCCAACTTTTCATCCGACCCAACCATTCCCGAAGAGACGAATTTTAGGTACTCGAAGCTCAGGGGGGGCTCCAACCCCGTGAATTTCACGGTGGGAAAGTGACGGCGAGCCAAGAAGTCGCGGATTGAATGCGAGAAACAGTCGACTCAGTCAGAGTAGACCTTCCTCCTACGTATTGAAAGCTCTCAAGCGGGTAGCTCATGCCGGCGATAGCGAGTGCCTGCTCGTGGATTCCGCTCGGCGGGATGTAGCCTTGAGGTTCAAGATAGACGAGGAGTCGGGTCGAGGGCTTCGATTGTGTTCATTCTTCCAGGGAGACCTCGCGTCCGGGAGTGGCGCTCTGGGCAGCATGGACGAAGGGGAGATGTGCATTCAACTGTTCTACGACGAGGAGCGATCCGACCTGGTCGTGCGGGTGTTGTCAGTACGCGGCCTAGCGCCCCGCAAGCAACCCGGCCGACAGGATGCGGTCACCGCACTGCACCGAGCGTACGTCAAGCTACGCCTCAGCCCCGACGGGTGAGTTGTGTTGTCGAAGGATGAGAAGGAAAAGGTGGCGGATGATAACCTCTTCGCAACGTAAGCCGTCAGCGGCAGCTATCGCAGTCAGTGATCACGTCTTCGCTGCCGGTATTGTGATGGGAGCGAAAGCCGTCCGAGGAGAACAAGCGGGGATGAGTGTTCATCTCGTAATAGATCCAGTCGCTCCTTGGCGTCACGATCTCGCTGCTTTTTTCCGGCGCGAACAGCCGCTCAAATTCATGGGAACTTTGCATGTGCGAACGCGGACCTATTTCTCGACTTCGGCGGAAAACTTTTGTCGCGGAAAAACTGGGAAATGAGACGTGCCGAAGTGACGTCGGCGAATTTCCTTTGCAGGGGCTTCACTCCAATGAAAACTCCGGTCAGCGAACCGGCAGTGAATCCAGAATGGAACAAGTCGTTTGTGTTTCCGTCTCTACAGCCGGAAGAACTCAACGAAGCTTCACTCAAACTCTCCGTATGGGAACACCAACCGACGCTGGGTAATCAGCCGTCGGCACTCTTCCTCGGAGACGTCGTGATTCCCCTGCGGAAAGTTCTCACAGATCCAGACACCGTATCCGGCTCGCATTGGTACCGGTTACGTTGCGAACGCGACACATTGCAGCCACCTATATAGCATTTAGACACATGATGGTAAATGTATCTAGCTCCGACCTTAAAGCAACCGGCACGGTTGCTCGCGGTCTACTGAGGGGTCTCCATCTTGCGGACCTTGATTATCCGGCCGGAGACGAGAATTGTGAAGCAAAAGGAATGATGAGTCTCAGCCATGGGTCGAAGAAGCCAGAATTCCTCCTGCAACCCGGACCCCTCAACAAGCGGTGATACAGAGTACATTTACCATTATTGAGCAAGCCAAGGAGCGAGCAAGCAAGCTAATAAGTCCGAACATCCCAGATATCAGCACTCTCCCGGAGCACACGGAGGAAGAGGGAAATTGGTCGACCAGGCGGTTGAACGAGCCGCTGAGCCACATTGAAGGCATTTGAGTTTCGGAAACAAGTTGTCCCAGAAAGTTCCGGCGAGCTCGAGCTGCCAGCACCATCGGCCGCACTCTTCTCCAGTTTGCGAGCTGGAATTCCGCCGCAAAACAAGTCTTGCACCGTCACCTCCATCGCTATATCTAGTCGCATGGCAACTGGCAACAAAGTCTATATCCCACCGGATGGGAGCACCGTTATTACTGAATATAATTAATCCTGCTCGAATACTGACTTCATCAAGTCCCCGTGAGCAGCGGAACCTACCTGCAGTTGTCGTGTTGGGCGCATTTTCCGTTTTGAGCCGACGTGGCATCTGCGTCGACATTCGCATAGGCAGGACGACTCCGATTGCAATTCGGACTCCACTCGAGCCGACAGGCCGAGCGACCAGTTACTCACCGGCCGACTAAGTGATGTGCTGACATTGTGCTTGATTGTCACAAGTCGTTGGGACACCCGAAACGTTCTCAAACGGCAACGAGGATCAGAGAGTCCACTGAAGCTCCTGAGTGATTAAACACTTCGCCCGCTCCATGCACTCTACTCCCGAGGTGCGATTGCCGCCAGTCGGCTGGATTTCTGCACGCTCCTCTCATCAAGCCACGTCTCGCCGACCGTCGGGACTTGTTGCAGATGCACCGACCAACACATTCAAGGATCCTCCGACTTTTCCCTCGAAACAACCTCTTCCGAGATCAGAAAGTCTTTGGAGCAACCTGTACATTGGATCTCGCATCGCAAGTCATGTGCCAGATTGTCTCGCACGCTTTCTTCGCCAAATTGAGTAGAGGGAGGAACTACCCGCAGCGAGACGAGTTATCGAAAACTGTATAATCATACTGCATGCTAGGATGTTCAAGTGCTATACTTCCACGCAGAATTCTTCCGGAAGTGGAGCGCTTTTCTCACGCCGCAGCCGTTGTAGCTTACAAATATAGGTACGTCTCAGCAAGCTTATCTGTGACGGGAAGGAAACCCATGTCGTGGAGTGATGCGAACCCCACAGTCCGCGAATCGTCGAGAAATCAGTCGTTGCATATCTTTCGAGTCACGAGGTCGAGGTGGATGAATGTTTAACCTTGACTCTACTTAAGGAGTGCGAAACGAATTACTTATCGGCACCTGAGGATTATACAAAGCAAAACAGGAACCCTGAATGCATTGAATGTTGCGTTGGTCGCTCTCATCCACCGCCTGCAGCAGCCTTGTACGAAGCAGACGACCACCAGTTCAACTCATCACTATTATCACTATAACCATATTCGATGAGAAGCCACCGGCGATTTTATCGTATATCACAAACAAACCTCTTATGGATGGATAGGAACCGCGAGCTGAAGGAGAGGCTGAGTGATTGATCGATTGATTGATCGATGGATTGTTTGGTTAATCGATGGGTTGATTTAATAATCGATGGATTTATCAATCGCCGAATTGATTAGTCGATGGATTGATTGTTTGATTGAATAATCGATAGATGGATTGATTGATTAATCGATTGATTGGGGCTCCGGTCGGCCGGGGTCGACTGTCCTCTCTCTGTGAGTGAACTCTGACACTGGGAGCTCTCTCACTGGGATCCGCAGGTCGAAAATCACTAAGCGTAGGATGATGGGCTCGAGACCCGAGACTGACCGACCGTACTGCGGAGGAAAAGTTCTCGAGCGAAGGAACTCGCCGGGATGAATTCGATCGTGATCGGATGAGCTCGGCTAAGCGATCGCAGACCCGGGTCTATCATTCGAGGGAGAAAGTGTCCAGATCCTTTCCGTGGAATTCCGCTGGGGAAGCTCCCATAGAATGAGGATTTCCTCAGCCAGAGGGGTGTCGATGAGCTCTTTCGGACTTAGGTATCAACGAAAACGCTGCACTTAGAAGCTTAGAGTGAATTTTATACACCAGCTGAATGGCTTTCACGGGGAGCTGATTCGTCGCCACGAATGTTACATAGAAATCGAGAACAGGAACCGTAGATGATTTTGAACAAACCCCTCTCCCGCTCCACCCATCCTCCGCGCCCCCTCCAACGCTCTGAAATCTCTCGGGGGGCGAACCCGTTCCTCCATGCAGGCGCAATACTCCATTACCCACAAGCTTTCGGGGAACGGGGTTAGTGCTACGGGACCGTGTCCGGAGACGATTCTCATCGTGCATTGCGATAATGTGATCTAACGCAACTCGTATCGATTCCTTTGGTTTCCAGTGGTCTTATCCAAACCTAACCAAAACAACGATAAGCATGATCGGCTTCAGCCTCTCTCACGGGACTCGGGCTTTTTCCGTAAACAGAAAGCAGATGCTGCGGCAATCGCTCAGCCCCCGCTCCATTCATTGCCCAGCGGTAATTTCTCGAGAAGATAAGCTCACCCCATGGTCTGGATCAGAAATTTTCAGCATTCTTGGCAGCGTGCGGCTCCCATTAGGATCCCGGCGATACAATGACACACAAGCCTGATGTTGACAACTCATCCGATCGTTACTCGTCGCTTGATCCATTCTCCGGGGCGGCGACGGCGATGACTACCTATCATTAGTATCCCTACGATGCCAAGCTTAGAATGAGTTTTCGTTTTTTGATATCCGCACCGGTTACGCGTTGATTACTCAACCGGAGACAGGAGTGTTACGTCGATTGGAGGCGACTTCTTTGCTGGCGACTCTGTTGAGCGCCAATCTAGCCGCGACCGATTTACGACAAGTGATATTTTCGGGCGTGAAACGCAGAGAGCGTTTCCCCGTTCGAATCTACTCTGCTTCCTCGTCGTGCATCTGCTCGTAGACATCCGAAGGGTCGTTCATAGTTAACTCGAACATCAAGAATCGAACTGCGGCGTGGGGAACCGTGATTACAGAAGTCAGAATTTGGAAACAACTACATTTCTGATTATTCGAGGACGACGACACCAACGCCGAGAGTCCGGGTAGAGTATAATGGTCTCCACGAAGACGGGAAGCAGATGCTCCAAAGAGGAAGAGAGGAACACGACTCAAATAAAACGACATCGCTGCTGATGTTGCTACTCCGACAGCATTTCACCAAAAACGAGGTTGTCTAGTGGAACAGAGATGACTTCAGGGGAGCGAAGGAAGCTAGTCTTCGTCGACACTAGCTGAGGTGTCTGGCGAAAAACGCTAGGTTTTCCCGCTTGGTCCACCGTGCCGCGGGGAATCCGGTGGCGCCTCCTACCGGCTTAAGCTCGAAGCGAGCAGGTTAGAACGAAGACCCTCATTGATACACAAACTAGTTGTTAAGCTATGACATCGTACCGAGTCTGTTGCATGAAATAGCAATTCTCAATACTATTATGAATTCATATTGAAATGTACTATCGAATACTCAAATGACACCACTGTGTAAATATACCTGTGATCATCATGAACATAATCCCTGAATCGACCCATATCGACCGATATTAGGAGACGTTGAATTTTGTTCCAATATTGATGAGGATGGGGGAGAAAACCAAATGCAAAACGACACTAGCTATACGGAGTAATGGTTGTTCTCCTATCGGAAATAAACTTGACAGGTCTTTTACCAAGATCCTCGAACCTCACAAAAATGTCTTGACTCGTGAGAAGCCCGTTATTTTCGCCTTGGGAAGTGGGTGGAAACGTTTTGTGCAATGGAATCCTTTCGTTCCTAGCGTGCTCTATGATCTCATCTACCAGAAAAGCACGAAGCTTTCACACAAGATTTCTCCCGTAGATACTGGTAACAAAATATATAATTTTATTTCTCCGATATACAGGAATGTAAATAGATATAGATCTGAATTGAGGAATGCAGTTCGTTTGATAAATGATCCGCCACTCTGGGTACTCTCCGCGCAGTTTTGGGAGTTTCCTACAGCCTCTCTCCAGGGTTTTTCCAAAGTTTCGAAGCAAGCTCATTTTGCACAGAGTCCGTTTTCGGCTTTCACCGTAGCTGGTCATGAGGCAATCAGTCGGGCGCAAGATACAATCGGGCTCGTCTACATAGTCTTTCATCTATTCGTTCATGTTCCACATCACGACGCCGGTCTCAAACGCCTTGAATATCGGTGAATGCCATGCGAGGGAACTCAGTCTCGAATATTCGACTAATCGCTCCGGGAACCTATTCGAGTGCCCTTCCGGGCTTTGTGCTCGCCTCTCCGGAAACTAATCGGCTAGTGGACACGCATCGAGACAGTCTCCGGTCGAAATGAAGTAATCCGAAGCAGACTTTTGTCACTGTCGATGATGGAGTCTGTGGCGGTTTGGGCTGCTGTCGACCGGAGTACCTACACCCACACACACAAAATATTTCACTCAAACGCAAGCACACTCAAATGGATCGAAGCAAATCTCCGTAAACCCTGGGGACGTCCACACGCCGGGCATCGAGCTCCTCCCTCCGGGATCGTTAAAGAGCCGCTGCAGAGTAGGCTCAATCAAAATCGATTCGCTCAAGGAAAAAATATCCGAGCCAAACCATCAAACCTGACGTCGGAGCTGGCACGGATGACCATGGAAACTCGTGTCCTTGTCCTCTGGCTTTTGGTTTACTCGACCCAATCTACGACACGTTCCGTCCAGGGGAAATGTCCCTAAACACTACTAATAGATACAGCGTCGCCCGGTCGCTCGGCCGATAAACGAGGTGGGTGATAAAAGAAACCGCCACGCATGCTCTCATACACACCCTCACAAAGCTCCTCCGCTGGAGGAATGTTGACCTTTGCTCACTGCAACCCACTCAACACGATATCGGAATTCTTCCTGAAATTATTCAATCCTTCTGCTTGGCAGTCGGTCAAGAAGTCTCGATCATTCCGTCGATCGATCGATCGATCAATCATTTCACCCATCTTCCATTCTCCCATTCATGCCAAGTCTACCGCAGCTGCCGCATTGGCACCGATGACACGGACGGAACGCCGCTTCGATTACTGTAATTCGACTGGAACGAAGAGTTGTGAACTGATGAATTCTTGAACGTGTCTAAACTGTTGTGCGACACGGAGCGCGAAACGCTGGTGCTCCCTCCCATCTGAAATTGTCGCCCGGTGAATTAGAAAATACAGAATATCGAAGATACTTAATACAGAATCTCTGGAACGCCCCCAGCTCGGCTCGAATTTTCCCGCTCTGATACAGAGTGTTCAAGACTCACCTTGCTTCGCGCCAGATCTTCGAGGCGTGTGATGTCTGAGAGCTCCTGGTAATTCGATAAAACGACGAGGCCAGCAAATACGTTCCCTGCGATGAGGGCAGCCCAGATCAGGAGCATGAGTATGTGGTAGGCGTAGTATAAGTCCTGCAGGGAAGAGGCATCGAATTCAGGCTCGGGACTCCGCGACATAAATTAAAAGAATCGCGACAACAATGAGCACGCCATGGAATTTCTCCGGGAATTTTCCAAGTCAATCTCCGAAATTGATCAGCCCAAGAGCGCGGCAGCCTCTCCTCCCTCGAACAGGCTCAACGCACTCCCTCACTCACTAAGTCGGCGCAGAGTTTCGGAACTTGGAATGCTCGAAACCGTACACCCGACGGTTTTCTCTCTCTCTCGCTCCGATGAGTAGGCTGGCAGAGGAGAAGCCATCATAAGAAGGCAAACATTAACTCTGGTGACTGGAGTAAAGTACGATCCACTCATCTCAGAAATCTGAACGTGTCGATGACGGTCGCTCCCGCGGAAAAACTTCTCCCTGGCCTAGTGAGTCGACATCGGCGTCGGCAGTGTTCTCATGTCGGAAGCGATTATCGCGATCATTGAAGTCGACTTTCTCTTGCTTTCACGAAGCTCTCCGTTGAATGGTCATGTGCTCAGACATAATGCTGGAGGAATTCTAAAACTCACGTTGGCGATGGAGCGGAATATTATCGCGCAAAACCTCCAAACGGTGAAAGCAGCCATAGAGTAGAGCCAAGGACGGAAACGTGCCTCTTGTTCTTTCCGGAGAGCCGAGATAATCTGGGCTGAGGTTACCAGGAGAAACATCGCGCCAATGAACGAGATCACTGAAACCGTTATGAGGAGATTGCGGACTGGAAAACGAAATAAAATGCCTCGAGTTAGGCTTTTCTGTTCCCGGGCTTCACTTGCGAGCCCTATTCGACTCGCTCTCCGGTGTGCATGGGGCCTGTGGTTGGAGCTCGCATACAACGTAGGGGCTTCGTGCGATGACTGACCGAGTTTTTTAGGGCTAGAGAGCTACATACATCCCACTCACCGTGCTGATTGCCGCTGTAAACAAAAAGGAAGCTGATTCCGAAATATCGGAAATGCCGGGAGCCTGGTTGTGCTTCAGCCAGACAGTAAATGTCGAAAATCACCAGACATATCATGAACAAACACTCGATCTGCAAAAAGGAGAGATTTCGAATCAGATGCCGACTGGAGTGATTTACCGCGGGTAACGACAGATTCTCAACAAACTCGACCCACATACGATCGATTAAGGGATGATCAATTATTCATTTTGATATCTGGGGAGATGATCAACACTCGGACGATGTAGAGTGATTGTACGGGTCTAAGCATGGGTGAGTTCGATAGACTCGTCCTCATCATACCACCCCAGAGCCGAATCTTCCCGATTCCCTGACTCCGCTCGGGCCTTTCTGTGGCTGAGAATCCGAATCTCGCCGAAGTGCGACGGTCGAGCGAAATTCCCAGCCCGAGAGATACATATGTTGAGGCTTCCTCCGCTTTCAGCCTCTCTCAACGTTCATCTTCAACGCCCAGGTGTTCGAATACGTGTCGCAGAAGTGTGAGGTGGGTCGATGACACGACCGGAAGTTTCTTCATTCGCGTGACGCGCTTCATGTGCTCGGACGCAAGTTGTCATGGAAATCCGGATTTCCCCAAAACAAATAATTGCTTGTCAGGCTCCTTAACGGTTTCTCGTCGGAGGACGAGGAGGGCGACGAGAAATTCATACCCTCGATCGATTTGCATAGATTCTCTGACCGCCTGCGTCATCCTTCACCGGTGCTCGACCCAGAGCTCGAGTCTTCCCTATCGGGAGATTGACGGGAGCTGAAGGGAGTCCGAAGAGCTTTCGCGGGACTCATAAAAAAGCATTGGAAGAAATGAAGGAGCTGTAATGAATCCTTTCTGAACAAGTCCACGGGTTCGGAGAATCGGCTGAGCTCCTAAAAATTAGCTAATGAAACTCAGCCAGGGTCGCAGGAGGGCGACCTTCGAAAACTTTGTGATCACTCCCAGGCCGTTAAAATCGGGATCATGCAAATGCTCGCTGATACTATTCTCAGATGGAGGAATCCTTGAAGGAGGAGTCTTCGGACCCGCGTAAGGTTTCACAGCATACTTCCGGAATGTCCGAAAATGAGCTCGCTATCTTGAGTCGTGACAGAAACTTCTTCGTAGCCCCGAAACGAATCTCAGGGCAGCCAGATCTACTTATTTCACAACAGCAATTCAAATAATCGGGAAGCAGATCCGGGCGAGTGATAGGAATGGTATATTGACCCGTTTTCGGAGATTCAAGCTGAGCCGTTCCGATTGTTTCCATCGTGTTCCGTTCATTCAAACAATCCGGAGAACCGTCAGTGTTTGTGTTCTCTTCTCCCCGGAATGGGGAACCCCAGGAGGGTGATGGCTGTGTCCGGACGAGTGCTCTCAGCGAGCTGGACAAAAAGGTACCGTATTCGGCCTCTTTCCGTTGTCTCCTCAGAATTGCCGAACCGTTTCACTGAGAGCTTCGCTGAGAGCACTCGAGTCAAACGGGAAAACGTCTTGCACTTCCGCAGATGACAATATCATCGGCATGTACGATACGAGCGTGGTTGTGACAAAGCAAAACTTCCGGATCAACACCCTTGCTTTTGAATTCAATGGAAAACGTCATCCTGATGGAGCAGCGAGAGGGAGTGAAGAAAAGAATCGCATCAAGATCCCGCCGGTTCGAGCCGTCGACTTCAGCTGAAAGTCACCCATTTCTCGAGCGCGCCAACAAAACAGAGAAATTCGGCTCGATATTCCGGAATGTTTCTTTTCACGGCTCTAGACCGGTTGCAGACAATGCACTCCGAGTCGTAGCGATCAATAAAGTCGGGAATATCGATCGAAATTACCCCTCCCACAATCCCACGAAATGAGCTCCTGTCTGTAATAATTTGAATTCCGCTCAGTCATCTTGACGACGATCCTTTGAGTTCTCTGCGAGGCTTCCGTCCCGCGTGGCGTTTCTGCAGGGCTCCGATTTGGTTATAGAATTGCGGGCCGCATACCGTGATATCAGCGCCGTTGGAAACGGTTTCGGCGGCTGCTGTCGCTCCCCCAATCCACGGCCTAGAGTTTGTTGAAAGCTGTCGACAATTTCGTCATCGCCGAAGCGAAAATTCCTCGACCGGGTTTGGCCGTCGCTGCCAACATTGACGGCGAACAAATGGATAGATGGCGCGCCTGTGAGTGCCACCTTGACAGGCAGGAAAAGAAGGTTTTGCCAGAGTTCTCCTCCTGGGGACTTCGGTTTTGTTCTCCTCAGTGGGCGTCGGACTGAATGACAGCAAACAAATTCCCACATCTGATTGCGGATGTTGGATAGAAACTGTGACAGGGTCCACTCCGAATCGAATCATCGTTAAGGAAACCTCAGATTGTCCCGATATCACTCACCAGGGCATATATGGCTGCGATATAGCTGCCCTTTTGCAAATTCGTGAAGTATGCGTTGTCCAGAAACGGTCTTCGCTGGTACCATCTCTGTCTCTTGCGGTACCTCGAACTGTCGATGGTACTTGTGGTTTTGTTGAGCACCGAACGGGATCCCATAACTTGACTGGGGAATCGACTCGATCACCTACAGCACTCTCTCACGATCGCACTCCCCCAACTCGCACGAGGATCGGACCCGGGTGCGAGAATTCCGCGAGGAACTCGAAATGTTCTAGCTCCGTCACGAAGACGAACGAACGACCAACAGCAACTAAGGCAACACCAGCAGCAGCAGCTTCTGATCTGTGGCGCGACGTCGCTGTGCTTTCGGCGTTGCCATAGAAACGCGGAAGCGACAGAAGACGTTGTGGCCATTCAGCTTTGCTCAGGTTCTCCGCGTCAAGCCGTGCTCCGACCTGTCGACGGTCGACGGAACGTTTGTCCAGAAAACGGGATCTTCCGCCCGAATTCAGGCATTTGACGAGTCATTGCCAGCGACGCGTCGTCGAAGCCATGGGCGAATCATTGCATTGAATTACAGACTTAAACTGAGCCAGGTAATCCGCGATCGAGGTGGAAACAAAGCCGAAATTAACAAAATCAAATAGTCGATGGGGTATCATCCTGCAGCGCGTTGCGTTGGTAGACCTCTTTTACCCCCACCTTGGGCAGAAACTTTTCCTACGCAAAAGGTTCTCAACATCCTCGCGGATATTTTCGCCCCAGCACGCCTGATATGGAGCTCGAAGGCACAGGATTTGCATTCTTCAACCGTGAAGTTTATACCCTCGGGAACGCGCTGCACTTCAAGAGGTGGCCTTGAGCCGATTCGCTACGGCAAGAAGCGTTGTCGCTTTCAGATTCTCTTTTCAATTGACTCATTCGCGACTGTCCTCAGGGTCTCTACAGGAGTCGATGTGTAGTCGACCTGACGTTCAATGCGACGAGCTTTCGATTCGAAAGGCAAAGCTTTATTCCCGCCTTCCGAGCCGCTCGATCATCAATGTACTCCGCGAGGCTGCAAAACATTGTACATTTTAAAGGAGGAACCTTATGGATCAGATCTTGAGAGGAAGAAATCTCCACCGTGAACCTCGGAGGAGATTTTTCCTCTGTCACACGCTTCTTCGTATGATCATACCCGGTTGAGCTGTCAGACTGGGCGAGCAAATCGATTGTGGGAGGAATAGGGCCGCATTCTCGTGGAAGAGCCGTGGAACTCATACGCGGTGCTGGAGTCGTGAGCGAGAACGTTCCGACCTTCGCTCCTGGTAATCAGGCACTTGCGGTCAGTCAGCGTGAGGAGGCTTGTACGGAACTCGACTTCCTCTTGACCGTCTCCGCGCCGCTAAGAGAGCTTCAAAACAGCTACAACTTCAAAGTCGCCTACGAGTATCCTGAGTCGGGACCACCCTCCTGTGGGTTCTCGGGTACGCGCTGAACCCTTTTGATCATTCACGATCCATAAGGTACACCTCGGAGCCTAGACTAAATGAGATCTATTCTCACCTCTCACCGAATGATGTGGCAACACGCGTTATTCCGCGCTCGGATCCCTCTTAACTCAATCAGCTCCAAATAATAATCCGAACATCAATGTACCCCATTCAAGACGCTCGATTCAAGATTCTTGGATGTATTTCAAGACTCCCATTTTCTTGGGCGTCGCCTCTCTTCTCGAGGGTGCTTTTTCATCTGTCGTGCTCCGATCCTTATTCTCATATCAAAACCAGGAGCGCGGGGGCTACAAAAAAAAATTCTTAGCAGATCCGCAACCTTCATGAGATGACGACAAGAAAAGATCATCACATCATTCTCGAGGATTCCACCAGCTGCGAGAGTGAAAAGTACAACAAAACAACACGTGCTCGCGTTCGCAACAGCTCCGCTACGACTGAAACTCTGCGCGGACTCCCCATTTCCATTATTGGCCGAGGTGTTCGAGAATCTCTGGAATAAGCTCGATGTCCTTAAGTGCTCTTATTCAGTAGTACTCGGAAATCTCTGGAGTTACTCAAAGGTAAAGTGAGAGAGGCATTCCACAAGTTGCCCCGTCGTGCATGGTCAATGTTATAGTATCAGATAGTTCAATTTGCATGATGCTACGTCTCTATCGAGGGAACGCTTATCACTCGGTGCTTGTTCCAGATGTCCCAGGAAGACCGTGAGCCGGTTGCGAGCACCTCTGGTGCGGAAGCGAACCTTCCGAAAAAGAAAAACGATGCGATCGAAAATGAACCAACAACGCTGACCGAACTCACCGCCAAAATAATCGAGGAAGCGGAGGACCCTCTGATGATGATCTACAGAGAAAAAGACGAAATTGACACGGACTCCGACAGTGACGAGAGTGACATCGTCATAAAACCTGCGGCACTCGAGGAAGACACCGCGGAGGATGATCCTAAAACCAAAAAGTTCGGACCCACGGTCAAAGGCGAATTGACGCTCGACGACCTGCCTCCAGTCGAGAAACTGAAAATATCGGTCCCGCAAGATCATTTACAACTAGTGGGAGAAGTTTTCTCTTTCGTCGACAGACTCGTCGTCGTCGAGTCCACGAACCCCGAACCCGTGCTCAATCTGGAAACTGTCCTTTTCCTTGAGGATGGTCGGGCCGTAGGTCTAGTTTTCGACGTCATAGGGCCCGTAATCAAACCCTATTACGTCCTCCGTTTCAACAATTCGGAAGAAATCAAAGAGGAGCATCTAGAGAAAGGTGTCAAAATTTTCTGTGCTCCTAGTCACGCAGATTATACGTTCTTCGTGTTCGAGAAACAGATAAGAGAAATGATGAAGCTCCGGGGCTCCGACGCATCCTGGGAGTACGACTTGGAGCCTCCAGAGCACGAACTCGAGTACTCTGACGATGAACAAGAACGAGAGGCCAGGAAAGAGCGTCGGGCAAAACGTCAAGCTGACGGTAATCCCGTCAAATCCGAATCCGCGCGCCCCCAACCAGGAGAGAGAACTTCGCTCATCGACCTCAACCGGCTCGAGGTCATTTTCCTCCGCATTCAGGGGCTCAAGCCCTCCCCGTCGCCCATCCTCCGCCCGCCTTCTACCCGCCCTATGCGGTCCCACAGCCCTATCCGAATCCTTATGCTATGCCGCCACCGCTCTTCCATCCAGGTGTTCCTCCGCCTGGTTACAATCCTTGGGCTCATCCTGGAATGAACTATCCTTTGCCGCCATCCTTGGTCCGCAATAATAATAATCAACTGTGTTATAAATATCTAGGTCAATAAAGAAAGGAAGGTATTTTCTCTGAAGGAATATATATTCCGATTGTGCTCGCGAGCTGCTCCGTTGTAGCTAAGGATGTAATTGCAGATGGAATTGTAGCTTCATTCATACAGCTTATCGCAATGTAAATATAAGCTTTTTTCATTAATCAATCGCCTCGATCCGTTTTCAAATCTCAATCCTCCGCTTGAAATATATCGGGAGCACCGAGTCGGTGTCACTGATTAATTCATCAATCAGTGAATCGACCAATCAAGTTAACACCAGTCAATATCATCCGCCCCCTAGTGTACATTTTCTGTCTACCTAACACGACGGAGATCACAGTTTGAGACTGCTGCATCGTCGGCCGCGGACGGAATCAATCCGGACGCGTAGCAGCATTTCTGAAGCCCAAGTTAAATTCTCTTCTCGATCAGACTCCTCTGGATGAAAGCTTTCAAATCTCTCTCGAAGAAGAACAAAGTCAGCAGCGACAGTATGAAAAGGATACCGCCGAAAAGTATGTGTAGAAGCATTATTTCGCCCACGAAGAATTCGCTCACTAAGCAACAGCCACAGCTGAAGACCAGCATCGCTATCACTCGGCAGTCTGGAATGGATTGCGCGATAATGTCGACGCCTACTCCTTTGTGATGTTCTCGAATATAAATAAAACTAAGAACAACGCGTAAACTCATATTAACCATATTCGCTAGAATTAATCCTACCGCCCCGAACACCTTGGAGAATGCATACGAGGCGACGAGGAATACAATAGAGCACATTGCCATCTTGCGATTGTGCTCGTCAAGCTGATCTTTGGTCATGGTGGCGAAGACGAAGCACTCGGTGATGCCGTTGATCGCGATGAAAGCGATATAGACACAATGGAACCGCATAAGGGTCTTCCCGAGAGGCAGGAGACTCTCCCCAGCGTATAGGTAGAGGAGGGTGCCGCTGTAGGCTTGGCCGAAAGCTACTATAATCAAGGCCACGATGAGCATTAACTTGAGGAGATTGCTGAGAATTTCGGCACCGAGCAAAACGTCCGACTTCTTCCTAGCATCCCCTCTGCTCAGGATCTGACCGAACAAAAGGTACCCGTTCTCTTCAACTTGCTGAAATATGTATCGAGCGGCTAGAGAACCGAGGTTGTTGACGGCCTCATAGACGCCTTGAGATGCGAAATCAATAACACAAAATGTCGTCATCACATAACGCTCGCCTTCAGTGAGAACTTGTTTGAATACGGTCTGCTTCATGAATGACGCAGCGAGAGATCCCACCCGACGGTCTACGCCCTCCAACGAAGGCAGCATCTGAGATATTCTCGCTATCGGAAGAGCCTTGTCTAATTTCCGAGAGCAGACATAATGGAAGTATACGTAGAAAACCAGGCTGAAATACACCGATGACAAAAGTTGAGAGATCGCGTATGCCATCAGCGCGTTGTCTGGGTCCATGACGATGAGCAGCGACATCGAAATACATCTGAAGGCCAGTGCCGATCCTGAGAGAGAGAAAATGGTTTATTTTTCCGGAGAATAGTTGTCAATGCGGGGAGAAATCGAGATATCTTTGACGAGGACAGTGTCCAGACGCTGCGGAGGTCCGCCGTGATTACCTTCGGCGAAAACTTTGAATTTCACATATCCAGACGCGCATCCAACAATAAACATGGGTTCGGCGGAAACTTCGATGATGGCAGCGATGAAGGTCACCAGTACCGCTGCTGGATAGGTTGGGTCTTCGGGGGATTCCAGACCGTGGACCCATAGAAGAGATAGTACGGCTCCCACCACAGCGGCCAGCGGCACCGACAGCCAGGACAGAGTGATGACCTTCGGCCATTTGTGATGGGAGGTATTTGTGCAACACGCTCTGGAAACATTCGCTAGTTTTTTTTTTCTGAACAGGGCTCAAGACCGATTGCCTCAGCTTCGCTCTTGAGCTCGACGGCATGCAAGGGAGTTCTATGATAAGTTGATGTGAAGCAAATTGATCTCCCGCATCGAGTAGTCATTAGCTTGGCGCTCCATCTAGCTTTAATGATGACTGACAGAGGGTTTTACCTCCTGAAGGGTTCGCTCGCCAAGAAGTGTATCGTTGAGAACAGGAGCATCAGTCGTACATTGATCACCCCGAATGAATATTTCGTGACGTGGCGAAGAATGAAGGCGTTGAGAACAAAAGTACAGATACGCATCGATATATGAAGTATGATGTTCAGACTAGTGGCCTTGAGGGCCGCTGCTACACGGCCTTCCTCAGCCATGGCCGCTGAGTGCACTCTTTCTCCGAACAGCTGATTCGAACGCGAAGGAGAAAGCCTTGTAGCGGTCCAGCTGAAGCAGGATCTCACCAACCTTCTGCATTTTGAAACTAGAATCCCAGACACGGGTAGAATCGTCCGCGTGTCGTATTGATCGCGGAGCAAAGATGCGGACGATGGGAACAGGAAGAGTGAGGAGGAGAGTTCGCGGCGGCGCGGCGCCGACACTTACACGGCACAAGACACAGGAGCACGGCGCGGTAATTTTCCGCGCGCTCATTAGACAGTCAGTACCCAGTATATACATTGATGGGTACCTCATGAGGCGGTCGAATTATTAGGCCCTGGGGTAGATAGGGAGACAACCTTGAGAGGGACGGGGAAGTCGGGGGAGGAAGCATAGGGCTGGCTAATCTCGCTCAGGTCGGCGATAGACAACTCGGCGCGGTTTTGAGAAAGGTAGCTGTTGGACGGAGCCCAAAACTCAGAGCCCTTACAGGATTCCCCCGGGAATCCGGGAACCCTCGCGGGAAGACTACCCAAAGATGTCGGAGCTCCATCACAAGGACCAAGCACTCACATGGACCAAGAAGGCGATTCGCGCAGTACCGTTCACGGAGTCATGGCGAGATTCGACTTCGAAAATCTCCGTTATAGCGAGCTCGAGAATCATCGGAGTACTGTCCTGTGTTCGCCTTGTCCAGGGGCGCACAAGACTCGGCCCGCGGGCCGCAGAGCTGTTCCCGGGATGTTTTTGTGCGGCCCGCCGCCATACTTCCAGGCATCCATGCTTTTTCATGAATCCCGGAGCTCCTCCGGAGACACGACAAACCGGGAAATAGGATATCTTTGATCAATAGTTCGTTCTCGGGAAATGTATTCCCGAGAAAATATTCGGTGCTCGACCCGCCTTCATGGGCAAGGCGGGGGCTCACCAGAGGACCGTGCGGCCCGCCAGGGATCACGAGTCTCGCGATCTGGCCTGCCGAGCCCATGGAGCTGTGTACCCCTGTCCTAGTCCTACGGGGAAGATTCGATTCCGTCATTCTCCAAGAGAGGTCATCGAAGTTCCGTCTACATAGTCTCACAGAGAGATTAGGTCCGAAAGTTCGAAATAAGAAATTCGAGAATCAGTTATTTATCGGAGTTCCAACCGCAGAATCACGGCCAGTCTACACTCCAAGAGTTTTCAAAGTGAGGAATCCGAGTATCGGAGTTCAGGCCAGAGAGACATGGCAAAAGGCCGCAGAGCGCGAGCGGTCACTCGAAAGGTCTTAACTGCGGCTGGATGTGAGCGTAAGCCTTGAGGTTGCCGACCTCTGACTATAAATTAAAACTCTTCCGCTATAGATTTCCTCTGACATAACTGAAATCACAGAAAACACGCAATAGAAAAAAGAAGGCTTATCATTGGTTGCTACCACGAGAAGGATTCTCATCGGTCAGAGCGAGACATTATCGATATTCAGTATTCGATTCTCGCAATCAATGTATGTAGATTCTGCCAAGGTGGCGACTTTCGGGTCGTCGGCCTCCACTGCGCCGCCGTAGGCACAAGACAAGAAACCGCTGGCGGAACCGCAAAGTTCTTCCCTGAAGTGCGCGGAGATTCCTAGCCCAAATCGCATTTGCGTTTGCCGTCTGGAGACGACCCTATGCAGACGGGGACGATTCCATGAATAGTCGTATCATATGTTCGGACACCAGATCCTCATGAGGTGTGTGTACTGGGGATTCGGAATCTTCAATGCGCGTTTCTTTTGAAAACAGCGAGATGTAGTAGAGTTTTCCTTCAGCCTCTGTCCATAGATCGACGGCGGGTATATCCTGGATGAGGGTCCCGAGCATCATCGACGACAACGGGACCAGACTTCGGAAAGCCGAGAATTACCGGGGTCCAGCTGAACCACGGCAAAGCTCGGCTCCGGACACCATCGCAACAGGGAACCCCCAGATTTGCGAAACCTTTGGAGCACAGGGCCCCATCCTAGTCCGAAGAACTCGTGAGAATCGTCTTCTTCCTCCAGAAAAGAAGACTGTCGCTCGGGTTTACCTCACCGCACCGAGCGGTCGTGGAGAGTGGACGCCGAGTCCCATGTTTGGGACCCCTCTCCATAGACTCCTTGGGGAAAGGAAATCCGGACACTTTCATTTAGGATTCAGAAGATCGGCAGATTCTCGGTGAGCAATTGAATCCTACAAATCAACGCCTGTCAATCGCCTGTCTAGTGAGACTTCAGATTGGGTTCGACACTCACAGTATTGGACAAAAACTGTGACTTCTGTGATTTGGATCGGCGTATCTTTGCTAGAGGACTGCCAACCTCTTTGGAAGAATACGCAAGGAAAAATTTGAGCCAATTCCGTTCGGCTCCCAGACTTATTCCTCGATCAACAAGAAACCGGATGAGCTTCTGCGTCCTTGTCCGACCATTCACAGACGATTCGATAAGGTTTGAGGCGTATCGCGACACCCTCGGAATCATTGTCTGGTCAATCTGTTCCTCGATTCCAAAAGACATCCAGCTTCACGGAGCGACATTCGATTCGCAGAGCTAATGGACTCTATTGTCTCAGAGATGCGGATTCGATGCGTCGGACCACCATGTGGAAGAGAAAATCGGCGAGCTCGGGCCAGATTCTCCTCAGCAGCGTGGACAGCCAGAAGGTTCATGTGGGGGTGGAGAACAGCACCAAATGATTCCAATCTGTCGTTTCTCCTCTATCTCGCCTTGAGAAATATTTTAAGACCATTGAATATTTTCAGCTGAAAGGGCCATGCTCCATATCCGGCTCTACCCGGTGAAAAATCCCATACGCAGGCGCTCCGTTCTTGAAATTCTCACGTTTGTCGAGTTTTCTCTGGCCTGCTTCCGGTTCAGTCAAGCTCTCTGGCGCGTGGGGCGTGCGCTCCGCTTTCTCTCGCGCTCCGTCTCGTCTCGGAATTTTCTGCCATTTGGCCGTGTCTCGGATCTCGGAGTGCCCGCGCGCCTCTAATCGCCGCCTTTCCCGGATTCAGCTGAGCTCACGATTCTCAATGAACTCCCTCATGGACTGAGTACTGTGTCAGAGAGCGTCCGAAAGTTCTCAGATCCCGCCCCCAACTCGGAAAAAACAGATATCAAGAACCTCACGGGGACCTCGGTCTTCGATTACTCGGAGAGGATTCGTGCCCCGGGGAGAGATGGTGCTCAAGGTCGGTTCTCGAGCCATGAGCGGTAAGGACCCATAATTTTTCCGGGACCATTCGGAATCAAGGGAGAGCTCGCTGGAAACGTTTACTGCCAAGGGTCTGCTTTATTCTCTAGATACTGTACATATTTTATCATTATTAGGATGGAATTGATTGTTCTCCGGATACAACTGAGGCGAAGGTTCCGGGCCGCACAAGCGCATACATTCCATGAATCGAAATCAATCCGTCGTGCAGCTCACATTCCTCAATCCATGCGACTGCTGATGGCGCGCGACGCTGATGTACTCTGCGAGTCGCGATCTTATAATTTCTGCACAACGATCGGAAGGTGTCTTCCTCGCACCCGAGGGGTGAAGGAAGGGAAAGGGGACGCGACTCGTTCACGCTTCGCGGATTTCTTGCTCTCTGCTGATTTGAGAGGATGGTGCGTGGTTTAGTGTGTATTCGCTCCCAGTATGTTCGGGTCGCGCATGATAGACTCTGTCCATGATCTTGGGTATACAACTGACACATTGTGATCTCCGATTTATAATCATCGAAACTATTTATTGTAAACTGTCCCTCTTGTACTCCCCTGCCACACTGCTGTACATTTACTCATATATTTCCGCCATAAACTATCCGAGGTCGACGACATATTCGCAGGAATCTCCGTCTCCTTAGCTTGATCTCATTCCCTTCTGTATCGCCTGCGTTTTTTTTACATCGCTACCAACTTTCTGCCCCGTACTCTCTCATCGTCGAGTTTACATTTCCCGATCCCGAACCAGGGCGCTCAGCGCGGTGACTCTCCCCTATGCGAGCTGATTCCGGAAAAAATCTCTATTCGCCTCATAGTGAGTTACTTCTTCAGCTCTCTAGCTTCTTCCGATAAATTCTGATTCTCTCGCTGCTCTATATTATTTACATTTATGTACTGTCCGGTATGTCTATTATTGCCCTAGCTGGCTGCTAAAGTTGTAATCTGACGATACCGGCTAGGGTAAAGTTTTCTTCCTGTCAAGCAGTTCTGTTGACGTGCAGCTCATGGGCGAACACTGCGTCTGAAATGCCTACAACAAACGATTGTGGGGCTCGTTTCAACGGAATGACGGACTCATGCCGCCCGTACTCATGCCGAAGCCGCGGCGTAGTTCGCTGTAAAGGCACCAGAGATTTTCCAACACTGTCAAAGGTATTCAATTCCCGAGTTAAATCCTCATTTTCTCGTTTGGAGCTCGCGGTGAGCGCTCTGTCTTCGGTTCATTTGCCTAGTTGGACGATTGCTTCTGGCCAGCTTCGATCCTCCGCTCGTGTTTCCCTCGAGACGCCGCCCGATCGATCGAGCAATGAATTCCAGGGAGAGCCGTGCGAATCACAATTTTTGCTCCCGCAAAAGATATATCCAACAAGCTCCAACGAATGATATTCTCTTCTGATGGCATCCCGATCGCTTTGTTTCTCGTCTAGTCAACAACGTAGACCGAAAATAAAATATTCAAGAATCACTTGCAGGTTTTAAGTCGTGACAGTGCGAAAGATGCCGGAAAGTAAAAATCGTCTATAGAGGAAGACAACTGCACAGGCTGGAGAACAAATGCCTTCACACCGACATTCATGGATGTTCGTGGTTTGCCACAGGTTCCAGGCAGCGAGGCCCAACTCGTCAGATACAGGTCCTGTCTAAATGACGCGACCCTGATCGCTAAAAGAGCTATATTGAACATTTATCCCTTGTGATTCACAGTGAGCCATGTCAAACCTTCCTGAAGTCCGTCGCCCGAAGTCGCACATGCAGGCTGAACATACCAGTGCCGGTCTCGGAGTCGAGTCAACCCCAATTTTTCTTGAATCTCTTGCGGTCGCATGGCTGGAGAGAAAAAGTCGCAAATGAAACATTCCGTGATCCACACGGATATCGAGCGAGGCCTTCCGGAAATATTTGCCGTAAGGACACCCACCGTCTTTATGATCCTGTTTGTTAGCGAACACGAGAATGAGTGCGTCTTTCATTTCCCGATCGCTTATGATCCTGTGCAGCTCCTGGCGTGCTTCATCGATCCGATCTCGATCAGACGAGTCCACCACGAAGATAAGGGCCTGAGAGACGGAAAAGGAAATTACTCGATCCGATCGAACACGACGCTCGCTCCCCCACTGGGAACCGCGTTTTCTGTGCTTCGAGTAGGCATCCCCATGATAGCAATGACCTTAACTCACCTGTGTTCCGGTGTAGTAGTGCCTCCACAGGGGTCTGAGTTTGTCCTGTCCCCCTACGTCCCAAACGCTGAACTTGACGTTTTTGTACGTCACCGTCTCTACGTTGAAGCCGACGGTCGGAATGGTGGTCACATATTCGCCCATTTTGAGTTTGAAAAGGATTGTCGTTTTGCCGGCATTGTCCAATCCCAACATGAGGATCCTCATTTCTTTATTGCCGAAAAGGCGGGAAAATATTTTCCCCATCTCTGAAATCGCTGAGAGAAGGGATAGCCGAATTTAAATACGATCCATATACCTTAGAGAAACAGGCGATGGTATTCTAGCGCGATCGGACCGGAGAATTCCGCGGTAGTGAATGTCCGATGCTTGAATATCAAGGGAGAATGCAGATCTCCGCGTTTCGATTGACTTTTCGATGACCTTCGTTAACAACAACCGTGAAAATGAATCGTGCTGGTCTTACGGGGACCCTGCGATTAAGCCGTCGGCTTCGAACTACAACCCAAGTGTCGTGTTTCGCTGGTCGCTCACCAAAAACCAACGACAACGGTCCGCCGACTCGCTCCCGATGCCGCGGAGCGATCGCCTTGGGTATCAATAAGTTTGGAATGACGTTTCTAGGGATTAGTCAGCTGGCCAGTCACCGGGCACAAATGTCACGCGTTTACAGCCACAGGTTACTCACTCGAGATATGAATGAGCTCGGAGCGTATACGAGGAGCTCGAGGAAAGCTTTGGGAAGAGAGGGGATCTCTTGTAGCTAATTTCGGCTCAACTGCGTTGGAATTCATATACCAATAGTCGAACCCGATATCAGTCCCAGCGGAATCCCATCCGGATTGAGAAACGCCCCTATGTTTTTCGTTGCCAGATCGAAAATCGGCTCGACAATCTTCCGAGCCGCATCCTATACCTCAGGAAAGTGATATTGTTCATATCGGACAACGGTAGCGGAGTGTTCTGGATTCCTTCCCCAGAAAATGACTGCTCGTATTCACGCACATATCTGAGCACAAAAGTCATTGGTCCATGCTTATATTTGCGAAAACGGCCTGTACGTCGGTGGGGATGTGATCGCGTAACCGTTTTGGATTTTCGACTGTGGGCAGAACACGATGACTTCGAAGACCGAAGCTCTCCAGGACCCTAAGTCGGCCACATATGTACGGATCAGCCGTGACTCGGTGACAACCGGTGAAAAAGGAAAGGCGGGGTTCTCTTCCAGAACTCTAAGCAGGTGTCCGATGGAGCTTTTTCGGAAGAGATCGAGTCCTCGGTAAAACCTTGAAGACAAACCTTTTGCTCTCGTATGTTGAGAACTTATCTCCGGGGGGAATTCGTCACGTCCACTGCACACGGAATCCCGGTTCTCGCCTCGAACGGACTGAAGATCATTCACCAGAATACAACAAATTCAAGCCTCCTCCTAAAACCAACAACGAGCCGCTCACACAGGCACAGACGAAGCTCCTTATCGAAAGCGGCTGATTCGCAGTCAGGATAAACGCTCTCTTGCCATCCAATATCCACGACGAATCGGGAGGAATGTCTGGAATAGGCTGAACGGATCGAAGCTCAGTGGAGGATGCTCTCGCTCCGCGAAATGGAAAGTCTCCAATCTTCAAGTTGTCAACTCGGTTTGTTTACGATATGGAGCCCAGATCTGTGGCTATTCGAGGCTCCATTTCAAATACGCGTAGCGAAAATTACACCGCTGAAGAACGACTCTTTCGGCGCTCCTATTATCCAGGGTACTGGATACGGCGGAGGATGCCCCTCCAGGTCGCTTTGGGACCGCATTGATAATTGCCCGGGGCCCAGGTCTCAACGGCAGATTCTGCGGCTCGGAATTCTAGTGGAATTTGCTGGTTGCTGGCGCAACGAGATCGGCGGAGCTTGTTATAATCGCACCGAATAAAATATCGGCGTCTATCGAGAGAATGGTATCTCGTTCTCATCCTCTCATATGAAGGTAATGACCGTCCTCCATGATCCTTTTTTTTCGATCTCGCTGAGTCCTCGTCTTCACTTCAGCTCGGAGGCGGAGCCTACGAGATGTCTGATCCGAATGTTTCCGAGCTATAGGGGATGTAGTTCTTCAGGGAACTGCCTCTGTGAATTCATAAGGGGCCAGATTCCGGTGGGAGAAAGCGAATCTCGGATGCGAGTCTCCTTTCTTCGACGTGGATTTCCGAGGAAACTTTTGAGCTTCGGCGGGGGTGACGCTCGGGTTTCCGCGAGGGATTCAGCCCGTGTTCCGTCCATTAGTCGTCAGGCTGTGAGTGTGTGGATGTGTGCGTATCCATCTGAAGTGGAGAAGAGGGTTCACCGTTCGCTGGGAGTCGAAGAGTGTGTTCGGTCGGAGTCCGGAGGACGGAAAGAAACATGGCATTCCTAAATTCGGTTCTCGTTTACTGAAATCGCACCACACTCAGCTGACATGAAGATTACTCGTCAAGGCCGGACGGGTTTAAAGGTGGGTTCGGGAACAGATGTTCCCGATCGAACGTGCCGTGTTGGCAGCTCTGACAAGTCATATGTTTCTGCCGAAATACATGAAAAACGGTTCAGTTGCCCCTGAACTCAATATGGTCTTGTGTGAGGTCGTCGGTCGATCATGTTGACGCCTCAACGGGGAAATCATTCAATCCTTTCCGATCATTTTTGACTCAGCCGAGGACCTTTCGGGGATTTTGGCGCCTGCCGGAAGTCGAGCCGATCAAAAAGAGCCTTAAGGCCTCGTTTTTACCGCCGGGAGCTATCAAGATAGGTTTTCGGAAACGTCACTGGGCTCGACTCGGAGCCCCCATCGGATGCCATCTCGTGCCGCGGAGCTTCAATGCAAATGTTCGCTCAGGCTGAGGCTACGAGTCTGAGAAACTCGATGGCGTTTCCTTGGCGCTCTCCCGCTTACTAACTCGACATATTCATTCCAGATCGTGTTGCTGTGCTGTGTGTGGTACTCCATATCCTCCACGAACAATGTAATCGGAAAAATAGTTCTCACAAATTTCCCGTTCCCCCTGAGCGTCACGATGGTCCACCTGGGATCCATAGCCATCTACTCTGGGCCGGTCTTAGCTGTGGGGGGAATAAGGCCCTCGCTTGATATGGACTGGCCCTCATGGGCGAGATGCATCCTGCCCCTCGTCCTGGGGAAGTTTTTCACGTCGTTGACATCACACGTCAGTCTGTGGAAAGTTCCCGTGTCTTATGCGCACACCGGTGAGTCGAACATCTCGGGATTCTGAGCGTTCTAATATTCATGAGGTCTGGTGTTGTTTTCCAGCTCTCGACTGACTCGGTGATGTTTTTCAGTGAAAGCTACGATGCCTTTCTTCACTGTGATCCTCACGAAATTGATACTAGGTCAATCTCAAACTCTAGCAGTGTATTGCTCTTTGATCCCCATCATTTCCGGAGTAATCATAGCTACAGTTACGGAGATCTCGTTCGATATGGTTGGGTTGCTGGCCGCGCTCAGCTCGACCATTGTATTCGCTCTACAGAATATTTACACCAAAAAGGTGAGTCAACATTCCACATGCGTCCCGCTGGATTGTTCCCCGGAGTTCATAGAAATACGCTCAAAAAAGTTGCACTCAATTTGTCGAGCTTTAGCAACGGGCGCACGACTGATCGCTCATAATTCCACAGGTGATGCACGACCGGCAGGTACACCACCTCCGACTTCTGCACATCCTCGCTCGGTTGGCCCTCTTGTGTTTCCTCCCGATATGGATTTTCTACGACACTCCGAGACTTCTTCGCAATCGAGAGCTCACTAAACATACCGATCTGCTCACCGTTATACTCCTCTTCATCGACGGATTTCTGAACTTCGCCCAAAACCTTGTAGCGTTCACCATGTTGAACATGTTGTCACCGTTGACTTATTCAGTCTGCAACGCCACGAAGCGGATCTGCATAATTAGTAAGTTCGCACGCCTGTCCATCCTTCCAGATCCTTGCGATTGGATAGCAACAAGTCGATTGAGAAACCAGTGACTCGAGAAGAAAATACATTTTCTCTACCACTCTAATGTCCGGTCACGGAAACTCACCCCTTCCCCAAATTCCTTTCCAGGCTTTTCGCTATTCATGCTTCACAACCCAGTGACGGCGGCGAATGTGTTCGGTATGAGTCTTGCCATTTTCGGCGTGCTACTCTATAATAAGGCGAAGCTCGATGCCCACCGGAGAAAGGAGTTACCCACGTACCACACGGTCACAGCTCAAGGCGATTCGATCGCCAGCAAAGTATCGGACGCAAAATCCCGCCTGGCGAAGACAGCGAACGGGTTCACAAAACCCAACAACATCCTCTTCGAACATGTCTTCTCGAACAACAACAACAACAATTCGCACTACCTTCCGTTGGTTCATAGTTGACGCTAGTCGCAGTTCAGGAAAACGATATTTTATTGAGAAATGACGGGTTGCGGAGAGACGGGACTCTCCTCGCGAAGCACATCACGCATTCGATTCACTACATTGACTCATCCTCCGACCACAGACGCGAGCCCTCGGATGTGATAGATGAAGTTTTCGGTCTCCGTGGGCGAGCGTCGTAGTCCTGGGTGGGTCCCTCTTTGAAATTTCGCGCAGGTCCGAGTCAGACGGAGTTGTTTCTTTTGTTGCGAACATCGCAATTTTGTTGTGTTCCACATTCCTGTTTTTCTTCGTACAAAATGTAAATAATCCGCACAGAGAAAAGAAACTGCCTTGCACAGGGAGAGAAGCTGGAGTGGGCCGCGGGGTAGCTCACTGAAGGAGCAGATTTTATCGACGTGCTCTCGTTCAGTGGTTCCCCGTTCGCCAATAGAGTGATTCCGACAAGAGCCTTCGTGAGTTTTCCAGCCTCCGACCGCCTCTTGTTTTCCCCGCTCCTGTGCTCCGAGTTTCCGGGAACCTAGAAAGGTTTCACCTTCTGAGGCCTTTGCGACATATGCCGAGCGGTGATGTAATAAAAAGATGTAATATATTATGATGATGACATCTAACGCAAACAATACGCTGACTCCTCCTTCCCCACAACCTGAGCGCCCGTGACAAAAATGAGAGAAAACGCAAACATTCGATAGGCCAATTCCGATGACGTCACTTGCATTCGTTTCCGTCAGGGCGAGAAAATGAATGCGCGGAAATTCGGTTTGAGCGACCCCAACAGTGGATGGGAGGGATACAGTCTTCGTATCGAGGTAATGATTTGGAGTGAAGGCAGAGACCCCGGTATTCCGGTTCACCTCATCCTGTATCGACATGCCTCCTCCAGCGAAAAGGTTCGACGTCTCCTCGAGATATCTGACCCAGATTCAGCGTGGACGGCATGAAAAGAGGTCGCCCGGAGTGTTGTTTCTTATGCGCGAGTACTTATTATTCTTTTGTGATTGGTGGCTCCGATGGGGTGTGCTCTGCATTCTTGATTCGTAATTCTTCATCGGGGTCTGCCCGATCTGAGAAGATTCTTTTTCCGAGTTCGAGAGAATTTCAACGAAACGTCTCGACTGTACTCTCTTGGATAATCTTACACTGAGTTCCATTTCATCTGCGTATGCGGTCAAGGTAGCCAATTCTGTGCGAAGATACAAGGACTGATGTGGTCGGAAAATCCTACGGAACCCGAACTCCCGACATTGGAACGGCAATCCGCATGCATCACAGTATAACGCGCAACGCGGTGTCATCAAAACGATGTTTAGGAGCCGAAGCCCTTTGAAACTTTCCGATTCTCATGTCCGGCAGTCCTGCACAGGTCGCAGTCCTGCCCCCGGGGATGAGCGCATCCAATGGCCTCTCGCGCCCTTGTGCTTCATGCTTCTGTATCGTACTTTCTACACATATGAATCACATCCTGCTCCAGACCGCAAAGCAGCATAATGATAGCCGCTGGATATCCAGTGAGTCCACCCCACCCGATGCGGTCCCTCGCCCACGAGGAGCGCCCTCTTGTGGTACTCCAGGTCCCTCCGGTGCATCTCGGCGCTCACGTTCAGACCAGCACTCGCGAGCGCGGCATGGTGATGAAGTCCAAAGTTTGATTGCAGCTCGGGAGTGTCAAGCGTCTAAAACAGCGAATACTTCTCGGGACGTGACATTCGATGGGATCGAAGCGTGATTGCTCGTGGAATACTGAGCTCAGGGCCTGTACAGCGGTAGCACTTTCATCAGGAAGCTGCCGGAAAAAGTTTCGTCATGAGTTCAGAGAAGTATTAGCTCCCGACTTTTGAGACTGAGGAGGATCGATTTCGGGGGGCATCGAAAAGAATGGAGGTAACCCGGTGGATCGTCATCATCGTTGTGTTGATCACAGGTGAGTGCGATTTTTGATCATTTTCTGGAAGATCTCTAAGCCTCACTGGAACAGGTGTCCTCCAGCTTTGTGCCAATCGACCGGGCGAACCTGCGTTCTCCTTGAAATCTCATCATTCAATCGCTGCGACGCCCGGCACTAAAATTCAGCCATAAAGGAATGAGTCCCAAGAGACTTTCCAAAGTTTCGACCTGGCGGAGACTCGCCACTTGGGGCGGGACTTCATTGGCACCAGACCCTGGGATCTCAGTTGTCGAGATTCTTCTCTCGGGATGAAAGCTTTCAGACTCATTCATATTCATGATTCCGAAACGACGCTCCGAAGCAGACTCGAAGGTTCGAAAAGTCCTGTCTCGCGAGGTTACTCGACTGATGAGTCCCCGAGAATGGAGCGAGTTTGGCCTGACACCTAGAGACGAGGACACTTTCCGCTTGATGCGATTCGGTCCACAAAAATTTGACCCAGAGCTGACGGTCATCAATACCAATGGTCCATGTTCTCTAGAACGCTTCGAGCACAACTTGCCTCTCGCTAGGCTTTCGAGAAAGAAGGATGACCTCGGCTGATGAGTTCCTGAATTCTAGACAAGGGAGTCGATCGCCATTGCTCGGAGCAAGCCGGCACAGCAGCCAATTATTCCGACTGGTCGGGTGTAACCATCAGCTCGAGACGAGAATAGGTCATTGTCTAAAATGAAGGAAAACAAAAACGCGTCCTCACGGCGAGGTCTCCCCCGTCGGCAGGTGACTGGGTCACCGGAACTCCATTCTTTCGCCTATTATCGCATATGTCGCTATTCAAATTTTTCAATAGAATTTATCCCATCACTACAAGCTCCACAGCGCCATCAGGCTGGAGTCTCTTCATTTGTCAATTTCGGACACTCAGCACCACGATGTTGGGAGCGTTTCGACCCGCATTGAGTTCTCTTTCAATTGTTGCGGAATTTGAACCTATTCGTTTCACAACAAGTTTCGGCTCCATGATCAGTCATTATCCGCAAATTCGGTAACACAGCTCTGTCTGTTCAGCCCGTTCGCCGATTGGAGCGCTCTCTCGCTCGCGTTGAGTGACCTCCCATCAGTGGAAATGCCCACCGAACTGTACATATTTACTGAGCGAACTGATCTCGGGAGCACACGATCCTCAGAGGTAGTTGACCTCAAAAGTCAATACTCGTCTACGAGGACCGCACCTGTGGACAGATATGGGGGCCGAAAATTTACATCGACACACCATTTTTCTACGGACTTTGTCGAAATCGATGGATCGTGCCGGGCTTACCGGAGTAATGTCTTACCGTATGGAAGCTGTCGACGTCCGATCATATTGGATAGTACTCGCAAACATCAACATCATCTTATCTGGATTGACCAAGCAGCGCCTCATTTCGTGAACTGCTCGGTCGGATCCATGACGGCTCGACGCTCCCGCACTTTTGAAGCCGTTACACAAATATCAAACCGGATCATAATTTTTCGCGACTCTAGAGCTAGTGGCGATTCCGAGATCAGTGGGGGCTCATTGGTGGTTGGCTCACTCGATTGCGTGCCTTGACCCCGAGGGACGGACTGAGTCGCGTGACAGCCACGAAACCCTTGTTTCCTGGTTTCACGGCTCCTCGGCGACAGAGCGATGTGCTTAGCAGCTACCAGTGATGTATCAGCGTGCGCGAATACAGACGGATCGGTCAGAGTTAGGAAATTAACCCGGGCGAGGCGAACGGATAGCTCGGGATCGATTCTATCGGAATCGATTAGAACAGACGACCACCATTTGCGCGAGGTATGGGAATAGTTGAGGTCCGATAGGTGCTCGTCGCGAGCCCGGGTCTCGTTCCATCACCACCGTTTTTGGTGGACGTTTCCTGTTCCGAATAATTACGGCGACTACTAGGCTTGATCAACGTAGGCTCCGCGAGTAGAAATTAAAATTCTGCCCGGGCTCAACTACATATTTGTACGGCCGAACCCGATGTGATTCCCCGAGGCCACTCAGCTGGGTGTAGGCAAATATGCACCATCGCATTTGACGACTTCTCCATTTTTTCTGTTGTGGAGCTTCAGACGCCGATAGCGGGACTCTCGCGATCCCTGCGAAAATACCATCGACTCGTCTCCTTGTTCGTGTCAAGAGATGATTTGGAAATCCTCCGGCCCGGGTGACCGGTTTACGGTCGAAGCTAGAATCGGAGGACGAAGACCTTAAGCGCTAGTACCTTATCGAAGTCTCATTGAAACTTCTCGATGCTGCATCGGGGTTAGTCATGAAAACAATCCTGCATTTTGCCGGCATTCATGGTGATAGAACGAATTTGGGTCGGAGGTCCCCCGGGCTACTGGATGGCAGTACGTGAAAGTCACTCCACCCTTGACCAGTTCACATCCAGTGGAGCTGAAGCTACTCAGGAACTACTCTGAAGCTACTGCTGAAAGTGGATCACTTGGTTGTCTCTCCATTTCCTTGTTAAACCGTACGCGTTCGATTTCCAAGGGTGTAAATTTCGTCTCAGTTGCTTGAGGGCGGATACTTTGTCTCTTTATTCTGCTCCGACCGATGATGTGGAGATTTCACGCGCTGCCATCCCGCGCGACTCTTTCGTCGATAGGAAACAGTTTTCAGAAAGATTCAATCTCCGCGATGTCTTGTCGACGAGTCTTGATCATGATTCTGACGTTTTCTTCAGCGGAAATGACCGGAAAAGCGATGGCTAGGCCAGAAGACTGTGGACAGCGCCTAAGGAACTGCACGACGATGATCCGGCCCTTCCTTCACGACTTGAAGTATATGTTTCCAACGACGATAGAGGACGTTGAGAAAATGTGCAGGTGAGATCGAATAAAGCGAAACTAGGCGGTCGATAAGCGTTTGATCTGTCACCCGAAGACTTCGAAGGTGATTCTTCCGTATTCTCACGAGAGAACACCCTGCGACGCCACACAACACGCCCAGTCTTGGGATTTTCCTGTGGGAAGAAGCTGTTTGAAAGTCTTAGAATGAGTCCCCGTGCTGAAAGAAAAACTCTCTGTTTCTCACAGAATTTGGGGTAGTTTCGTTGACTGCATTCGATATTACACCAAAGACTGCGCCACGGCTGACCAGCGGAGGAGATTCAATAACGCCGTCGGAGACTCAATGGACACAGTTCGGGCCGTGTGCTCGTCCGAAAAATATCAGAAAGGTAGGCCTTGTTTGGAATTCCCACAGATTCGGTCCATCCTGGGGAATCGGGGAAAGTTTTTTAAATCCGAAGATTCGAGGCTCCCCGAAACGACGATTGAGCCTCCGGACAAAGGAGAAGAGCACATACGTAACATACGACAGCTGAGTCAATCTTCTTCCCGCATTGGCAGAATATCTTCAAAGCGCTACCTGCTTCCGCAAAGTTTCCGTGGAGAAATGCGGCCCTCACTACAACGATTTAGTGGAGGAAGTTACGAACACGGTGACCAACAACGATAACATCTGTTGGTGAGTTCCGACGTCAATGACGCCTGTCGCAAATTCGAATCGAGCCGCGGAATCGCAGGAAGAATCAGAGCCCAGACACGTTCCGATACCACCTGGGGAGGCATTCGGTTGTCGAGCTTCCGCTGAAGTCCTGCAGCGGAACGTGCCCGAGTAGGACACTCATGAACCCGAGGCCGAATGGAACGTGAGGCCTTCGAAAACTTTGAAGGCCGACACTGAGCTTCGGACGGATACGCACCTCATAGAATTCAATCGTAGACACAGTCGTGAAGCTAGGCACGGAATGATCAGTCAGGCGACTCACTACAGGAGGGACCTCGATTCACATGAGATTGTGCGTCCTGGGCGTTTGAGGTGACCCTCGAGCGGATCCGAAATTATCACGACTTCCCCCGCGATTCTTTTTTGTTGAAGGGATGCTTGACATCTGATTTATCGAAAGGTGAAGCGGAAAATTGAATTTCCAGTTCCTACACGAAGTTCAAGAGCTGCGTAAGTGAACCTCTGCTCAGACTTTGTGGATCGCGAGCCCGCACCATTATGGATCATTCGATGGCTTTCCTCATACACAGGTGCTCCTCAAAATCATTCTCGTGAGTATTCATGAACTTTTGATCGTTGGCCGTAGTCCGTGTTGCGAAACTTTTAATAAACGCTCGACTCCCACCATATTTCTCCTCTTTCGGAATGTGTAAACCCGCGGCGGAGCGCTCGGAACCACAGAGCGTGACGCCTCTCAGCCAAGTTTTGAGTGACCATAAGGTCTAGGTCACGCGGAGACGGACCACTAGCTCCCTAAAATTGCAACGTTCCGCCGCTGCGAAGTTTTCCTCGCCGGGGTTCCACATTAATTCCGAGCTTGGCCGAACATTCGAGGGATTCGTTAACTATGTAGATACGCGGACTAAACGAGCAACTGCCCACTATATGTAATTATGTATACCAGCACCATGACCCTATGACGTCAGCACGGAGCCTCTTGGTGTAAATTTAGACATTCTCATCAGCATTCTCCGGCTATCCGTGTACGGAGGCGGCGTCCACCAGATTCGTCTGGTCGTTCAGACGTTCGAATTCCTGTTCGAGTGAGCTCCGAACGCGATGTACCGATTGCTTCCCGCGGTCTCGATAGCTGCGCAATCGCATTAGAAAGTCGATGCAGAGTCTCAATCTCCATGGGACGTCGCCAGACGAGAGAGGAAGGATATAACTTGGAGTGGGGCAAATGCACCGGTTTCGGAACACCCAAGGGGAATTTATTCGCAGCTGATTGGGGGTAGGAGGGGAAAAGTTTCGAACACCCCATAGAAGCCTATGAGACAACGCCCAGTGATGGAACACTATGTTAAACTCCTAATTCCAAAACTGGTATGTGTTCCATAAGCGCATCTTTTACCCTAATTTTGACCGTTTTTGTCTCTTTCCGTTACAGACTTTCTTACGAATGTCCGAAAACAGGACGGGGTCGCCTCGACCCCGATGTCGCGGTCGACGGAACTATGCCTTCCGACGGCTCAAGTCACATGACTGCTCATGGATCTCAGAACGATCGTGAAGGGAACGGCAACGCGGAATCGTCGACGAATTCGGGATCGTCGATGAACTCGGGATCCTCTTCAAACTCGGGATCGTCATCCAACTCGGGATCGTCATCCAACTCGGGATCGTCATCCAACTCAGGATCGTCATCCAACTCGGGATCGTCAACAAATTCGGGATCGTCCACAAACTCGGGATCTTCAACAAACTCGGGATCGTCAACGAACTCGGGATCTTCAACCAGCTCGGGATCGTCGACCAGGACAGGGTCATCGCCTTCGTTCCCTCATCCGTCGAGCAACGTTGGCCCGTTCTCAAAATCTGCGACGGGTGTCGGCATCGGCGGATCCGGCGCAGACACCTCGCGTAGAACTCCAGCGGGGTCGTCGCATCATATGACTTTTGGGAGCTCGCCGAAGGACATGTTTGGGTTCGACTTCGGGAACTCCATCGGGTCCTCTTTTGACACCGCGGCAGACCTGGACAATTATGATGACGACGAAGACGGATTTCCGAGACGACCCTCTCGACGGCCGCAGAGACCGCCGCCAATTTTCGGGAGTCGTCTTCAGCGGAATTACGAGAACAGATCGCAGTATCCCTCTGTATCATCACCGGTGATCGTATTTCTAATGGTTTCGATCTGTGTGGTGTTGGCTCGGTGATAGTTCACGAGGATTTCTTCGCATTCGAGACCGTCGTGCCCTTCGAAAGCTGCTGAGGAACAAACGAGAGTTCTCCATTCAGATACGAGCTTAAACGACGAACGTTCAGATGAGCAGCATCTGTCTGATAGAATCGAGCGAATCAAGTAAAGTCGGACCGTACAAACACGTCGTGCAGCTATGCATTCAAGGTCATGACCTGAATAGTCTATTTTCTACTCGTTTTCTAATTCATTGCCAACCATCGTTCCCAAACATCGTACATCGATCGAGATCGATCTAGAAACTGGAATGTGCGTTCCTCGTCACGAATAAACCTTTTCATCGAGGGATTCATCTCGCGTTTTCGAAGCTCCTTAAGGCTTGCGTCCTTCCCTCGCGCATGGCTTCTGGTTCCATGGAGTCCAGAGAGCGCACTCACGGAGCGCCAAGGCGAAACTCGCTGGGGTTTTCTTTCTTCTCCGATCCTTAATCCAGGCACCATGTACACTTCTATGCCTTTCGTAATCGGTATAAAGAAGAGACTATCGGGAAAACATTGCGCATGCGCGGCTTTCGCGATTCCTGCCCCACGGTAACTTTTTCCCTCAAGAGCAAAACTTCATATCGAGTGTCTCTCCCATGGGGGATACATCTCTGCTTGCGATTATCAGCTTGTGACTCACGTGCTTTGCAATCCCCATGACGGTCAGATTCCCCACGACTTATGACTCGCGTGTTTTCCAATCCGCGTGACGGTCAGGTTTCCCACGACGTCGACGTCAAGCCATCGAGCAGGATCACTGAGCTCGAGCTGAGCAAAGGGAACTCCGGATCCATAGATTTCCAGGTCATCAGATCATTGACAGCATAACTCCACCCGTCGTCAAGCAGAACTACATTGGGGAACTCGCATACCGTACGCACGACGCGTGTAAAACATTTTTCCTGCTTGTCCTCCGTTGTTGTCCTCGAACAGATTCCACGCTCGTGCAAGCCCGGACCCCATAACTGAGGGAGAGAGCTCATTCTCTAACGTTTCAGACCGGGATTGAGCGTTTGCGATTTCCGATAACGCACATTCTGTCGACCGGGAACGAGGGCGCGCGGGGCAACTGATGATTCTCATTTCAAACAGCTTCACGCTGGCTCACAGGCTCTGCGTCGGCTTCGGTACGACTAGGCTTTATCATCGCATGCATCAACTCAGAACCAAATGAGGACCTCGACGAAGTCATCGCCGCTCCCGGTGGGGGCCCCTGTCGAGGGGAGATATCAGTAGGAAAAGCAAGCTCCTCCAGCGACTCACGGACACCTCGCAAATCGATGCTGAAGGCCTACTGATAGGTTATGGAACGTGGTCGTTAGCGGTTCGGGGACTATGTCGTCGGTCGGTTCATGCCCCTTAGGGGTGAGTGCGCTCATCACAGATTATTACGCATGTTCGACTCATCGAGCCGGAAAATGAAAATGAATCAGACAATTCAAAAAAGAACCTGTTCGGCGGGAGCGTCATATCTTTTTGTAGCGGAGAAATGTCCGATCCCTCCATTGCGACCAGCATGCCGAGATTGACAGCAATGATCATCAATTACGACATTGATCCTCCTCTGCCTGGGATAACCCATATCCTGGAGGAGCCGGTCAGTATCCAACGCGCATCACTGCCGTCGTTCATGGGTGGAACACCTTCATGAAGCGGACCAGCATTTAGTTCTGACTGAGAACGTGACCCCTAATTCCTCATGTGCCCCGGAGGTTGTCGGAAAATCCCTTAAAGAATCATACACGAGGTATCTCTCCATGTGTGCACTCCATGCTGACACGTCACATGGCGCTAATCTATCTCATAACCCGGAAATCCGCAGATCCGATGTTCGTCTCAATCGGCTCGGACGACGTGTCCCTGAATAAACCTTGCTTTTTTTTTGGGATTTACGCCGTAATGAGTCAGAGCGACCGGCTGTTCGGAAACTATGCGAGCTGCAGGCTGATGATTGCAGCGCGCGCGGAGAGATATATTCCAAAGGGCGAGCACTCAATATTCAATATCGCTGACAAGGAGATCGCTCCAGCGGTCAGGAATCGGCTGTGCCGCGCACCCGCGCGATCCGCGGTATTATCCACCGGTTCGCGTCCCCAGATAAACGTAGCCGTGATCTATATTTCTTCGATGGTCTTTTTTCTATACCGATTTCGAAACTCGTAGTAGTGTATAGTAGTGACATTCTTTCCGTTACGGACAATCCGCGGCTACAAGACAGGCAGCCGATCAGAGAACCGGCTCGTCTATACAGTTCTTACATCAACGCTTTGAAGGGGCCACAGAACCGACCGTCATCATCGAAACAATAATCAGAATGCATTTTATCTGCAAATGACGTCCCTCGATGCTTCGCGGCCGATCAGAGTCGAGCAGCTGCTCATTCCAGCTTCGACGACCATAGGCTCAACTTCTTCACGTTTCGTGCCTCCAAATCCACAGGTAATTTGATGTCATCGTCAAGGGACTTACGGAGGGAAAGAAGCTGCAAAGCCGGCGTTGGAAATGCACAATCGATTCTCTTATCTCCCCCCAACCCCGACGATCAACCTTCTGATCTCCTCATTTATATAACACCACCGACATGGTAATAATCCCTATGATTCGTCAGAAAACCCGCGACTTGAAGGTGATTTCAGACAGGGAGCCACCACGGCGCCTTTTCAAATCGTCGGAACACGAAATTAGCAGAATCATGGCGTGTTCTCACATGATCGAATTCTGGGCCTTGGATCCCCCGACGAATCTCTCGCTACCCAGAACGTTCGTTCTATCACAGAAGCGTGAAACAACCTTTCTCTGTTGATTCACACGAACTCTGCGATTGCATTGTTTCGAAAGTGAAATTAACCGCGGCAACCCTGCCGTCCCTGGCACCAGGACAATGAACGAATTCTAACGTGAAACCTGGCATCATGGTTTCATGGGACCGCTCGGCAGGTGAGTGGCTGGCAGAGATGAATTGCTCGGACCGGTCAGTCATCGAAGCGAGCTTTGCCTCCCTGACGGTTTCCTCGTTGTTGTTCCTGTTTTCTTGACGGCGTTGGCAAATACATATATCCGAAACAAGTCAGTTCGTTACTTAGCAGAGCGATCGGATGAACGGGCGAAAAAACTGAGCGACGAATCTACTACAAACAAGTAGCAACTACAATTGGGCGGCTACAGCCAAGTGACGGCCACGGGAATTTAAGAGGCCGCTGTCTCCAATTATGTTTCAAAATTCTCCTGCTTGCTTTGTCCGAATTGCGGGTTAGATGTTTTTGTTCGACAAAATCTCAGAAAATGCTGTTGATGGCTGTGTTTTGAAATCCCCTCCCGTCTCCTTTTGTTCCGACTCGAATTCGGATTCGGAGGGGAGGGGGAATTTTCTCCCCGCATGCGTGTCTACCCCGCCGTCGGGAACCTTCAAGAAATGATTGAGTCCCTCCGGTCCTCGCAGAAGCGGCGATTCTTCGAAACGTCTCCGTGTGCGGAACGTTTCCACGCGTTCCCGGCTCGACGTTAATTTCAGGACCATGAAGTGCTTCCAGAACTTTCCGCAGAAACAGAAGATCTCGCCTATGCTCGCCGCCGCGATAGATTTCGTCGCAGCGAAGAAAATACATAACGTCTCGCTTAATCGTTCTTCAATCTCAGGTTTCCCCATTAGTTCGAGCCGCTGATCTCGCAGTCCATTACTGAACACTTGACATCTGCGGCGAATTCTGTCAGGGACGAGGCGTATTGTAAGATTTGGCCGCGGAATCATGTGTCAGACGACCTTCTCTAGTTTGATATTTTTGGTCTCTTTGGCAGAATTAGGCTTCTGATGGTCAGAAGAATTCGGAACGACCCGAATTGGATGAAAGTAATGAATCTAAGCTGCGCGCGACTCTCCCTGCGACCTTTGCAGGGTGGGACAAATTTCTGTGATACGTCCGCGCACGTAGAAAGACTGTCGCTCGGCCCGGGATCACCCGGCTGATACACTTCAGCTGGTGGCAGTTGTGTAATAGAGTGTAACAACTAACAACAGATCTGAATAACAATAACAAAATAGAAAAACCTGTGATTCGCTGCCTTCGCATCGGACCAAAGTGACTTACGTCAAGTTCTTTTCACCGGCCTCTCCGTGAGTGTTGCGCGGAGATTCCGTCTCTTTGGCCATGTCGAGGGAGAATACTGGTTGAAGTGAGCCGTCCTACTTCTTCTTCTCGCTCCTTCTCTGCTCTGCACCAATATGCGGGCAAATATTCGTCACCATGCAGATTAAGATCCGAAGGCGGAAACTCAGGCTTGAAATCGTATCCCTCGGGACTATGAAGTCAGCCGGCTCTCCCCGGGAGGAGTCTCGAAGCCATGCCGGTATTTCCACTGCGTTCGATTCACGGGCTGGTGAAGAGAGCTTTATGTAGGTACTCATCCAGAATATCGAAACCGAGAGTAGGTCGAACCGGATCCGTATACATTTAGAGAGCATCCGAGCTGCGTCATCGTCTGTGAGCTCCGCGTGGGTGTTGGATCCCGAAGAGTGTCATGTGAGAATTCAAACAGAGATCATTGAATTCTGCGCGGGTCGGATGTGCCCTCAGGCCCCGTAAATCATATTACGAATCTGAACTCTATGAGGTCCAAGTCTAGCCACTGGTCACTTGTCCGCCCTCTGAATCCCGAGCGTCCTGATGAGCTCCAGATACGACATCACGAAACAATAAAGGCTGAGAGCCGCTAGAAAGAGGGTGACTTGAATGTTTGTGAGGTTCTCCACCTTTGAGTCTCCGTTTCTCACCAAGATAATGGATACAAACGAATCAGCGCTCAGAGTCAGATAGTGTGACGGCACCCCTGCTTCCAAAGTTAGATATCCAAGGTCTTGGTCACGCTCAAGGGAGAAGAATCATTAGCTCAGAAAAACTTAGAGTTCTGAGGTGTCTTCAAATCGATGCCAAGCTTGACCGGCTTCTGAAATTTCAGAAGTTCTGATAGATTCGCACGCCCGAATCTGCGGAAACTTATCTTTTTGCGGACCGACATAATTGTCCATGCAAACCTCTCGATATCACGCGATACACTCTGCTATAGACTAATTGCAGAGTTTTCACTACACTTGGATGGAGATCGGACCCCGGGCGCTAGCTCTTGGGATTGATCATCATCGAAGGATGTGTTTCGTCGGAGTCCTTCTCACTGGAGCCTTCGGGAAATCCCTGTGAGACGACGAATCTGGATATCCCCCATGCGATTGTTAGTCTTTCTCGATCATGATTATCTGAGCGTCAGTTTTTCCTTCATCTTCTTCCCAACTGACAATGGTATTATGTATACTTGGAACTCTTGATGGCCACGGGTCCACAGAAGCGATCACCGGTCTGAAAGCATTCATTTCTCCAAGAAACCAGTCTTGATAGCTGCCTATAGGCACGCGAGAAGTTCATGCAGAAATTCGCCTGAGCCGCCCGTCAAAACGCGACGGAGCGGCGGGGCTAGCCTTGCCTCCGGTGCCGTAGTCGCCGCCGCCGCGGCAGCTGCTACTGCTGGAGCTGATTTTGCCGCGGTGGAGTCACGGCCAGAAATCCGTGGGAATCACCCCTCAGTGGCCAGGACTCGACGCCAGTGAGCAACGTGAAGCACCTGCCTAGACTTGCTTTCTGCTCACAATATGTAGAACTGAAATAGCACTTCGGAACAGCAGCAGAATTCCGCCTAGTCCAGCTCGTTTCAATGCAGCTTGAGAGCGTTGCTCCATGAAATCAAAAAATCTACCCGAACTCGCATGACTTTGTTTGTGGAATTTTCTATCTCGCTAAGGTTGTAACGGGCATGAATAAAACCGAAAGCCGATATACCAATCCGGGCTCGATAAGGGTCACCGGTTTTTTATGTTGCTTAAATTGAGAAATAAATAGACATGGTATCACGAAACAAAGATAAACTTCTGAGCGAAATAATTGTTAGCCTAGCTTTGACTGGGGAATCCGGAGAGTCCATCGATTATCGCAATCTTGATTTCGTTCCCTGCACGTTCGAATCCGGATCTCCCGCTCCCGACTCGAGAGCGGCATGCGTTCGACGATATCTCCTAATGTCGGTGGATTTAAGAGGTCCGATCAGTGACTGAAATTCATCGGAGAAATTTCGAGAAACCCGTAGGATCGACGTAGTGCGACTCCTGCTACTCCCGGATCCTGGAAATCTCTCATGCTGGAAGAAGCGGTAACTTCCTCGCGATTTTGACTCCGGTTTTCGAGGTACGGCACGCTACGGCTTTCCGATCCTTTTATCGAAATTCCTGCTAAAGGGATCATGCGGGATATTTCGGACTCCGCCAACTACAATAATTATTCTTCATTTGGGGTGACCTGGTGATCTTCGATATTTTCACGTCATACGGTCTGATCCTGGCAGTTGCTCCTCGCTCGCAGTCAATCCCGGTAGCTCTCTCAAGGACACAATCTTCGGATCGGACCACGAGCGTTCATTCGTTTTCTTCTCCTCTTCCAATATTCCGAGCGAGCTCCAGAAATACTTATGTACATTTGAATACGGACAATTCGCGTCGGCAAGCTCATCATATGTACCACGAATGTGTATCGCCCGGTAATTCGATATTCGGCCATTTCACAAGCTATCACGAGCCTCGGTGACAGGAAATCGAGCGCTGCGACCTGATGATTCCGGAGCCGCAGCTGGCGGCTCCGGGCTCAAGCCCTCGAGGTGGGTCATTGAGATACGGGACGAGCTCGGTTTGTCATTCCTCCAGGGCGGTCGTCGGCTGACGAAATGAGATCCAGAAAATTGATCGGAGTCGAAGCTTCATGTTGTTCACCAAGAGGCTCAAACACCACGCTTTCTTCCGCGCGAAGCCAAGAGAGAGGGTTCCAAGCACTACCACCACCGTGAGCACCAGCGTTAACAGTGGTCGACTCTGGGCCAACACTTGGTATAAATTGCTTGGGATCCGGTGTTGGACATCAAACAACATCAACTGCAGCAGTGAACAACATGCGTGGATTCGTGATTGTGGCGAGCTGTCTAGTGGCGGTCAACGCCGGAGATTATGGAGGTTACGATCTCGGAGGATACGGAGGCGGCCACGGCCACGAGCACGGTTACATCAAGGATATCACCAAGATCATCACTAAAGCCGTGCCCCAACCCTACCCGGTCCCGGTGCCGAAACCTTACCCAGTCCACAAGATCATCCCCGTGCCTCACACCGTGCACGTTCCTAAGCCGTACCCCGTCCCCGTGAAGGTCCCCGTTGTGAAGAGGATTCCTCAGATCGTGCACGTGCCCAAACCCTACCCCGTCCCCAAGCCCTACCCCGTCCACAAGATTGTCCCAGTTCCCGTCTCGGTTCCCATCTACAAGGACGCCCCCTACCCGGTCTACAAGCACGTCCCAGTCCCGGTCCACAAGCCCGTCGCCATCCCGGTTAAAGTGCCCAAATACGTGCCCTACCCCGTCCACAAGGTGATCCACGTGCCCCATCCCGTCGAGGTTCCCGTCAAGGTCCCCGTCTACAAGCAGGTCTACGTCAAGAAACCCGTCGTCGTTCCTGAGCCCGTTTACGTGAAGGAGTCCTACGGACACGGTCATGGATGGTAAACTCCACAGGAGGAGAACGGTGCGGCGGATTGTCTGCCTGAGATCATCATCTGTCGATTGCGATAGTCTACACCGATAAAAACTCAAAAACCAACCCTCAAATAGGAGGAGGAAAACAACAAAAGCAACCCAAAGCCATGTGTATACTCTCGTGTGTAAATAAAATACAATAATAAAAACATTCCCCCCTTGTAGACGAGACTCGTTCTAATTGCGTCTGGGCTCGCACCAGCATCAGAGTCCGCATCACTGTTCTCGAGGGAGAGTTGAGAATTTTCTGAATTCGGAATGTTGTCTCGCGACCCCGACTCTCCAATCAGCTCAAGGTCCGAATCCGGCTGAGCACGCAATCCATTAAACCGCGGGAACTTTCCTCAAAATCTCGGCACGAACTCCTTAATTCGCTGAAGCTTAATTCCCGCGTCCTTGTCGTCCATTCTAACGCGCAGTTCCGTACCGAGCTTCTCACAATGTTTGCGTTTCTGTCAAGTGACCAATGACATGGTCACTACTTTATAATATGACGCTCCAAGCCTTCTGGGGTATCGTGTGCTTGCGAACGGCTCATAAGGCGAGCACCATTCCGTCGACTTGCAGAGCATCGATAAGCGTTCCGGTAGCGTATAGCCGATCTTATCTGCAAAGCAAGCGACCTTGCGCAAAGGTCGTGAGACGCTATTCTAACCGGAGCTGTGTTCGATGAAAGACCGAACAGAACTGGGCAATTTGGGCAGCGGACGAGAAAGAAGTCCGAAAAATCCGAACTCCTGGCTGAACCGACGAGCCGTCTCAAGCGCAGGGTGCGAATCCGCCTTGTGAGACTTTCGTCCCACCCGACTTGGAAGTTGATTTCCCGTGACGCGAAAAACAATAGATGGTAATTAGAGCAAGGCTCAACCAACTCCCGTTTTTTCCGAAACTCCTGACGCTCGCGGAAAGCAGCACAAACTCACATACCGACCAGGTTGACGAATTTCGCCCCATCTTCTCCTGACGAGATTCTCTCTCAATCAGTACAAGAGAGGAATGAATAATTACCCTTCGCGTATCGCATCGAAAATTTTGCACCATCGGAATTACTCGACTAAGAAGTGAAGTGTCACCCCATGTTTTTCGTTTGCTCGAATAAATCCGTTTCACAGCGCGACGTAACGGAATGAGTGTTCCCATCACGGATTTTCCCCGCCAGAGGAGTGCTCCCTCGGATAAGGAGCCAATATTCGCTCTGCGAAGGAATTTCTCCAAAAGCTCCTTCGCCTAGCCTATCGACAACATCCCATTAGGAACCCCCGCGGGCTCAGTGGAGGTATCGCTCGACGCACCTTCCCCTGCGATCATGTCTGTGAATAGAACGCTCCCTCAGAAGCAGTTCGGAAAATCATGAGCTCAGGATCACATTTCCGCCAGATCAATGGATACACCGATTCCGTAACCGAAAACTATTCGGATAGGGAGTCGGATCAGCGCTTCCGAGGCACCGTTGAGGATCGATTCGGTGTCGCATGCGAGGAGGTGTCTCACCACGGGAACGGATGAGCAAGGCAAACCTTGATTTTCTGCCAGGCCCCACGGAAAGCCTCCAGGGAAGACCTCAAGATTGGGACCTGCAATTTCGAACTCGATGAGTGCCCGTCGACGGTTGCCGCAAGCTTCACGACTCGACTAATCGATTGCGGGGCTCGTGCTGGAAAAGCTGCATTCTTCGAACAGCTCCGGACCTTTGCATGCGGCACGTGCTCCGCGGGGACTTGACCCACAGCAGGAGACATGGCGACAGCCAAGGGCAGAGGTTGGAATATTCTCCTGAATCTTTCATATACTCCCCGGTATGGAAAACAAGCCGCAGGCTTGAGCAGGATAGGCGCTCGGAGTCCTCGAGCAAAGAACGGCTTCCGGATGAGGTTGCCAGGAAGAGTCGATAAAATTGGGCTAGCGAAGCCAGAGGCTGATTGATACAGAGATAACGAGTTCCAGAAAGGGTAATCCACTTCGAGGAACGAGAAATGGGAATCGAACTCGGCTTTCAATCGAGGGCTAGCGTGCTCTACCGCGCTCTGCTGCGGCCTCAAGAAGGGCTTCCGTGGAGACCTGAATTCGTATCAGCCATTCTTTATTAGGACAATTTCACGGCCAGATATAGGCGAGCAGGCTCCGGTGATCACTAGTAATCTTCGACCACCTTGATTATTCTTCGGTGTTCAACACCTTGAAGTGGGTCCGGGATTTCTTTCCGAGCCAGGGAGTTACTTCTAAGTAAGAGCTGGACTCGAATTTTTCGAGTCCAGCTCTTAGGGCGACCAAGGTCCTCAAGGGAACCTCGTTCTGAGTCTGCCGCCTCGTCGAATTCCATATCTATACGTTCATACATATGCTCTGACGGGTACATAATCGAGGGGAAACTCTCCTTTGGGCGGGCGGAGACTCGCAAGAAAAGCCAGAAAAACTCCCGATCGCTCCTCGATCGGCGTTATTGTGGCGTGTTCCTCGCAGCAGTCCCACAGCAGCTGACTAGAATATTGATTGAGACGGTATGTACACGTTCGTTGTGGACTTAATCGTGATGAGTGATGACCCATTTGTTCAGGCACTGCAGTTGTGAATACCTCATGAGGAAACCCTTCCCGAGCGACGTGGAGTTCGTCGAAGTGCGGACTCGTAAGTGGTATGGTCTCGCCGACGAGAGCACCGCTGAAGCCTTCGAGGAGTTATTGTTTGCGCCTAGAACTTGACCGCAGTAACGATCGAAGGATACTCTCTTCTTGCTATCGAAACCCTGGTTGATGATCACGTAGTTTTGGTTGCAGGTTCCACCGACCTCAGTGGTCTTGTTTCCGGCGGATAAGGAGAAGAATTCAGACGTCCAGCTGATGTAGCATCGGCGAAGAGCCTGTCGGACACACACCGTGTAGTCTAATCCGGCCAACATGGCTGACTTCTCCGGATCGTGTTGGTGGTAGTTGAACGATCTGATGGTATCAGTCCTCTCCATGAAATATTGCATGCAGCTGCGATCCCCTGGAGTCCAATCCTTGTTGCACTCGATGAAGGCAACGTTGATCTGCCATTTGCGGTCGCCATTCCACTCACCGAGATTGAATCGGAGCGTGATGTTCTGCTTTTCACCAAAGTCTTTAACGTACAAGTACATGTGAGTGTCGTTGTTCCGGCCGCACAACATCGGCGCCTCAATCTCCGCCTGGGGTACGAAGAATTGATCCGCTACGCAGCTCCCCTCCACTGGGTCGTGGATCGTGAAATTGTCGAATTGAAGGCGCACGTAACACGTACCTCTTTTCGGAATGACTGTCACATCACACGATTGGGAGTTCACGGTAAAATCAGGAAATTCCGGATTCACGAAGTACGAGTTGTTGGTCTGGATCACTCCACCGCACGATCGTGAGACTAGGCAGCACACGCCGAAGGTTTGGCCCTGGATGAAGTTACAGGTGTTGGTGGTATTGAAATCGCCCCCCGCGGCCGTGCACTCCGCGCCCTGCATGCAGGTTCCGTTTCGCCTGCTATCGTACTTGCAAGGCGTGTGCTCGAATTGGAGGATGTCGAATCCACTGAACAAGCGAGCTTGCCTCCGCGGAACCCCGAAGCTCATGGAGTCCGACTGTGTCACGCTCACACCGATCGTGACAGCAGCCATCACGATGTTGACCAAGAGTCGTGGGGGTGCCATTCTTCACTGTAAGCTCGAGATTGAGCGCTTCTTCACAAACTCGTGGAATTATTCCGAGTGTGGCATCCGTCTCTAGGTGCGTAGAAGATCTCGAAGAAGCATCTCCCCGGTGATATATTTCGGAGAGGAGCTCCCTCAATCGAAAACCCTCACCGATCACCGACTCGAGGAGTCCTCCAGAGATTTTTTTCGGAGTTCACACCCCGAGCCAAGAGAGCGACGAGGCCTAATCTGTAGACGCGCTGGAATTCGCGGGAATAGACAGAACTCCCTTGTCTTTGGGGGTGCATCGAGCGATCGTATTCGCAATCTGCTTCGCATTCTCGAGCTTCGCTCATTCCCTTCGGCTGGGGACCTGTTCCTTTGTTAATCGGCTTCTTCGATAGCTTGATTCGTTGACGATTCCCCAGGTTGAGTGAACTCTCACCGGTTATCGCGGAAACCGATTCGATATCACGGAGAAGGCGGAATGTTTGGCTGAACAATGACCCAGATCACAGTGGATCGTTCTATTTTACCCAGTCACTAGACTCCGAGCAAATGGAATCCGTAACCAAGCCTGAGCTCACGAGTGGACACCGATATTGCGACGACTGCAATACTCACAATCACAATCGGATGTTGATTCATCAAAGCAACTCTATGGCGGTTACCTTCTTATTACAGTAAGAGGTCGAAGTTCCCCTGCGCCTGATTCCGCTCCGCGCAGGCCCCAGGGAGCTCCTCGCGAATAGTCCCCCGGGGCGTGTCATCGGAGCAGGCGCGGGGTTTAAGTTATGGCGGTAAGAGACACACATGGGCATTCGCACGAACCGAATCGGCTTTCTTGGAGGAATACTAAGGCTCCCTCCAAGTTTCCGGAGGACGCGCCTGCGGGTCTCACAGTCTCCCTCAGGATCGCCGGCTTCCCGATTCGAACTCGCAAGCTCGCGCACTTCACGAAGTCGAATGTGCTTGTCTTCCGAAATGAAAGCGGCTCCGTGTATGACGACGAACGTGCACATATCTCCATCTAAGTAAGCAACCAAAGCACTCGACCATCTGTCAGTCAGTCTGGAGTCTGAATACTTGGGTCTCTAACGATATCGAATGAGTTTTCTGAAGAAGCCCGACGCTGGTCGAGGAAGACTCTGAAATTGAGCTGAAAAGGCTGGAGCGACAAGGGAACTCTGATAGAATTACGCTGGGAAATCACATTTTGAGGCCGTCAGAGGCTATAGCACATGGTCGGGGTCTATGGATTATAGAGCTCGCTTATTGAAGGAATACAGGAACTCTTCGATACGAATATTCTTCTTCTATCATCCACGATCTTGCCGAGCCGTCTCGTGATGATGCATGGCTGATACGATGATCAGCTTCTCGTGCGAACAATCGAAAATCGTAACCGTGATAATTGAAATCGTAAGTGGAAAAATTATTTCCCAAAATGGCCTTGGGAATAGCCTTATGTCCTCGCTGTAATTTTCCCTATGACAACTCCCACTCTGGACATAGAAGCTCACTCCGCAGGCAACAAGCTGAGAAAAGAGGGGGAAAATTTTCGGCCCTACGGGTTTTCGGCCTCATGAGCATTCGACTATCTGATTTTTCGGCCCGACAGGATTTTGGCCCTTCGCGATTTCGCAGGGAAAGGTACGTCGAGCGAATGCGAGGCGGAATGTTTGGCTGAACAATGACCCAGATTACCGCGGATCGTGAGGGAGACCCATCAGGGTCGGATACTGCGGAGAGTGGTGAACCCCGAGTCTTTCAGAGCTTGGGTTCGGAATTCGGAATGTCTCGCAAGATTCTGCCGCGACGCCTTTGATTTCGGAATCAAGGATACCGGAAACGGATACTCATGATCCCGAGCGACGCACTCCAGAGCTCGCTTTCTCGGATTGAGAATTTTCGTTTCTCGATGGGAAAGCTCTGCTTGGATCAAGGAAGCTGTATTTTGTCCAGGAGCGGGGCCTGGTGTCTCTAACATCTAATCTCTTCAGAAAATTAGATGTTTGAAAGCTATTCTTTCTGGACGACTGCGGAGGTCATGAAAGATCCCCCCTCCGCTCAAATCTCTACATTCAATAATTCCCGCGTTCTGCGGCTTCCTAGTCAGATCGTCGCTTGCAGGAGATGCCCTGAGTTGAGCGATCACCGGATGAAACGCGATCCACAATCATTTTCGCATATAATCAATAATAATCAGACGCATACATCGCGTCAGTGGACACGATAGAAGAGAATGCATGTGCGAGACTCATAAACTGAGAGCTAATATTCGATCTGTGCTTTCCTCGACTTTTTTCAATTTTATTCACGATTCTCTCTGGATAGGATGCATGCATTGATTCTGAGGAAGCGATTTTTCCCGTAGACGCCTTCGTGCTCGATAGCGATCTCGGATGATGGATAGGAGACCCAGAAAACAAGACTTCACGAAGTCAGGGGCGATATTAAGAGGCTGACGCTTCGACAAGCCCCAGTCTCCAGCGAGAGCGCCCGGAATTTTCTCCGGAGTGTTGATGACCTCTGGCGTCTTTTCCCGTCTGAGCCCACGCTTCATTCAAGGAGCTCATTTTCTTCTACGAGCCTCCACTCAATACTCGAAGCCCCAGCTCAGGATCGAGTTAACGACATTCTCCTGTACGGATGATTTAGTCCCGGTAGGATATAACTCTAGTATTGAGGCACTGCAGCTGCGAGTACTTCAAAATGAAACCTCGTCCGAGCGCCGTGGCATTAGTTGAGGTGCGAACCCTGACGTGGTAAGGCCTTGCAGTCGAAATGACTGGTGACGCACTCGTCGAGTTCTTCCTTGCACCGAAAACATCGCCGCAGTATCTGTCTATGGACGTTTTCTGTTTGACATCGAAGCCTTGATTGATCAGCACATAGTTCTGAGTGCATGCTTGCCCCACAGCTGTAGTACCGTTGCTCGCGGACAATGAGAAGAACTCCGAGACCCACCTCACGTAGCATCGACTCTGCGCTTGCCGCACACAGACCGTGTAGTCCAACCCGGCCAACATGGTAGATCTTCCCGGATTACGCTCATCGTAGTTGTAAGACCTGACGGTATCGTTGGCAGCCATATGGACCTGCAGACAACCACGTTCTCCAGGAGTCCAATCTTGGCCACATTCGATCTGTGCGACGTTGATCATCCATTGTCTGGGACCGTTCCACTCGCCGAGATTGAACCGCAGGGTAACATTCTGCTTTCCCACCAAATCCCTGACATAGATGTACATGTGAGTCTCATTGTTGTATCCACAGAGCATGGGCGCGTCATGCTCGGCTTCCGGCACGTGGAATTGATCCGCAACGCAGGCACCTTGGACAGGGTCATGAATGGTGAAATTGGTGAAGTCCAGTCTCAGGTAGCAGGTTCCTCTGGGCGGCATGACCGTGATTTCGCACGTCTGCGACTCTGTCGTATCGCTCGGAAAATCGGGGTTCACGAAGTAAGTGTTGTTCGTCATGATAACTCCGTCGCAAGTCTGTTGTAGGAGACAGCACACGCCGAAAGTCGACCCGGTCCGAGGATCACACGGGTTTGTTGCGTTGAATCTTCCCCCAGCAGCAGTGCACGAGACTCCAAGCATGCAGGTTCCTTGACGTTTGCTGTCGTAGCGACACGGGGTGTGATCGATGTTGATGATTTCGAATGGACTGACAGCCCGTGCCGTCCGCCCTGGGATTCCGCTCCCCATGGGATCAGAGAACGATACGCCCGCAGCGAGTGCGGCGACCGACACAGCGATTGTTATCACGAGCCGGAGGCTGGACATATTTGCTACGCGAATTACACCGGATTCAAAGGCGCCCGAAGTTGATGATGCACGGCGTGAGTAGCTTCTCGACAGAGTGGCAACAGCCGTGTATATCTGGGGTTAGGAGAGCGAGTCGGCTTTCTCACAGTCGTGAAGCGAGTGATCCAAGATCGACACCCTCTCCGCTCATGGCTCGCTTGAGAATTTGAAATATTTCGGGGTGTTTTGGAGCATTTTGTTCCGATCATCTGCATTCGAATCCGAGCGAAAGCTTCGCAGCTTTCGAGCCGCTATGGCCCATAGACAGCGGCGCTGATCACAAAGTTATCACGTTGGTGATGGGGTTCGCTCTCTCGATATTCTGGACCTCGCGAGAATTCCGGAGGGTCGAATGCCGATCGTAATTAAAGGTCAACCAAAGAAACTCGGTGCAACGATAAGCTCAAAGCATAATCAGGCGCGAGATGGTCGTCCCCGTGTGACCGCATGGGCGCCTCAGTCCAAATATACGGAAGATGTGTCGGGCCCTGTAGGGAGGAATTGGCCGTCCAGGAATCGATGAGGGCATCCTCCGGTTCTCTACGCGCGCCGAAGGCCGAAGACCCAGCGATGACAGGCGGAAGCCGTTGCTCATTTCATCCGGATTCAGGACTCGGGGAGCTCCGTCGAAAGTATCGTGGAATCCGCATATCCTGACAGGCGCGCCAAAAGTTCCTCCAGGTAGTGACGGAAAGAGTCTTGTGGAGCATCTCTCGCAAGCCTCCAGAGCAACAGCTCCTCGTTCGATTCAATGATGTGCTTGAAATCATCTTACTGTTATCCCCGCCTGATCCTGGTATTTTTCCCTCAAATCCCTCCCGGGAGGAGAGTTCGCTGTCTCGTGAGGCGAATTTGGCCCACTCACGGACGACTTCCCAGAGGGGAGACGGACGATTGATTATACCCAGAGCGCGTCGTCGCGTCCACTGGACACATGAGCGCGACTTCGAGGCACTCTCGCTCCGCAGCGGAAGCGACCGCAACGCATCACATTCGATACACGGCTTCGAGAAGCTCGTACTCAGTGAAGTTTCGATTGGCACGTGCATGTTCTCCACACAGCGCCGCCGGAGCTCTACATTCTATTTCGTGCACGAAGACTGCGAAATAGAGTCTGATAATCATGGGACTCAACTACGCGGCTATGCTTTCCTACGGAGCTCTTGAGGTCAGTGTTGATCTATGGAGGTCACTCGTAACATGCAGCGGGAAGAACTTCCCAACCATCTCGTCCCGGTCCTCTCGCTGTAACGGGACATACTTCTCCTTCCCTCCAGAAAATGCAGAAGTCTGTGGAAATCAAGGACCCGGTACTCCAGGTCGTGGTGGGTTAAGATCAACTGAATTCAAGGCTTCTGCGTGAGCCGACATCATTACTCGTTTTCACTCAGTGAGGGGTAATCCTGAAACCCTGTGCGATTCTTTCCAGGATTTGAAGCCGGTCAAAGATAGTCGTTTCAGAGCGTACCTCTGGGATGGAGTGGAGCAATTCAATTGTGAGCTCATTCTTTCAAGCCGAACCAGCGAGCACTAGATGTATCGCTTTCGGAGGAGACTTAACTAGTAATGTGATAAAAATTATTCTCTCTCGAATAATAGATGGGATGATTTCTTCGCAAGCCATCCCCCCGATCAAGGACAAATTGAAACCGAATTGTCTGCTCAAGGTGAATACTTTCAGTCTGACGGTCACGAAAGACAGGTGGGTCCCGATCTCGACATAACATAAAAAGGCGAACGACATGAAGAGCTCGATTTATACTTCGTTTTTCGAGAGGTTCCCATGCTCCCTCGGAACGTCGGGGATTTGGTCGTTGGAGCCGCCTCAATATTCTACCGTCTCCTTCCTCCAGACCGATAATAATTCTCATGGACTGCGAAGTCGTCGCACTAGCGGAAGATGTCGGCCAAGGTCTCCTGAAAGTTGACGAGAGTCAAAAGAAAGGTGTTTATACTTGAACACGCTCGATGTAGAATTTCGTCGGTGGCGGGAATCTAGGACGATTTTCTAATCAAGTCCCAACCAACAGAGCTACCAACCGACCCGAAGCCCGACGTGTCGACTCCCGCGAAAACAAGTCGAGTCCTCCCGCAGGGAAGCCCATCGACGAGGGCGAATCTCTTCCCCATATCTGCGGTTAATCCTTTCCAGAATAGATGCACCATCCGGGGTCGGGTCACCAATAAAGGAGAAATAAAAACGTGGGAGAAAGCGAGCGGCAAAGGCAAGCTCTTCTCCTTTGAAATTCTCGACGACAGCGGTGAGATCCGCGTGACGGGTTTCAACGAGCAATGCGACAAATTCTACGACTACATCGAACCGAAGAAGGTCTATTACATCTCCGGCTTCCAATGCAAGGCCGCCAATAAACAGTGGAGGACGACGAACAACGAGTACGAGCTGACTCTGGGCAAATTCTCGAACGTGGAACTGTGTACCGAAACATGCGACGATCTCCCGGAACAGTTGTACTCTTTCGTCGCGATCTCGGACATCGAAACTCTTCCCGCAGATCAAATGATCGATGTCTGCGGTATTCTGAAAAACGCCGGCGAGCCTCAGACTTTCAATAGGAAATCCGACGGGAAACCGTTGACGAAACGCGACGCTTTCATCGTGGATGACTCAAGAAAAGTAGTCACGCTCACCCTCTGGAATGACGCGATCAGTAAAATAGACCGCACGGATCATCCAGTGATCTTGATTTCGAAGGCTCGCATCACCTCTTTCAACGGCGGCTTGAGCATCGCAACCAGCGCCGGATCCGCCGTGGAGATCGATCCCGACATCGATCGCGCCAAAGAACTGAAAACCTGGTGGGCGAAAGAAGGCGAAAGTGGAGAGTTTGAAAGTATCCAGGGTTCCGGTGGTGGTTCCACCATGCCTCAGGAATATGTAGACTTCGAGATGATGAGCAAACGCGGCGAACACCTGTCGGGAGTCCAGGATAAGCCGCTTTACGTATGGAATCGAGCCACGATCACAATGTTCAACAAGGAAACTTCGATGTACAAGGCGTGTCCCAACGAGAACTGCATGAAGAAGGTGCATGACCAAGGCGACGGAACGTTCTCCTGCGAAAAGTGTGCCTCCTCCGGCCCGAACTACAAATGGAGACTCATACTGAAAATGGCCGTCGCGGATCCCACGAAACAGTTGTGGTGCACAGCCTTCAACGAGGTGAGAGAAATGGAAGGCCCTTTGCTTTTTCAGTGTCTCCGCCCGGATAACCGCTCAGTGCCCACTCTTTCCGCAGAAAGCTGAGCAAATCCTCGGCGTCACCGCCGCAACACTGGGAGACTACTCCGAGAACAACCCAGACGAAATGGATAGAATATTCTCCGCGTCGATGTTCAAGCAGTTCCATTTCAAGTTTCGTGGTCGCATGGAAGTTTTCCAAGTGAGTTCCGCCGAAGTAATGCTCGGAGTTCGCGACGCATCTTGCTAAACTAGCATCCAACAAGCAGGATTCCCATTGATCTCCTTTCGTTTTTCCGAAACAGCCATTTCATTCCCCAGGATGAGCGCCGCTTCCAAACGGCGGTCGTGGAAGTTAAGGAGATCAAACCGTCCGAAGACAGTCAACACCTGGTCAAGGATATTTCTGCCTTGGCAAAATTCCTCTGAGGCTTCCAATTCAACTCGGAAGCGGAGTTTAGTAGATACAAACAGGTATCGCGAAGTTTTAAAGCTGTAAATTACATCATTGGTGTTTTTGACTGACTCCAGTCCAAGGTATATGAAAAGGAAGAGGCCTCTCGCGCGAGTCCCGATATTTCCCTCTTAATTGATCAATTGAGAGACTCTTCCACCGGCTCATGATGGTAGAATAAAAGGAATCGAACCAGATCAGTACCTTATCTAGCTTCCAACTCTCTAATCCGCGATTGAGCTCATCCAGTAGCAGACCGGACAGATCTGCGATTTCACCGCCTCCGAGGTCAGCTCCGGAAGCTCTTGAGGCCCCGTATCCTGTTTCGACCGAAACTCCCCGCACGACGCCGACGGCTCGGCGATTCTTCATTCGCTCAGTTGAGATTCTCAAACAGCATCGGAAATCGGAACTCCTGGAATTCGCGGTTGAAGCATGGCCGCTTCGTCGACCATGCTTTCACAAGGAAGCTGTCCTCGGCAACAAGAGGCAAACGTCGCGGTCCGAGACGATTGAATCTCCGAGGTGCGCCGGTTTACTCTCGGTATCCTTTTTCGGACGAACCGAACTTGAGGAGTGACGCAAAGATCATGTGGAAGAGAATCGTTGTTGCTTTTCATGGATGACTTCGCCATTGTGATGTCCCCGTCTGGTCAACCCGAGCCGCATCGTGATGAGCCTGGCGTTGAAGCTCTCAGGAGGGAGCCGATCCAGGAACCATTCAAGATCGAAGCTTTGGGAGTCGGAGGAAGTGAACCAAAAATCGCCGCGACCAAGTCTCCTCTTCTGCGGGCTGCTTTGCGAAGATTCTCGCCATTTTTGGTGGCGATGGCTGTAATCGTAAGCTTATACTGCATCGACAATGTGGCGGATTGGGGTTTCCCAGAATTACAGAAGAGAATGGGAATGGGTCAAACCCAGCCTGTCGTGACCGATTACTGTCCAACCTACTCTCTCGAACCTCTCGCGGCTTGTGCTGATTGCGATACGAGGGGCTACACAACACAATTGAAATTCTTCATCAACGACGCGGAGCTGAAAAACAATGCAACTGCCCCCCGGGCGAAATTCACGCAATCGGCGAACTTCAATCTGACCCTCGGGACGATTCCTCGTTTTATGATCAATTTCTTCGTTGTTACTCCAATAGACACGATGACATTATCTCTGCAGCTGAAAGAGTTGAAACACGATAAAATACAAGCTATGTGCGGTTTGACCCGTTTCCCGCAGACGAAACGCTTGGCCGCCATGATCGATAAGGCACCGCTGATTCTGAGGAGCGAGGAGAAGAAGAGGAAATTCAAAAGAGAACCAATCACAAAATTCTTCGGAGCGATCGTCGCTCTATCGAACGGTCATATCAACAAGACCAGCATTTCACTTATAATGAGTCCAAGTGATTCTTCCGAATTGATGTACTGTGATGCGGCTACATACGAGCAGGCTTTCGTGATCAAAAAAGTGCAGATGCATCTTTTCTCGACGGATGGAAGGGAGTTCGAGATACCTCCACGAATCAAGTTCATAACAAAGTGTGTTTCGTCATGAGCACTCATAAAGTCCGATGTTTGGTCCATGGCTCTCAGTTTTTTGCTAATTGGTGTTTCGGGCCGGCGTGATCTTCGGAGGCTCTTCGGGAAAGTTGAGAGGAGGCGACAAGACTCTTTTTTCTTTCCATCCATCCATGGAGCGATATATCTTGCTCCTTCAAACGAGACGTATCCTCCTCCCCTCCCTTGGAGAGTCTATCGACAGTTGTTGTAACCAGGTTTTTCCCACGAGCCTCCATCACAAACCCCGCCTCAAGAGTCGCTCGCGATCCGTCTAGGTATGCCCGCGTTGTTGTGAGGCTGGTCGTTTCCATCGATTTCCTGAAAAGTGTTACAATGAGAGATGCAGTACAACAGTGACTACGATGCTCATCTGAGGCTGAACGCTCACCGGAAGCATCCCGATATTGACATCTTCAGGAGAAGGAGTTGTCGGAATTTCCTGCCGTCCCTCCGAGCTCGGCTTCCGACTCAGCACGATGCATCTGAACGATCTGAGGAAGTCTATCCGACGTATTTCCCATGGAGAGGAGGAGATCCTAGCCAGAGCCAGATCGACACATGATTTGCATTTTTCGATTTCCTGTGGATTATCGGGATATTTTCATAAATTTTCCACCAGGACACCTGATTCGGAGGGGGGAGGTGCGGAAGCCGGATCGGTAGTCGAAAATCCAAGTTTGGACGCCCGCCGTGATCGACGCAATCGTGGAAGTTCCCTCACCTCTTCCGCAACGCCGGTATTACACGCCCCGGATATATGCTGTCGAACCTGGTAATAGTGGATAGAATAAATATCTAAGACACCACTATCAGACCGATCCCCTGAGTTCTGCGATCTGAACTCGGGAGGTAAGGGGGGTAGAGCTTGAAAGCCTCCTCCCCGATCATGCTCAATGAGGTTCTCCATCCTCCAGATACAGCTCGATGGTGTAATTAGACGGATATTGGAGCCAAGACGTAAACTGCGCTGCACGCTCGCACTCACTTTGCTCGAGACATCCTGGATCGCGGCTTTGAACTGCGAAAAAGACTCCCCTGAGTATCATGGTTCTGCCGACCCTCGAGGACATTCCTCAATCTTTTCGCGCCAATTTGACATGATCAAGAATGTCAGTTCATGACCGTTCTCACATCCGCGTAAGTTATCCCAGCGGTCATGTTCTGCGACGCCGCAAGAGTTAAGCACAGATCCCTTGGCTGATCATCAGCTGAAGCCTTGAAAATGACAGAATTCCTCTCGATATTGGTGCATATCTGAGCTTGAAGTTCTTTGACTGGATCCGCCTGAAAAGTGAAGTTAGGCATTAGCGCATCAACGATTCGGAGACGATATGATTCGCGAGATTCGACTCCCCTCGTCCCGCTGTCGTCGCTCACCGGAGGCAAGCAACTGAAGGAGACCGCTATCTTCTGTAAAAAAGAGAGAACATCGTCAAGGAGCTCGCGACCGCTGGAGAGCTCATCTAGATCCTCGATCGCTCTAAACAGCTCCGAAAGGGGGGTCATTCAATCAAGGAAGAACAGAGATCGAATGATGAGTCCGATGCTGTTGACCATCACAGGACCTACCTCCTCCATTGTAGACGAGCTGTCGATGCTGGACGCATTGAAACAAGCGTGACACGTTTTCAGGTCTCTGGGCAGGAATACTTTCTAACGAAGAATCACAGCAAAATTGAGAGCACGTCGAGGTCACAGTGGACGATTGAGACTGAACAATTGAACAGTCCGAGCTCTCAGCCACGAACCTTCAGGACGGGATCTTCCAAAAAATTGCAGGTCTTCGCCAGGATCTCCTTCGGGCTTAACTGCGAACGAGGATTTCGAGAGAACCAAATCACGCCTCGTGGTGGGAGACTTTTAAATGAGTTTACGATATATGCATGGGAAGACACGGCGCCGCAGAGCCCGTCTTGCCCGTCGGTGCTCACTTATCCTGAGTTCCTTACCGGGGATAGGCATGACTTGATTTTATCGGCGATTTTCTCAATCGGAGCATCAGGCCACAATAGCAGATTGTCAAGACACGTCCGACATTTCGTAACGATTCGCTAGAGGAAGAAAATTCCATTGTCATCCGAGCCTCAATGCGTTCCGACCCTTATTTCCCTCATGGACGCTTGCATGACTCAGAGCACGTTTCGAAGAACCTCATCGAAATGTTCGTTGCACACTTCGTCGCGAGTCGTTTCTCGCAGAAGCTCGTAGTCGTAGGTGTGCTTGTAGGTTCGGCGTATTCTGCCCCCGAAGAAGGACGTCAAAACCATAACTTTGTGTCCGATACGAATACACGCTCTCCGCGCATCCAGGAACTGAGGCAGAGAGAATACGATCAGAGGGTAACCAGTTCTCGATACCGGCAGATTCGTCAAGGAGAATGCGACAGCCTTGGGAGACTTGCACGCCAAGGGAAGTCGATTACGCTCAGGACAGGAAAGTCCGAACCTCGACCGACGAAAGTCATGATCATTACCTCATCGAAAGTTGAACCGTTCTCCTTGATACCGTGCGCTGCCAGGCATGTGTCGCACTTGACTTGGGCATCCAATGACTGTAATAGCCGTCATTTTTTCCCCAAAAGGGGTGAGGCACACAAACAAGAATGTTATCAGCGGCTCTCCACCGAATATTTTTGACCGCGGAGTTCTACATAGATTAGCGACAGCTCCCCCCTTTGACCGGTAGGTCTTGCTCGCCTCTGAGAGCGACACAGTCACAGCCGAGGCGGCATGCTCAGCTCACCTGACGATCGGGCAGGAAAGAGGAACGACAAAGTTTTCGCAGGAATTCCTTCGAATTTTTCTGTTAAGAATTCATAGAGGTGATATGAGACTCCAGACATGAAGTTCACCTGATTGAATATTTTGGGATCAAGGATCACATCTTTGGGCAAACTCACCATCGGTCGACAATCGTAAGCCATTCTGTAGACTGTCTGGAAAGTGATAGGGTCTTGCAGTGATTTTCGTTTCGCGCGATTTAGAGTAGGTTGACATTTCGACGTCAATTCGCCTGATCAGAATTCATACCTTCTCTTCCTCCTCTCCGGCAATACCAATTGGGACGTTCCATTCGGCGACGCACTTCCGACATTGTTCTTCTGAAACGCTGTACTAGAAGGGGAGAAAACTTATCTGGGGATTGATAGCTCTGGAGACCTACTCCCTCGCTTCAGGAGAACTTCTCCGGTCCGATGGGATCATCCGCTCCTCCCATGAAGGCCACCGCACTCAGAGATGTTTCCTTGAGGCATACTCACAATGTTATTGCTGTATCGGTACGAGCACTGCGCTGATGCCTCGCTCCTGAGTTTCTCCACCTCGACGGCTCTCACAACGGCGGTTGTTACCTCTTCCTCCACTTCCTGAGCACATGCCACCGACAACAGAGCATATATGACACATAGGATCATCGGTTCTATTCTCTGACTCCTCGAATCCGTACCTCACGACAAGTGAGCTTAAGAATTGCTCCGGAGCAAACTGTTCTGCATTCGTGCCACGCAAAATCTACAGGGCAGCGGATCTCGATCATCGATGTGAATCTCTCAGCTGATCAAACTTTCGCCTTGATGCCGCCAACGCAAGCCACCGAGCTAGCGTCCGCGGATCGGTCTATCTGTCTACGCTATTCCCTCGCAGACTTCTCCTGACCCCAAAGATTTTCGACTCATTGAAAAACACCATGTGACTGATTTATTAGTCCTGCATCACAGATACGTTGTTCAGGCCTGGGTATTCGAAGTATGTTCCCATCGGAGCATGCATATGCCGTGGCCGATGCTCCTGCGATCCATCAGGATTCGCTAAACGAAATTGAAGCGGTCGGCGGCCTATCGGAGACTCCCTCGGACCCATGGATTGAATCGGTGTGGGAAGTCCCTGGCGGGCACACCCCTGAAACAGGGGAAGCGAACCAAGGGACCATCAGAGCCCCCTGGGCCCGCTTTTGATATCCGTCTCCTTTCTCGAGAGTCCAAGTCTCTTGCTGAATACACGCTGTTTCGGGAGACACCGGACAGGGGAGGTTGAATAAGCGGATCACGAGACACAGTCGTCGTCGGAAATCGGAGAGACGAGGGCAGAAGGCTACTGGCTCTCAAGTCATGATAGAACGCTACCAGAGTATCTAAGCCAGCTGGTTCGACCGGCTCGATGAAGCCTGGTGAGCTGATGAATATTCAGCTCCGAGAAAAACAATCTAAAAGTCGGTTCACGTGTCTACCGAGATTCTGATGATTCTTCCCTCCCTTCAGGCAAAGCGGGAAAGACCCCTTATGGAAAAGAATGTGGCGTGTATTCAGTCTCTCGAAACGAACCCGCGGAATGAGTGGGCTGCCTTGATTTTTCAGACTCCGACGAGGTTCTCTCTGTCGGGCGAGTCGTTGCTTAGGGGACAGCTCACGAGATCTGTCCCTCAATGGGCGGCAACGGCTCCCCGAACTTCATGCTCAGAGTCGCTCCGGACTTCGATGAGGCAGCCGCGACTCTGCCGTGGCTCTGGGATTGTACGTCGAGTAACACGTTCTCGATTCCGCGCATCGTAGGGTAACTTTCTCGATTCCGCGCATCGTAGGGTCTCGCCACCCCATGCAGAGCAGGTATCATGAGCCTCTTCGGGGCTTCGTGGCAGCATGCAATTCGTTCGACCATCATCGACGTAGTATAGAGTGTGATCTTCCAGCGAAAGCTGTCCCTCCTGAATCAGAAACAGCGAGCGAAAATGTTTGGTCGGAGGAGCGTATGTCCGATCGAGAGCGAGCAGATATCTGGGAAGCGCCCACGTGCGCTCCGGACTTTCTGGTCCCCTGAGAACGAGAGATGGAACCGGCGAGCGAATATTCCTAACCAGAGTCAAAGACGGAGTTCTGGATGGATGGCTGCCGGCAACGACCGCTCCTCCGGCAACGACAGGCAGCAGACAACTGCCGCGGATGACGCGAACAAGCGAGCGAGCGAGCGAGCGAACGAACACCGCATGGACGAGCGAGTCGACCGACCGACGAGCGAGCGAGAGACACAATCTTGGAGGCCACCGCGCGCGGTCGAATGTCTCTCCATCGGTGAGAGGCCAGCCAGTCCCAAACCTTCCAGCCACGCCGACACACGACCAGTTTGTAGTGCAAACCCGCGGAAAGTTCCAGACAGTCATTCGTACAGTTTCTTAGCGACGGAAAACTCGCATTGACGGGAGATTCGAAGATCGTGACGGTGTTTTCACCAGATCATCGAGGCCGAGGAGAACGATCTCTAGGAAAACGGTAAAGTTCCCTGCTATCAAGCTTGTCATTGACATCAGGCTCAGGGGAAGCAGCTCGATTGTGGATTCAATACGCAAGAGGGTACCCCCGTCGAGGTATTGTGTCGAAGCCCGTAAGGACTCGGGACCCTACCAGGCAGGAAGCAAAGCAGAGGCGCAGCGTGAATCTGACCGCGACACAGATTGCGTCGAGTCAAGATCGAGGAAAACATTCTCCAGCATGGTCTCCCTGGGCGGCATCCCTTATAAATTGTGCTCCAGACGAATCCACTTTGGCTCGTTTCTCCCGCTGCCCCTCCCCCTTCCATCAGGCTCCGAATACTTCAAGGAATATCCGTAGAGACCGGACGAATTCCGGACTAGCGGCGGGGATTCAACTCGAGAGCGGTGAGAATCGGAGAGGAAACCTAACGAACATCCCACCGTTGACGTCGCAAGCTCCCGATCACTCAGCCCTGCCCCTCCGAAGTAATTCATACCGAGAAAATGAAGACAGTACAGGCTTGTGAGTCAAGGAACGCGTCATCTTGCCAAAAGAGAAATCGTTCCGACGAAACCGAGGGATATTCTGGCGTTCAGCGAGAGCTCGAATCGGGGTTCTTTTCTCATGGTTTCCTCTATGGATCTCCCCTCCATCAGAGAGCGCTCGCAATCTGACAACGAATATTAGAAACCGATGATAATCCTGGTGGACACAGGGAGCGACGCTTGGCAGGAAATTCAATTAGGACCGAATACACGCTCCCGGTCACGCTAGCGGCTACCATCATCTCCACTTTAACTCTATGTGGATTGGTTGACGACAGATGGGGAACCCTCGGGTACCTTTCCTCTATCGAGTCCCCCGGAGGTCCTCCGGAGTGGACTCTGCTGGCGAAAACCTCTGACGTTCGTTGGGAGATCGTGTCGGATCCTCGAGGGCAAGCAAAGTTAAGGTCTCGCGGGCTTTCTTCTCGCCGCTGAAAGATCGGAACCCCGTGGTAGCTCCGGAGACGACCGAACTTTCTTTGTCTGAGAGGGTACTAACGATATCAACGACGATACCAACAAGCCTCAAGACGTCATGAATCAGAAGAAGCGCTCCGAACGATTCTGTCATTTCGGGATCACGTATCGATGGGGGTCGCCTCGAGTGATTCGAGCGAGAGCCGAGACCCGACATCCGGATCATATTTCGGAACAACCGTGGAAGTTAATACAGATGGCAGCTCAAAGTCCCGCTTTCCAACACGAAAAACGTGTTCTCGGACTCGCTCGTTGGATAAGGCTACGAAGAGGAATTTTCTTCTTGCGAGCTGGACTCGGAATCACAGAGTGTTCCATTTGGCATATCCCGCTGGAATATCGACCCATTGAACCTGAGACCTACGGATTTACTCTTGGAAGACATGTCGCGCCCGGAAACCCGTGGATGCTCGGTTCAACCTTTTCGAAGATTCTCGGAGGAACCTACTACGCTCCGTGATTCCAGCGGAGTGGCTTCCCCAAGTACGGCGGCCACAGAGCGCTGCTAGAGAACGGAATCCAGGTCGAACGGATTGAGTCTCATGTTGCTAGGATGCTTATCAGCAATTTGCCTCCGTGTCAACTCTTTGCTGTTCACGGGTCGGCCACCTAGTCGTCATACGGTTAAGCGCTCCGGGGCGGCGAGCGAGTCGCTCACTCGATTGCCACTCGCTGACTAATAATGCCCGTCTACGCGACAGGCCAAAAGAAAACTCGACCGGGAAACCGCTATCGATGCAGTGGAGTCGGTCTTGCGCGGCGAACGGAAGTCTAATCGAGGCGATCCCAAAAAGGTTGAAACCGACCGTAGTTCGCACCGAAATTAACAGACTCTTCAAAGTCCGATTCTGCGTCGAGTAATGGCACGGGGGAACATCGCAACCCCGTCGACGGAAGAAGAAACTACTGAAGATCTCCAGGAATCATTAATCATTACGAACATGTGAAACTTGAGAAGTGTGACTACTCCCATCGATCTCTACCGCTCCCCTTCGATGAATGATTATTATCGGCAATCGAAACAGATGTTTCGTTGCCATTGTTGACAATTCTCGGGTAAGCCTCCCTGGCTCGAATGTGGCCCTTGTAGGACGAGTTCTCTCTCATCATAGCCCAGTTTAAGACGCTGCCAGGCGCTGCCGGTGAACAGTGTGCTCGTGGAGACCACATCTAGAGCTTCTGGATATGAGCCCTGAGCGACCGACTCTGTGAGCAAGCTAGCGAGCCCGCCGGCCCGTCGGCCAACAGACATTCTCTCAGTGTTTCTGTTAGCACCGTGCCAGTCGATGCTGTGTCTTGAGGATATATCCCTTACCATCGAAGCGGAATTTGCGAAGATCGTCATGCCTTCACGGTGAGGAAATCTTCGAGCTTCTCAGAGAGGAAGCAGAGGCTTCTCCCTCCCACCTGGGATACGTCGTAGAGTCGGAGCTAAACGTCGATGGTAATTGTGAATGGGATGTGAGCTTTTCCGAATTTTCTGAAAGACCGGGGAACTTTCTCGCGTGGATCGAGGGCTCCGAAGCTTCGGTGGCGACCCGCGCAGGATACTTTCGGCACCACTTATGACTCGATGTCGAGTTCGCCCCATAATATCGGCTCATTCGTATGCGGGACCCCGGACCGGCAGAGCACAGACAGAAGATCGGTCCCCGGGTCAATCGAGTCATCTGCTGTGAAATCTAGAGGTGATCGGGAACACCCGATCTTAGCGCCCCAGAGTGAAGCTCGCCACGCTGGGAAAACATATTGCGTCGTTCTCTGATCGGCTGTAGCAGTTCACTCACCAGCCAAACTCGTGAATAAGCAACATTGGACTAACATATCCTTGAAAATATTCTCGAATCAGCGGCTTGCTTAAAGCCTTTGGATGAAGAACTGACGAAGAACTATCACGAGGCCTTCCAATAGATGGGCGGCAGCTGGTCGACGTGATTATATTCCACGATCGTAGGATGCCTCCGTAAAATCGAACCTTCAATCTCGAAAGTTTTCGAGAGCAGGATTTGCCGATTGGAGAGCATCTTCTTGAAGACGCAATGATTTTTGAATAAAATCCCTCAGACATCAGTCTCGGAATCGGTTAGGGAGGAAATTCGATCGTCCGGATGAGAGATATTCAGCAGCTGATGAGTTCACTCGTGCATATCTGCTCTGTGGGAGAAGCGCGACCAGGACCGCCCCGACGAGAGCAGAATCGGTTATCCATCTTCAAGCAAATCGTAAACCATGACGTGTGAAACCATCTCGCTCCGAGTAAGGTGGTGAATGTTTACGCCAGAGGGTTCAGGCCTCCTAGCTGCGCATCAACATAAACGCAGGCTCTAGTTCGAGACGGAGGAGGAACGAATCGCCAAGGAAACCCAAGGACGAAGGATGCTGGGTCATACGAAGAGTTTCTAGGTAGTTCTCCCTCAAATGGAGCGTCCGGGCAACCAGTGATCCGATGTATGACGGATAGCCTCTGGGAGGGATCCTACGCGTGTCTCCGCTAATTGGTTTCTTTTAATTTTCTTCCAGATCCACAGCAGGCTCGGGATACCTTGTCGAATAGAATCGAATTCGAGATGGATTTGAGCTGGAGCACGTCGACCAGTCGAAAGACGTCGCTCCTCGAAGACGAGAACGAGCCTAATTCCTTGATGATGGACTCGGATGTTACTCAGCATTCCAGTGAGTATGCACGATCATCCGGGGCAACTCTCGAAAACAGAGTGTCGACAGAACCCGTACCCTTTTAGGCAGCGTCTCCAGTAGGAAAACTGTTCTCGACGAGCAGTAATTCCGTCCAATTGAGTCTCGTTAGGAGTTTCTCAATGGTCCGGCTGAATGGGCCGTCGGGATCGCTGTTGCCTATCAGTAGCAGGGTGGAGCCGACCAAAGCTCGTGCTGATTCCTGAATCGCTCGGAAACCCACTCCTTTATGAAGAAATTTGAATTTTCGACCGGACGAGATCACTACCCGCGGGAATCCTTTTTTGGGGTGGTGGCTGAGAACATTCTGTGACCGAAGACAATATTTTTTCCAGTGGACTCACTCGATGAATTCAACTCAGACGTGGAGCTGATCAAGCTTGAGAGATCTCGTACGATGCCAGTGTCGGCCCTATACGCCGCTATGAGGCACGCCGAGGAGGCTCAAGCCGCCAGTTTGTCCAATGGTGAGTCGAGGCAGCCTGAACAGCTCCAATCAACCCTCGCGACACCCTTGTAGCCTGAAACATCGAAATTATGCAGCGGGGGAGACGGGAACGGCTGAATGGTGTCAAGTCCTGATACTCGTGGAGGGAATCGAAGGATTTCTTGAATTTTCACGTAGAGATAGTCTTGGCGCGGAGTTTCGGGGGCGAAGCCCCCCCACAGCTGTACCTACACGGAATCCCGAGCTTTCAATGCCTGCATAACTCTATTCGCGCAGCGCTAATAGGGTGATGAGTAGCGAGTAGCGTGCGGGCCATGAGTCATGCGTGCTCGCTGCGAGTCTCGCAAGGAAGACCGGTTGGCTCATGACTTGGGGACCCACCTCCCATTTGCGTCGACCCCACGAAAGCGAAGCAGAGCTTTGTACGAGACCCTGAGAACAGTGTAGTCGTGATAAGTGTTGTGATGTCATGAAAGCGAATGGGGCTTCTGCAATCCCATCGTTCTCGCTCATGGGCAGCACAGTCTCAATTCTTGCTGTGTTTTTCGGAAGTAAGCAGGATAATCTTCGCGCGAGGTGGAGGTTGTATTGTTGAGTGATTAGATAGATCGGGATCAAAATTCGCGTTGTGCATGCTCTAATGTGCGGAGAGCTTCCGAATGTCTCCTAAAATGTCGACTTCTGCAGGACGATCATTGTCTATGGGTTCGCTCGGTTCTTTGTGGGACCAAGAATATAAACAGCGTGCCAGCGAGTACAACAAGGATGTAAAGGAGCGCCAGCCCATTGCGGAACGCGAGGATGGTCAAAGCCCTCAGAGTCAGACGTTTCGATTGTGAGTAATACGGAGCCGTTTCAATATCTCTATTTCCTTTGACCGATGCCATTTTGGTGGAAAGCTGATGCAATGACCTATCGATTCCTCACTATGGACTCTGAAATTAGGCGAATATCTTCCAGGCACTCTCCGATACCCGAGGAAGATTGCAGTTCGGACGAGAGCATTACCTATGTGTTCATGAACCCTTCGACGCCGAGTCCTTCGACGAACCCGAGCACAATCCTTAGGAATCGATTCGAAGACGCATCCCTAACGGTGAATTTTCGTTTTTGGATAAAGAAGAGAGGGGTTTCCGCTCATCGCTGAAGTTCTTACTCGCTTGGCCGGGAAATCGGAATCCGCGACTCTGCTCACTTCTTTCAGAGGAACAACACATTGAGAGCTGCAGCCTCTAGTCGGAGCATCGCCCAGCAGCCCCGAACTCTTTCAATGGATTCGATCGACGTCGAGCAGTACATGAATTTCATGAACCGACCTGATGCGGATCGCGATCAGCGTCGTAATAATGTCGAAAGCCCGCAAACCCTGAAGGAACGGAGGAGGAGGCTCCATAGAGGTGAGTCCTCGCTCATTGGAGGACTTGAGGGAAAATCTCGAAGTTTTCTCTTCACGGTCGTTTTTTTTCCTTTCTCCTCTCTAGAGAACTCCGGAATCCATATTGAGAGCACGGACCAGGAATATCCCGGAATGGAGCAGACACCTTACTACGTCGAAAGCGCCACAACCGATCCAGAAACAGGACCCGACCAGTCACCGAGGTTGTGGAACTATCTCGATAGGAGACCCCGGCTAGATTCAGGGAGCGATTACGATGGTATGCGTCTAACTGTCGAATTAAGAATGATGAGTTTCCCGTTCGCTTAGGTCTTTTCTGCATTTCATTCATTCACATGACCCTCCGACAGGCAACGATGCTTCGAGTCGATCGGGAATGTTCCGGTCTCCCTGCTCAGCTGTTCGACGTGTCTCGTCGAAAAACCGCAGGAAGCCGAATAGAACCAGGGTGATGGAAACCCAGACAGACGACGAAATCACCGGCTACTCCTCTCAATCGTCGTCACCGAGTTTCGCAAGAAAGTACGTCCCGTCGAAGGTGAACCCAACGATGATGAGAGTCGACGCAGAGCTCCATACGAATTCTCCCTATATTTATCCCCCCGTTGCAGAACTTTTCCCAACGAGAATTACGCGTTGATGAGGTCATTGACTTCTGGTGGACCTTTCTCGACGGCAGCGCAGCAATTAGCCAGAGGGAAACTTGAGCCTACGGTACACCTCCTGACCGAAGTGGTTTCTCTCATGAAGATGATGATGTCGAACATCCCACAGAATTGCCAACAATGTCATAAGTGCCAATGCTCTTCGACTTGCACGGAGAGACCGCTCGGGAAGCGGGCGGAACGACCTGAAAGACCGACGACTCTGAATTTATCCGCGTAAGTTCCGTGAACATTTCCGTGAGTTCCGTGGATTTCGTTTGTTGATCATAACCGGGGGCTCGGAAAATGAAGTTCCTAGAGCTCTTCCCACTTTAATTCTCCCCGCTCTTCCATGTAGATTTTCAGACACCGCGAGCAGCGATCCCGAGCCTAGTCCCGCTCCTATGGCGGAGTCGCTCTTCAGAGAAGGTTTCCTGATCGAGAGGTTCAAGCAGTCCCGTCAGGACCGCATCGCGACTTGCAGGAGTCCGAGCGATATCGCGTCCTGTGCATCAGATACCGAGCCCGACTCCCTGCGTATTTCGGGAGCGTCGACTCCCACGGATGAGTTCAGACCGTTCCCGAACCAAGCGCTGATCGCGAGAGAAGCCATTCCGAAACTGGAGAAGAGCTCACCCACGTAAGGTTCCAACTCGAGCTTCTCCGCCGCTTTGAGGGAATAGGCTGTATCCGGCATTCGAGCTTTTAAATTGACAGGTAGCTGTAATCAGCCTGAAATTCCAGCGAAACGGCCGATTCCGGCATCAGCGATCGTTGGGAGTCCCAGGGCAGCAGCTGCGATTCATCCACAGTATCACGCAGAGCGCGGAGTCGAGTCGTGAGTATCTCCTGCTTCTGGCATGTCTGTTGAACGCCAGTTCGATGTTTCTGCGCTCAGCGATCACATTCTGAATGTTTTTGAATTTTGAATCCAGAGCTCGGAGTCGATCAGCGGCGGTCCCTCTTCGCTCTCATCGACTGACACCGCAGATTCATCCTTGCATTCCGCAAGTCCAGTTCTGACGCGATGGGCCCAACTCAGCGCCGAACCTGTCCGGACGAGCACCCCGGTCCAGCCCGCAGACTGGAGTGCAAGTGTTGAAAATCCGAACACGTCCACGGAGACGAGCGTCTCGTACAAAACCTCCCGATCTCACTTCTCACGGAATCATTCGATCGAAGATTTGGAGCCTCGGAAGATCACTAGGCCCTCCAAACTAGCGATGAAGTTGGAACGCGAGAAAGAAGATTCGGAAACTTATGAGAAACGGAAGCCCCTGGATGAATTGAAGAAAAAATGGCATACGCCCTTCGATTTGATTCCAAGCGACAAATTCCTCCCCCTTCCTACCCAGACACGCCTACGGTGCTCACCAGAAGTCCCCACATCCGCTACGCTCTGACCGAATAGAAGGGCAGAGGATCGGCGGAAGATCTCTGCACCGGGAGGGCGCTTCGAGCTCATCTAGGGGTAAACATCGGTAGCCCGGATAGCTCGAGCTCTCAGTGTCGGCTTTTACTCGAGATCGCCTGATTGTAGGTCTCTATCGCGTAGCACGGTTCACCTCCCAGCCCACCGGATATGACAAAAAGGGCGTGTGTAGGCCCTCGCATTGACTGATGAAGTCTGTTGTACTTAAAGTAGCATTCAGACTCGATTGAAGCTAGCAGCCATGATTGTCTTGCCCTAGTCAGATTAGATTGGTTATCTTAGAAGTATATAAGTCTGTACACTGACTGTTTTGATCCCACTTTGCTGTGCAAGTTCTTCAAATACGCTGAATTATCTCGCATGGTCACCGATAGAGGCAGAGCTCCCATAGCCTGATAATAAAAATGAAAATAGATTCAAACATCGCCGTTCTTGATTCTCGTTGGATCGCGAGGGCTCAGGATTGGAATACGGGATCGTATCCCTTGGTTGTGTCATATGTACAAGCCGCGAGTCCTCCGTCATGGATAATTATTTCAGCGGAAAAATATCTGTCCGGATCCCCAGGAAACGGAAAGTCCATCGAAAATGCCGCGGACATTGCCGAAATTCGATTCGTATCACTGAGAGAGAGTTTGGCTGCGGTCACACCTGCTGGTCATCGAGAACGGGGTCTGCAAGAAGAGAGCCAACGGTAAGGTGAAGCCGCCATCTCTCTCAGCAGAGACTCTCGAGGTTTGAATGTCACGCATCCGATGAAGCCTATTTTTTAATCAGGCCGACATTTTGATGAGAGACAATGACAGCTGTGTTCGGCCTGCCTCTAGTCAGCTGCTCGGCGACTCTCCGATTGCTTCGTTGTTCAACGGTTCAGTCAGCGCAGCGTCGCGCGGTCGGTTCGTTCGGAGAACATCACTCAGAGAGGGTCGAGATACGTCGTATCCAGGCTGAGAATATGAACCGCACAGCGCCCCGTTCGCCTTTGTGCAATCTGATCATCGTTGCACATCAATGACCTTCAAAGGCATCATGAATAAAGCGACCCAGCGGACGGTATGTTTAATTCGATATCATCACAAGCCGTCTTCTCTCGTCATCGTCGGCGATTCCGACCACGGGAGTGGTCTGAAGAAGTCATGCTATTAAAATTATCGTGCGAATCTCGCGGGGTGTGCGCCGATCCGATGATGGAGGGAAGAGAAGGCTTCCAGACTTGGGGAAGATTGCCGCGGAGTTCCACAGGCACGTTGCAATGATGCCTCTCGGTCAGAATTACCGAACGTTTGCCTTCGAGGTTCCGTCAGAAGCCCACTGTTTTCACAAGCTGGCAGTAGGCGGACGGCCCAGAGGAAGGATGCGAGGGTAAGTATAGAAGGCGAGGTCTCTGAAGCTGCAATTACCTACAACCAGCCGACGAGCGAACGAACGAAGAGCTGGCAACTAGTACCGCCATTCAGCCTCAGTGAACACTCATCGTAACCTTTCCACTTTGACGCAAATGTGGCGGCGGCCTCTTGCGGTGCGCCAAAGGTGTTCCCGTAATCGACCTCGACCGGAGCACTGACCAGCTACTCTCATTATTATTTTCTGTGGGAAGCAGGTGTAAGAGTGTAATGAGTGACTTTCTTTCTACTCGTTCTTCCTTGCTCGCTCGACTCTGTCCCGCCGACTCTGCTAGAGGTTGCGCTCATGGAACACTAGATTCAAGTGTCGTTCTCCAGTGAATAAGAAAAGAGCGACACTGCGCCACCGCAGCGACATCGACAGCAGAACCGGCACCGTCCACGACAGCATCCATGTGGTTTCCCATGTCTGATGATCGTGCTACAGGATCGTGAGAATTCACTGTCAAGGTAAGTCTACAGGACATTCAATCACTGAAGGGCCGCCGCTTCGGGGAGCTTCGTCGAGCCAGTTTGGGACTCGAATGTTCGACGACGGGATCCTCGCTCCATGCTCTACGTTTCTCGCCGGAGTCAACCACACATGAGCATCGAGAGCCCCGATTTGACACCGTAGAGGCGCCTCCCTCTCGTGCTTCATCGAACATTCACAAGATACCTCATGTCGACAGCAAAACGCCAATCTAGTGAGCTCAGCGGCTCCCCGTTTTAATAGAAGTTTCGTTCCCCTGTCTTAGAATCGGGTCGTCAGAAGCTATTTTCTCGGGGGCATGAAATGGCAGGAAGCGACCAATAGATTCTTCAGAAGCCGAAGCATCGGGGATGCTTAGCCTCCAGAATTCAGAGACGATCCGTCATTTCTCGAGCTTCAGAATCAAGGCCCCGCAGATCCTCACTCGATGTGTTGACAGATCCCATGCAGAAGCAATGAACTCACTAGGTATCCTAGCCCGAACCTTTCTGAGAGTCGAAGGAGAATCTCTCGCGGTCGAATTTCAACACTCGCCTATTAAATCTCCTGAACCGAACGCGCCGAGCCACTTCATCGGTCCACCGTCTGATTCGAATCTCTCAGTCGCTCAGCTCATGAGGAGATTGATTGCCGAAGAGGACATACTTCATTGAAACATCGCTTGTCGCGTCCAAAGAGCGCGCTGTCTGTGTCACGACATCGTTGTAGCGGCCGTCGTTGCTTTTGTCGTTGTTGGCCCATAACCCTGCGTGTTTAAGGCTGGCTGACTTCTTTTCTTATGTCTTTCCCTCTCCAGAAGGGCCAGAGCTTTGCAGTCAACCGGCTCAACGGGTCGTTCATCCACTCGCTGGCTCATTCGTTTGCTCGGTTTCCGATAAGTTCATCCTCGAAAGAAAAGTTGTCCCTCCAGACGTGATTGCTCGTTGCCCTCGAGGGCCACGAAGTGTATTCGCTCCCCGAAGATCTTGTGAACGATCCGCCGCGGGCCGCGCGAGTCGTTCCATATCGTGCTGATAGCGTTACAAGATAACAGCGTCTTCCTCGGCTCTACAGATCCCACGATGTCCGCGACTTCGCCAGGCGTGACCCTGGGAGTGTCGAACCTCGCCGGGGGCTATACACCGGAGACCTTCCTCCAGATGAGCAAGAAGATCGCACAGATGACGCAGGTAAATCATTCCTCAACATCTCGGTCTGTCCTTTGTAGCAGCGCTATTCCTCTGGACTGGGTCAAAATTAATCTCGTGGGCAGGTCCGGCTCGGACTCCTTGCATCAAGACCTATCGCTCTCCCCCGGTTTATTCGCTTCGTGGATATCGCCGAAACGGTCACGAATGGTGATCATTCGGTATACTGAGCCGAGTCTCCGAAAACAAAGAGAAGAGCTACCTGCAAGGAAGAAAGAAACTCCGCTCGGAGGGCCACCACCGCCTAAACTTGAAGCCTGTCAATGCCAAAACGATCATTACTCAATTTGCGCCACCGGCGGCCCAGAGTCTGTGACGTTGAAACTAACCGAGTCGCTGGTGATCCGCCGATACCGACGGTCATCAGCAGTGATGAACGCGCGAATGAATAGTTGGCTGCTGTCAATTTTAGCGGGCCACCCTCCTAAGACTTGGCAAGATTGCGTAACATGGGAAATCGATTAGATATCCAAGACACAGACTAACTGGTTTATTAAAGAATAATGATGATAATGATCTTCATATGTTTCCCCTCTTTCCAGGTCATTTACTCTCTGAACAACAAGATCGAAGTTCAGGACTCGGCTCTGCATGCGATGAAGGAACATTATGAAACTTCATTGAAGGAATGCATATATGACGCCTCTAATAGGACTAAGAAGAAGGTTCGCTTTTTTGTCGATCTATCTCAATATATGTATACATATACGAATGGGGCGGATTCTGACGGTACGTGAAGGCAGAATGGAGTTTTCGCTCACAGCACTGAGTCCCTCGCCCGCAGAATGATGACGAATTACGAATCCGGTCGCATGTGCAACTGTTGGAGAGAACGCTGCGGAACGAGCGGGAACGGAACGAACTTCTACTCAAGGAACAGAGGCAACTCCGGGAGCAGATGTGTTCGAGGTGGCCAGATCCGAGAATGACATCACTCGTCCACGAGCTTCGAGGTATCGATTCCAAAAGCAACTTATCGGAAATCTGTGAGGCCTCGTATTCTCGAGCGTCTCTGCCAATCGGGCTGACGGGAGTCGGACTTTCTTTGCAGAAACGAAGACCGATTTCGAAAGGAAACTCGACGAGTTCGAGCAGTTGCACCATGAGATGACGCTCTCCCCATCGTCAACTGCAACGCACACCCTCGAGAGAAACCCTGCGAATTCGAGCCTCAAGTAGGTTTTTGTAGATCGTCAGTTCCATGGATATGCGCTCGTGTCGTAGCATCTGGGAAGGAATTTTCAATCCTTGCTCCCCTTCATCACCAGCTCGAGCCAGTTTTAGTGATATCTCCTGCGGAGAAATACGAAGATACCAGTGCTGAGCGATTTCAGAAGGCAATGCTAGAGCGCTCTATTGCAAGAGACGAGAGCAGCACTAATCAGGATCCGATTTCCAGCCTCCCTGAGCAGGTCCTCGCGGCCTATTTGAAGCAGAAGTCGCATGAAATTCCGAATAACTTGAAACCCCCAGTCAGCGATGACATACAGATGGCGCTGAAGACGAACACAAGCTCTTCCGGTGAGCAAGAACTGCTGAGGCAGCTCGTGCCATAATTAAAGATTCCATTGGGTCACTGATTGCTCAGAAGAGAACTACCCCAGACGATATCATACCCTTGTCGTCGTCTGACCTACGGATGATAGGTGATCGGGTCGGAAGACCTTGAGGGAGATCGTTCCACGGTAATCGCTCGATGGATCATTGCGGACTGAGACCCATTTCGATGTTTTTCAGTTCCCGACCTTATCGCTCGCTTTTCAACCGTGGGCACGAGCCTCGACGAAACTATTGAAACCGATGTCACCGAGGACCCGTTCATAGTCAAACACAAGGAAATCAATCTCGTCCGGAATAATTTACAGCAGGTAATCACCTTTTTTGTGGAGCATATGTTCTTACAATTCGAATGTTCGTTCACCCCTGAGAATCTGTACCTGTACCTCTTTTTTTGTTTACGGCGCGACGCGTCTCGTTGTGTCAGCTGCTAAACTTGGCATAGCGCGCGAGAACTCGGCGGTCAACGCTACCGAACTCGATAGTTTGTGTTGGGTGCCCCTAGTCTTTTGATTGGGAAATTCTGCTGATTCTGAGCGTCGATTTGTTCTGCATAGTGCCAAACCGCCAATTCGTTGCGATTGTACGGAGAGGTCGAGCTAACTTAAAGGTCTTGAGTTAAACAGTAGAGTTCGTTCTCGGCGGTGAAATGGCGGTTTGGAGTTTGAAGAAGCTGAAAATTCTCAATTTCAAGTATTTTGTAAGTCGCTTGCCTGGTTATTGAGTAATTGAAGCCGCTGCCGACACAATCCAGTT